TAAACAGTCACCAGCAAATAAGACCTGGATGAACTCCTTGTCCACCTTATAGTGAAGCCCAGTCAACCCTTTAGAACTGTGGGTAGTGCTCAGGGCATTTAGATTGGATCCTAATTATCAAAATTTCCCTGTCTCTGTCCAAGTTGGATCAGCATATCCAGCGACCTCTTCCAAGTTCCAAGAGCCCTTTGACTGTCTGTCTCCTTGAGCTAATGTCATTTCACTAAAGTGACAGAAAAAAGGGACAGCCTGTCATATTAGATTATACATTCCCATCTAATATATTTTAAACTCAAAGCAAAAATATTTTACTACACAAATATGATAATCACAAGAGGAGTAATTTCCAAGAGCCCTAAGGGATAAAAATACAGTGTGATTATGCACCTGGCCAGTAGAGGGTAACATGTGCAAATAAAGCTGAAAAAGAAACAAGAACTCTTTTTTGAAGTAATTGATTTAGGTGTTTCAATGCCTTATGAGCTCATTACCTACACCTCCTACATCAGAAATGACTTTACAAAACTAACTAAAACTCCTGAGACTTATTTCACAAAAGCAGAATAAAGAAATACAGGAAAAGAGATAAAGAAATAAAGTTTTATTTGTTTAATTTACTCTAAATAATGAATATATCATGAGTCAGTTCAGCAGTGGTAATTATTTAAACTAAAACTAATTATAACTGCCAATCAAACAAATATATGACGATCTGCTTACAATCTAACACCATTATTCAACGGCTGCCATCTCCAGAATTTCTTCAATGACTCAGCCATTGTAGGCTGAGTTTCTGAGGGGAACGAGCTGGAGTATCGATCAGTCATCATGAACTTTGTGGATGGGTGTGAGAAGAACCACCTGAGTCTTAACACCAGTAAAACCAAAGAGATGGTGATTGACTTCAGGAGAAGACCCCCACCTCACTACCTCGTTAACATCCAGGGGCAGGACATAGAAACTGTGGAGAGATTCAAATTCCATATGTTCATGTCAATAACAAACTGGACTGGACTAATGACATGTATAAGAAGGGCCAGAGCCTCCACCTCCTGAGGAAGCTGAAGTCCTTTGGAGGGAGCAGACCCATGCTTAAAACCTTCTATGACTCTGAGGTGGCATCAGCCCTCCTCTACGCTGTTGTCTGCTGGGCCCCTGGCAGCACAGAGTGGGGCAGAAACAGACTGAACAAACTATAGAGAAAGGCCATGGCTGAGAGGAGTGTGCTGTCCAAGCTTACATCCATCATGGACAACACCCTCTACCCTCTGCACCAGTCTGTAGAGGAGCAGCTCCTTTAGTGAAAGACTTTCACACCCTTTTTGTAAAAAGGAATGCGACCGTAGGTCATTCATCCCTGCTGCAACCAGACTCAACAATGCAACACCACAATGGCAATAACTTATGCAATTTATAATGTGCAATTACTATTTGATACCCTGTGCAATAACCTGTTTCTCTTTTTTTGACACCCAGTGCAATAACTATATATATAAATATCAATTTATATAAATACCCATGTAAACACCCTATGCAGTAACCCTGTATGAAATATATTATTTTTTAAGGTTCTAATGACCTTTATTTTTGTAATTCTCAAAGGCATGTAGACAGAGAGATTAGAAAGAGATTAGATTAAGAGTGGCAAAGGGTAACAAGGCCTGGACTAGAACCTGTGGCGGCTGCATTGTGGAATAAACCTTCTGCAAATGGGTTGTGCGCTTATATTCCTAATTATTAACATTTCTTGTTCCTTTTAACATTTACCATTGTTAGAACCAACATTTTTTATTATATTTTATCGTATCTGAAGTGAAAGGCCAACACAAAGTAAAACGTAATTTTGTAGTAGAAAAAAAAGGATAAATAATTTTCAAAATCTACAAAAAAACAACCAGACAACCCAAACAGCCTCATTGTATTGAATCTACCTTTATAGATACAATGATCTCAGTATAGATGAAACAGACCTGCTAGATATTTAACCTGGCAGCTTCTCTTCCAGGATTTTCTTGCATTTAGCTTTACCGATTTGTCCCATGAACCGTGACCAGCAGCATCACCCCTCAGCATGATGCTGCCACCGTGGCACTGGAGCGATGGTGTGCTCCTGCTGATTTGTGTAAGTTTTTCTGCCAAACACTATGTTTTAAATGTAATCCATTAAGTTTAATTTGGGTGTATTCTGACCAGAACAACAACAACAGAGCCAAGAATGATGGTTTTGTTTCAGATACCCTTTTTTGTTTTTATCAAGAACTGGTTTGTCGATACATTTTCCAACCTGATTCAAATGCAAACCCTCCAGGCTTGCCCGAAGCCTCCTTGTAGTTTCTCTGATAAATGCTCTCCTTACCCCCCCATCACCTCTAGTGGTTAAAAACAACTGCTCTACACTCTTGGCCTTTTTGGTTAAGAGCAGTGGCACGGGAAGGGGGGTGCTGCGGGGGCTGCAGCCTCCCTCGTCATAGCATCAGCCCCCCATGGTGGGGGGCTGTGGAGTAACATAATATTGTACTTAAAAACATGAAATTATTTATGTATTTATTTTTTAAAAGACTGTGTTTGATATGGGATTAAAATGATGGGCTGTGTATAAGATATAAACTAATGATTCATAATTTTAATATTTCATAAAAACTAGGCTACTCCCCCAGAAGTGCTTCCGCCACCTCACATTCATTTAGGCATGGCTAGCAATAGGCAGCAGAAATGTATTTCTGACTATTTCGAGGTAAGAAATGGTTTTAATTCCCCTATACTGCCGCCGAGCATTTATTTAGCGTTATTTATTTCTTATTTATTTATATATGCTGTGCCTATTCGTCGTAGTCCTGTGGCTGAAAAAGTCTACGCTAGAATAAGGCTGCATATCACTAAATATTATGTCTGTATTAAGCTATTTAGTGATAAAATTTGAAATTAGTTAATTTTTTTTGTGTGTTTTTTGTTTCAGATATGAAATCATTCCCCATATCCATAGTCGAATGGACTTTCAAGATGTTCAATGCTCAGTTTAGGCTATATTTAGGCCATGTTTTATTCAAGTATTCCTGATCCTGTTGATTGGGAGCTGTTGTTTGTTTTGAATGATTAAAAGAGAAGAAATAAAGTTTAAAATGTTCATGCTTTGTTCCGATGCATTTTAAATGGCAGTTTTTTGCGACAAATGTAGGCCTACAATATTATGTTAAAAACGTCAGCCACAGCCCTCAACATAATGACGTCATGTGTTTTCCAACCCAGCCATCAGCCCCCCTCGCTTGAAACAGCTTCCAGCGCGCCTGGTTAAGAGTCTTAGTGGTGCTCCATTAATCTTCAAATCATTCTGATAACTTACACCTGCTTATGATCTTTATGCCAAATAAATATTAACATTTATTTCTTTCTACTACACGGTTAGGTATGCATCAATTTGTTTTGGACTGTCTATTAAAGTAGCAATAAAATGTAACTTAACCAGGCATGTTTAAAAGCACAAAAACACATGACAAACACACGATTTAAACTTCTGTAATATAAATGGCTTATGAGAACCTATATAACACCAGTTAGGCTTCATCACATGTCCAGTGATATTCAAGATACTTGCACTAAATGTTTATCTGAAAAAGGAACTCTTCTCCATTGTTTGTGGGAATGTCCTAAAGTCCAGAAGTTTTGGATAATGTTATTAGGTGTATATCTGAATTGCTTAAAGTAAAAGTCCCATTAGAGGTTAAAATCTGTGTTCTAGGAGTATATCCAATAGAATCTAAACAATCGCAGAGGATAACCACATTGATAGACTACGGACTTCTTCAAGCCAGAAGATCTGTTGCACTAAGCTGGAGGAGCATGGAGGCCTCCTCCATGGAACTCTGGAGAAAAAAAGTTACAAGCTCACTGGGACTGGAAAAACTATCATACATTGCCAAGGGCAATGCCAAACAACAGGACTTTGAGAATCTATTGGAGCCGTATATGAGAATTGTAGGGACTGAAAGTGGAGCTTATTGATGGGAGTTTTAAATGGATGTCTTGACTACAGTTTTTATTCATATATAGCCACTTTTTTTTCTTTTTTATGCCTCTACCTTAATATAAAGGGATTTTTATATTTTTGGAACTAGACAAATGAAGTACCGGTACATGCAAATGGTGAATGCATGAGTGAATGTAAGTGTGAATAAGTACATGTTAAAAGGTAAACTTTGTTGTTTGTCTGTAAGTTTTGTTGTATCAAAAAAGAGAAAATTCAATTAAATATATTTGAGAAAAAATAAGTAACTTTATAAAATTTCTTACACTTAATTAAATCATTATTAACTGTGCCAGAAACTGTCAATCAACACATCCTGTAAAGCACAGCTCATTCTATTTAGTCCTGAGAGAAGAAAACCAGTTTAACCTGATTTGGGTATGCTTGCAATGTGTGTATGCGTGTGGGTGTAAATGCATGCTTACAAGTCTATGTAACAAAGAAAAGTTCAAAGTTATCACAAGTGTTTGGATTAAAAACATTTCTTGTGATATATGGATCATGTTTTACTTTTTCCACTATTAATACACCTTAAATTACTGAAAAACAAAGATTTGCTTCTTTGGAAATAGGAAAAGGAATGTTGTTAATGTGATGAAGACATTATTCTTCAAACTAATTTCTTCTAACATATGGTATGCCCTTGTTTTTTCTTCAGTCAAACCAGTTTACCCTTATTTTGGTGTCTCCACGGACTGCAGAAGGTGTGTTAAAAACAAAAAGAAAAAAAACTAACAAGAAAATTCCCAGGAGATATGCGCAATGTTTCGAATAGATACATATTAATGCTGGGACTGATCTCTGAGGTATTCATCAGTATTGTTTTACTTCTCACAACGCTTCAAAAAACACAATTCTTCTTAAGCAGAAATGAGATCTAATCCAAGTTATATAATCTTTTCTTCTTACCTATCAGACTATTATTCATTTGCAGAAAAACTGGTTGTAATTGTAGTGTAAGCCACGTCTGAAAGCTAGTTTGGTTTTTCCCCCGTGCTGCACTGAGGAAGCCTCCTTCATCACCAGTGACATCGTCACAAGGCAACACACCCATTGCAGGTACACCTGAGTCTCAGCTGTTAGTATAGAGACGCTCCACAGCACCTGAAGGACTCCACATACAAACAAGGTAAGAGATTTAACTCTATATTCAGTAAGTCTCTGCCAGGTTCCTTCTTAAAGAACAGATAATGAATGGAAACATTTCTGTCTACAACTACAGATGACATTTTTTTTTTTTATATGATTCATCTGGGGAAAAAAGAAAGAAAAAAAACGCTGATTCATTCTCACTTTATACTGTACGGACCTGTTTTAGATGAGGCTGAGAATAGGCACATTGAAATTGCAGTGCTTTGATGCTGCATTACTTGTTGCTTATTTAAAACGATTAAAAAAAAACCAAGCAACTTATTAGTCAGTGGGATTGATTTAGCTGATATTGTAATTTGTTCATCATGAAGCTGCCATGATTAACAAATAATGAATGAAGAGGTAATATTATGAGCAAACACTTCACACATCTTTAACTACTTTAACTTCTTACATTTAATCACAGTCAGCATAAATTATGTTTATCAATCTGAAAGTAATTACTTCAATACCTCCTATTGGAAGTTATTAATTACTGTATGACTCTTGCTGCAAGTAGCTAAATCAAACTCTCATGTTTTTTCTTTTATATAACAATCCATTTTTTCTCTCTAAAACAATACCAATTCTCAGCTTTAAAAATAGTGGAATATTCTCTACAGAAAAAAGAAATAACATTGTTATCATTATTCTTTACTATAACTAAGCTTTAAGCTTTAGAATTTTCTCTTTTAAATAACCTAAATACCATTTCCCTTTATCTTCTATGTTTACAAATGGCTTCAGGAGTGATGGTGAGCAAACAGTTTAAGCCGCCATTTATTGTAACAGACAGCTCATCTATGGTTAGTCAGCTAGAGAGAGTCAGCACAGTTAAAAACAAACTGATACATAAACTCAGTCTTAAAGATTCATATTTTTGTTTGCATCTAATGATAAGTCTTTAAAGAGCCTGAGATGTGTTTGTGTTTCCAAGTTAAACTGCACTGAAAAACAACTTTAATTGTTATGTAGGCTCTAATAAAAACACTGTCAAAACTGTGGACAACAAAGTTCCTGTTGTTGCAGACTAGTGTTAACTGCAAAGTAAATACACATTCATAGGTAAATTAGTTAAACATTAATTACTGACTTATTAGATTTTAGTATCATGATTTTAATTTGTGTCCTCAGTTATTTTTTTCATATCTGGTTATGTGAACTTCATGATGGTAAAGTTCAGTGACCAGTGGCTTCAAGGATTAAAGAGGGTACAGCCCTGATACTAAACATTAGCAGGGGACCTTCGGCAAACAGAGGAAAGCAGGTTTAAAACTGTATGGCAAATGCAAAAAAAGAAGAAGAAGTGTTGCACATGCAAATGGAAATGAAAACAGATGGAAATTATTTTCAGTTAGAAAGACACACCTCAAAAAGGAGTGGTTCTGCAGGTGGGGACCACAGAGTCGTTCTTAGTACCTATGCTTTCTCGCTGATGTTTTAAACTTTGGAATGATGGTGGTGTTTTAAAGCTCATGGTAGCATGAGACAGACTCTAAAACCCATACAAGAGGCTCAGGTAGTGCAGCTCGTCCAGGATAGCACATCAATGCAACCCCTGGCAAGAAGGTTTGCTGTTTGTCAGCTTCGTGGCCAGAGGCTGGAGGTGCTACCAGGAGACAGGCCAGTACACCAGGAGACATGGAGGAGGCTGTAGGAGGGCAACAGCCCAGCAGCAGGATCAGAGAGGAAAGCATGTTAGAGGGCCGCAAAGCTCTCCATGTGGTCACCAGAAGTAGCATGACTGCCATTAGGTACCGAGATGAGATCCTCAGACCCCTTGTGAGACCATATGCTGGTACGGTTGGCCCTGGGTTGCTTTTAATGCAGGGCAATGCTAGACCTCATGTGGCTGGAGTGTCAGCAGTTCCTGCAAGATTAAAGCATTGAAGCTATGGTCTGGCCTGTCCGTTCCCCAGACCTGAATCTGATTGAGCACATCTAGGACGTGATGTCTCGATCCATCTACCAACGTCACGTTGCGCCATCTCATCAGGAGCATGCTCAGGCGTAGTTGGGAGGTCATATAGGCACATGGAGGCTACACATAATACTGAGCCTCATTTTGACCACTTGTTTTAAGGAAATCAAAGTTAGATCAGCCTGTAGCGGGTCCAGGTCCTTGTCCAACTCCAGCCTGCATTTTCCTATGAAAATGATCAATCCTTTGGTTGACCAGGCTGTTAAAGGGTTCATTTTTGTGTATGATTCCAAATCAAGGTATAGGCTGGTTAATAGTGGTTAAAAGTCTGGTTAAAAGGTTAAAAGTTTCACTGCTGATTTATTTGTAATTCAGTTGAGAGCAGAACAAAGTATTCAATGAGAATATATCATTCATTCATATATAGAGACATGGGATATAAGGAACTGGGTTCTGCTATGTTCCTGTTCAGCCATTATGTAAATGGAGCGTAAAGCTCAGGTATATATATCTCATAGTGCTGACAGCTTCCTCTGAAGTGCTCTGATGCAAACAAAACATGGCTCTTCCTGGAATCTGTAGGGTTTCTATTGTATCTATTTACAAATAAATTTCCAGAACAAATCCAGGAAAATCAGAAGACGAAAATGTTCCTCATATTAACACATTTGTTCCAGTTGGTTTAGCATCATCAAAAGACATATTGCTTGTTCTGTCCCTAATCATGCCAGACCTGCAAACATTTTATTCCATGTCCATTTGGAAAGCTTGTGTTCCATCCAGCTGCAACTGACCAGGGGTTCTTTGTCTCAGTGTCACAGCAGGTGGTCCCCCCAGGCTCATGGTTCTCATCCAGTTTGGCTCTATAAGTTCTGAAATTCAAGAGAAATGTGTTGCAAAAGGACTGTTTGCAACAGTTTGGTTCTGAAAGGTTCTGACCTGTCCTTGATGGTTCTGGAGATCTGGTTGCCCTGGGGCCCGCATCTCCACTGTAGTGGAGATTCAGCCGAGGCGGACCCCAGCTTTGAGCGCAGGGGCAGAAGAGATCAGGACACTGGTTCCCAATGTCCAAAAGTATGATGATGGCATATGGAACAACAATTCTTAAAGGATAATTTTTATCTTATATAGTCACACGAGTACATGTTCTCTACAACTACACGGTATTTATATATATGCTAGAATAAACCCAAGCCTTTTCCCCCTCCTGCTTGTTTCTAAGCACTTTTTCATACAACCTTTGAATATATGGAAAAAGTCTTCTTTTGACATTTACACACATAAAATGATGTACAGTCACGTTTGAAACCAGGAAGCAGAGCACGACCAAACCTGAATCCCAGAACAACAATAAAAGTCATCATATTGAATATGATTAACATAATATATTTAATTTTTTCCGCTTTTAATTTGGATAAAATGACCCATAGAGGGGAAATTTGTTCTCTGTGTTTTATCCATCCCTTCAGTCAAAGACCTGCACACATAAGTGTCTCTAAGGGAGAATTCAGCAGTTGGTTCAAACCGATGAACTTTGCAGCATTTTAAACCCCCTGCTATCTTATCACTCATCCATTTTGTCAGATAATCAGATTAAGATTATTTAAGTATAAAAACATGAAAAAGATTGAGGTTAGAGCTACACATCTGAACCAGGTCTCGGCCTGGATTGACTCTAAATAGAGTTCTACATAGTTCTACTCAGTGAAATTTCCAGATGGATGCCCAGTGCTACTAGAAATGTTTAAAAGGCTTCGGGGAAGGAACTTGTTACTCATGCTCAATACTTTAGGAGGACCTCGGTGTCCTATTGTCAAAATTCCCTGCGATCACAAAAAAGCCACTAATTTGTCTCTTGCAACAAGAAAATGGGTTATATATATATATATATTTTACACTCCACTGTCCCCGCTGTCTGTCACCAGTATTCAGATAACTTTCCTTTCAACCAATGACAGATAACTAACATGAAACCTTTGCCTTTCAATAATGCTTTTGCTGTTCATTGTTCAGATGGGGAGATTGACTCGATGTTCTAATGCTCGCTGTCAGGAACTCAAGGGTGTAGAGTTTCAGCATTTTTTCCACTGATCTTTTGTTGTCTCCGCAGAAGTGTGTTAAAGGTATTTTTATGCAAGATTGAATGCAACAACAACGAAAAAAAAAAAAAATATCAAAATGCCACTCCCTGACTTCTATTCGCAGAAACCACGAAGGTATGAAGGTGAAAGGACAGCAACAATGGCTGCACAAAGACTTCAGGAGTGCTGCCATTTATCAAACTTTGAATTACATAAATTAAGGAGGTTCCACTAAATCGTTAGAGGATGAATAGTTTTTATTCCTAGAGTTTAGTTTGAGATCTAAAAATGTAAATCATTGATGTCATTGATACTTCAGCTGGAGCTTTAACCCAGTTAGTTGATCATTGTTCTCTGAAGGATAGTGACTCATTGTAACCTGCTGCAACTCTTGTTCTCTCTCCAGTGATTTTCAACACAAAGCCCTGTGATCCCATGAGACTGGCTATATCATGAAAACACATTACCTATTCCTACTGATCTACCTCTTTGGAACCACCTTTGGTAAGAGAAGATTATTTGTATTTAAGCAAACACCTACAGCATGCCAAAGCATACAGAAACACATTGTTTTTTTTAATCCTTTTAAATCTATTTAAAACTCCAAACAACACATGACTCATTCTAAAATAAGATGTATTGTTACAGTATTATTATAATGTAAGATAGAGGGTTGCACAAAGGTTTCGTTTCAGCCAAAATGTCTTTATACATTTTGTTTTATGAGGTGATGTTAATGAATTCCTCTCTTAAGTTTTTAAAAGTTTTTTCTTACTTTGGTTTCTTTTTCATTCACATAGTTCTGTGGATTTCATCTCAACAACTGCATATTTTCTAGAAGCTGCTTAAAAAATCAAATTAAAATGGAGGATAAAAACACATTCTTAGGCCTAAAAAACCACCTTGTTAGATCAGTAAGTGTAAGTCATTCCTTTAAGTAACAGAATAGGACCTGTAGCCGGGCTTGAGAGATACATTGTAATTCAATGAGCATTTGTTTTATGTCAAGTTATGAGCTCTTTTAAAATCCCCCTGTTGGTCTGAAAGCATTTAGTCTGTAAAATGATGTTTTCTTTTGTGAAAACATGAAAAAAGTCCCCCACAAGATTAGAATTATTCAGCAAACATGCTGGAGGAAAGCAAACCAGCAGAAGAAATATTGTATGTTATTCTAAAAATGACTTTTTGGAAAAACTAAAGTTAATCTCATTCACTTCTTCTAAGATTTCTTATTCTACTCATCACTGTAAATATCATTTTATATATTTACAGACAGAAAAATAGGAACATATTGGTGCAAATAAAGAGCTAAAAAGAATAATAACTGTCCAAAGAGGAAACAAAAATATATATAGAAAAGTTTTCTCTTAGTAATGAACCTATCGATTATGTTGTTTTGTTTTTTTTGTTTGGTTGTTGTTTCATTCTGTGCGTTTCTTCGCCAAGAGGAAATTGTACCAACCGTTTAAACTAATATGTTAATAAGTCAGTATGGGTGTATGTCTATACCAGGAAGTACATAGAAACATGGAAATCTATTGTTACGGTATGACTGCTATATGCAATTAGTCCTTTTTTTACTTCCTGCATGTAAAACATTTACTTGAAGGTGCCTTCGGATTTAAAAAAGAGACTATAGGACAGTTTAAAAATTAAGACAAGTTAAGTTCTTCTCTCTGGACAATCTAACTTTAACTAATTCATCAAAGATCTTTAACTATTACAGTTTGATGCAAAGATATTTATGCCAGCTTTTGCTGTGCAAAAAGCATTTACTCTGTGTTCACCATAGTAATTTACCTATAATAACAACATATTAACATCACAAAGTAAAATTTGTTTTGTGTATGAAATATAATAATAAAAATCTGTTTAATCCTAACAGGAGCATCAAGCAGAAATGGGTAAGTTTAATTCCTTTAGTATTTAAAGGGGCAAACATACAGCACTTTAAACACTTAGAGGAGCATTAAATTTAGATGGACATTAAAAGCTTTTTTCAAAATGTAGATTTTACCCTAGGTTCTATGTTTAATGAGCTTTTTATGTAATTTTACCTGCAGGAATGCAACATGTGGGACAGAAACCTGTACTCCGGTGAGTTCTTCATCTGTATATTTTTTAGAAATCCGTTGATTTCCACTATTACTAAATCTCTTTGGTAGCCCTTTGTGTTAAAAAAAAATATATATTTTTTTATCATAGGGTTTTGATCAATTGTTTAAGAAGGAACGTTTCATTGTATTTGATGATCAGGAAAGAAAAATTATTTAGCGATAACTGAAAGTTACTTCAGTTCATGTTTTTCTTTCTTGATAGGCAGAATCAGCATAATTTCTTTGTCATGTAGCTGATGACTTTTTTAAAACCTGGAAAATGTTTTATACCTAGTTTTTCCTGTGTTTGCTTTTTTTGCATGCATAAGGCTTCTCTTGCTAATAACAGTAAAGCACATAGGACCATTAGATCACTAACACAAGACCACTTTGACAACATGAAGAAGGCATGACATTTAGAAAAAAACAAAAAAGCTGAGAATTTCAAGGAAAGATGTCAAGCAAATTAAATGACCTTCATTCTGGAAATAAGCTTATTTTGGTCAATTTCTAATGTCTTGTGAGGATATCAAATGACTCCCATTACACCCTCACTGGGCAGTTTCCAAACTGCCCTGATCACATACCACTAATATATTGAAGCCGTCAGCTTTAAAATCCCTCTTTAATCTTGATGAAGCATAATTCAATCCTCTTAGGTGAAGCAGGATTAACTGGCTTGGTGACGTAGCCAACTATAACTTTCCAGTATCAAACAGCTGATTCACTTCTTTGTTGCACTAACTCGACGGACGTGTTCTGGAAAAACTTGTGGATGAGTTTTCAAAATCAAGACAACAGAAATCATTTCCTAGTATTTACACTTCTGGAAAAACATGTAAATTAAGCAGAGCAGAATCTCTTTCCTCTGGTTTCTCTCTGGGTTTGATGCTTTTACTTTAACACACAAGCATCACCAGGTCAAATATATTTAGAGTTGAGTTGTCAATTATACTCAGACCTCTTATTCCTCAGAATCAAGTTAATTGCCAAGTAAGTTTGCACTTACAAAAAATTTTACAGTGTGTTGATTGTCCAGACAAAATAGATATAGATATACACAGAATACAGTATCTATAGCTATATATAGTATAAAACATGCAATATACGACATACAATATATAATATATAGCTTAGTACTTTATACACAGTAGGCTGTGTGTTAATGTAATGCAGGAGGTGTGGAGATGCTACGTTGGTGCTTCTAGGTCCTGAATGGGGGAGGGAGAGAGGCAGTGTCAGTGTCAAGGCTGGTAGCGGATGGGAAGAAACTATTCTTGTGGTGTAAGGTTTTGGTTAAAATCTATTCTAAAGCCTGCTCTTATGACTTTATAGCTTTTTTCAAATTAAGTATTTTCTTTCCTTCTAAACTAATGAAACAAAGATAGATTTTACTGCTGATTTCTCACATAGCTGGAGCTTTAAAAATGGATTTTAAACACACACTCACACACCTTCTTTAGTCCTGCTTTCTCTTCCAGGTCAAAACCCCTCAAACTGCTATGTGTTACATTAGATCAGTGGAGGTTCTTACATGATTATGTTCCTTTTTATAATGTACATTAGAAGGGGGAAAAAAAGTAGAACTCAAACGCTGTTGATTACTTTTATTAAAGGAATCAGAGTAAAGGGGTTGAATACAAATGCACACCAGATCGTTCCTATTTTGACTTGTAAAATAGAAATCCAAAAAAATTTGCTTATTGTTGTTTTCTCTTCACTCTTATTCACCACTTTGTGTTCTGTCAGAAAAAAAAGTGGCATCAGCGTCAATGGTTGTAATGTTAAAATAAACACTCAAACATGTAATCCTGTTACTGTATGAAATTCTTAACGCATGTAATAAATTTTCCTTTTGCCGGACCCCTGAAGGAGCCAGATGCGACCTCTGGCTTCCTGCAGTGTGTCGGCTTGCCCTCCGGAGACACAGAAAAAGGCCACATGCACAGACTGAAGGCAATGCTGGAGGCCATGATGGATGTCTACACCTTCATGGTATGGCATTTAATGGCATGATGTTGCAAAAAGCTTCCACTCATTCCAGTCTGACCAGTTATTGTTTCTTTTGTGTCTGCTTTTTTAAATTTTTCCTAAGTGATGCATTGACCCTTGTGCTTTCAGCCATTGACACACCTGTAGGGCAAAGGCTCATTAATCAATTTCTTTAAACTTTTTCCTTTGAGCCACACCTTGAACCTTACATGTAATTTCTTCTTTCATCCATTCTCATAGAAATCCAGCATGACGGGTGTGCCGATCCTGAGCCTGGAAGGAGCTTTGGATTTTAACCCTGCAGCAGATCCTTTTCAGAACGAAGCCCTGGTTCAGATGTGGCTTGAAGTCAAAATAAAACCACTGTTGGGTTCAATCACCAAACACTTCCTGTCATGCCTCAGCACCAAGAATTTCAGTTGCTCCACTTATCAGACTGTGTATGATCTTTTATTTTCTTTGCCACTTCTTTGGTTTTGACAGTAGCTGCTTGCAAACAGCTGTTCTGTAACATATCTGTCATACTTTTCAGGGTGAGAGAGATCAGCCGCCATTATTCAGAGATGAACCCAGTCAGACAAAAGTGGATCTATACGTTCTTCATGTACCCCTTCCTCTCTGGAGACAGAGTTGCAGGTAAAGTGTATTGCTTGATAATAATAAGAAATATGTACACAGGAATTGCTTGAAGGGATCTTGTATAGAGTTCATTCATGCAATCCAATGCACCTCAAAATACATTAAGTCAATTAGCCATTGATGCACTTGTAAACTTTATTACAAGCCACTTATATGATAAACAACAAAAAAAAGACAAAAAACAACTGCATTAAAAGAAGTGCAAAACAAAAACTGATCTAAAGTTGAAGGCCTTTTTATTTCTAACTCTTACAGCTCTGCATTTCTGGAGACTATTGTCATTGACTAGATGAAGCACAATCCACCTGGTTTTGTCATGATTTTACTGTAGTTCTCTTTAAAACATCTGAAGCCTTTAAATAACAGCTTTTATCCAGAGGTTGGATTACATTTACTGCAAATGAGGTTATTTAGAAATATACTTAGACAATCTTTATTGCCATTTTGTATACACAGAGTGTATACAAAATGGCAAACATCAGTGAAATGAACATTACCGTTTATAAAGTGCAGCAGGGATCAGATTGTAAACTGTGTAGGAGAAAAGGAAAACTAGTTAAAGGTCATGGAGCAAAAGGCATTGATATAGAAAGGATCAGAGCAGTGCAAACAAATAATGTGGTGCAAAATGCAGTAGAAGGGATTATGAAAAAAATCAGTAATAGAAATCAGTAGTAGTTAATAAAATTCAATAGTAGTAATAAAAATCAGTAGTAAAAATCAGTATTAGGGATTATGAAAAAATTAGCCATGTTGGTCGTGCAAATATCATGTTTACAAGTGTGATGCAGAGTCTTGATAGAGTCTCAACAGTTCAACAGTCTGATGGCAGACTGAAGCCAAAGGGTCCATGGTGTGATGATGTTACGGGCTCTGGACACAGCGCTGGGACGAAATGTCTTCTATAGAGGGAGGAGGAGCCCCAATGATTCTCTCTCTTCCTCTCACTACTCTTCTCACCTTCTTCCAATCTGCGGCACTGCAGTAATACAGCTGGTCAGAACACTATGGTGCTTCTGTAGAAGGTAGTGAGAATGGGTGGGGGCAGGTGGGCTCTCCTCATCCTCCACAGGAAGTACACGCGCTTTTGTGCCCTTTTGACCGGTAAGGTGGTGTTTACACTCCAGGTGAGGGTGTCTGTCATGTGCACCCCAGGAATTTGGTGCTGTTGACCACCTCTACAGCTGAGCTGTTGAAGAGCAGTGGAGCGTGTTTAGGCCAATTTTTCCTGTAGTCCAAGATTTTCTCCTTCGTCTTCTCTATGTTCAGGATCAGGCTGTTATCTCTGCTCCAGCTGCTCCACCTCCTCTCTGTAGTCCTGGTCGTTGTCGTCTCTGATGAGGCCCACCACTTTGGTGTAGTCTCCAAACTTCAAGATGTGATTGGTGGTGAAGCTGGGGACGCAGTCATGTGTCATCAGGGTGAAAAGAAGGGGTCTCAGAACGTAGCCCTGAGGGGAGCCTGTGCTTAGGGTCATGACATCAGAGGTGTTCTGTCCAACCCGGACTGACTGAGGCCTGTTTTTGAGGAAGTTTAACAGCCAATTGCAGAAGGGTGTATTGAAGCCCAGCTGTTCCAGTTTGCCCATCTGATGCTGTGGGATGATGGTGTTCAAAGCAGAACTGAAGTCCAGGAACAGCATCTGCAGGTTGGTGTTCTTCTCCTCCAGGTGTGTGAGGCTCAGGTGAAGAGCAGAGAAGATGGTGCAGTTTCGTCAGTAGCGGAACTGGAACGGGTCGAATGTTGGGGGGAGACTGGAGACGGTGTGTTCTTTAACCAACCTTTCGAAGAACTTCATTATTCAGGCCGGGAATCATTGAGTGAGTTAACCTGAGGCTTTTTTTGGAACCGAAATGATGGTGATAGACTTAAATAATGCTGGCACTATGGATTGGTCCAGCGAGGTTTTAAGAAATGTCTGTGAGGACACCAGTCAGTTGACCTGCACTCTCCTTGTACACCCGCCCAGGTATGTTATCGAGGCCTGGGGCCTACCTTGGATTGACTTTCCTCAGAGTTTTCCTCACTTTAGCTACGTCCAGGTTTAGTGCCTCCTCCACCTGGTGTGGAATGGCTTTCACTGCAGAAGTGCTGTTTAGTGCCTTAAACCTACCAAAGAAGTTGTTCAGTTCATTTAGGAAAACAGCATTTGCTGCATATCCCGGGGGGGAGGGGTTGTTGTTGTATGTGATCACCCATATGCCTTGCCACATCCTCCTGGTGTTGCTGGCATTGTGGAAAAGATTCTGGATTTTCTGGCTGCGGTTCTGCTTCACTGATCTGATAGTACAGGCTGTTTTTCAGAGCCTCTCTATCACCAGATTTGAAAGCTGAGTTCCGTGCTTTCAGCCCTTCATCCAGGGTCATTGGTTTGCTGAGGTGATGATGTTCTTTGTGATGCTGATGTCTTCAATGCATTTGTTGATATAGGCTGACACAGACATGACATACTCATCTATATTGATCTTGTCATAGGTTACTACAGCTTTGAATCAATTCCAGTCAGAACATTCAAAACAAGCTTGAAGTCTCTCCATGGCCCCCTCACACCACACTCAGATTTCTTTGACTGTTGGTTTAGTCCTGATCAGCTGGGGCCCGTATGCGGGAATTAGCATGACAGATAGGTGATCTGATGACCCGAGGTAGGGGCGGGGGGCTTTCACTTTTCAGATTCTAAGTTAGTGAAAAGCTGAAAAAAACAGTGTCATCTTACCACATGCACTCTATTGTGTGATGCGTCTAAATTTGTCTAATTCTTTAAATCTGAAAAATCAAAAAGGAGATTAAAAAAGAGAGTCTGTCTTTCTTCAAACCACCAGTCCAGTCTGTCTAAAATGTGCCCCTTGTCCTTGAGACATGAAGTATGTAGGTAATCAGACACTGTGTTTCTATTTCTACATGTGGGTTTATCTTTGTTTGTGTGCAGGTTGTGTAAACCCAGATGAAAGCAGTGAAGAATGGCTGATGAAGAATTTTGGCGCCTTCAGATGGATGGCTCGAATGGAGGACTTCTCCAGCCTCAGCATGGTCTTCAGTGGTGTAAGTTAGACTGATGTCCTTTAAATTACCTAAATGGAGTTTGCATTTCAGGAGATCTCCCTTTCTAGTGAGACTTTTCACCCTGAGGTCTAAACGGTGAAACCTTTGCTTGACCCCTGCCTCTGTTTTTTACCACAGCTGGAGGTCCTCCACCTGCTGTCTCCTGCTCAAAAGGCAGAGCTGCTCTTAAGGCCTGAGGTTGCTGGTTTAGACAATGGCACCCTAACGCTGGTTTTTGACAGCTTGTGGAATGGGGATTCTGGCCCTCAAACGACTCCCAGACCTGGAAACACATCAGTGGTGCCATCTGGCCATTCATCTCAACAAAGCACCCTCAAAGAGGTAAAAATAAGCTTCATGATATTTAATTTAAGGTCAAAACCCACCTAAATGTTGTGACTAGTGTGGTTTTTTTAAACACAGCCTTTAATAAGTGCAAACAGTGTCGTGACTCAGAACAGAAGACCCAGTATTCGAGGCAAGACAGACAGTGAGATAATTCAAAAGCATTTATTTAAAGACAGGTCTGTGCTTAGCAGCTACAGCGGCTAGGGCATCTATCTGATTTAACAGCTCAGCCTGTGTTCTGAGAACGAGGTAGGATCCAGCCGGTGGGCTGCCAACAAGATGCAGCGGGCGCTGCCAAGAGTGTCCCAGATGCTGCAGCCCCAGAAAACCAACAGGAGTCCGACGCCAAGTTAGGCAAACAGATCAGAACAGGAACAGGCAGGTTCAAAGGTCCAGAAGTCCAAAGACAGTTCAGGCAAACCATTCAGATGGAAACAGGCAGGCTTAGTGGTTGAGAGGCATAACAGGTCAGAATAAGATAATAAGAAACATTCAGGTATGCTAAAAACCCTCTCACCCCTGGCACAAGAGAACAAGAATAATCTGGCTCAGATAAATGGATGCAAGCAGCTTAAATAGAGGCAGGAGCAGGTGGATCAAATGAGCAGTGACCAAAAACCTGGCAGAGAAAGATGAAATACCATACTGGATGCTCCAGTATGTTAATTCAACATATTGTTTTATTCCTGTTTACAGTTTTCTGCATAAAGTTTCTCCACTCATTTACAATCCAAACAAAACATTTGAATAGGCTGCACATATTTTTTCTAATCGTTGGCATTAAATCAAATTAACATTTCTTCCTTTTAGTTAGTTTGCTAGAGTTTTCAAGATGAGTTTATTGGGTAAATACTGATCTGTGATTTTGGTCAAACGAATCGGAGATCCTTCGTTAATATTTCCATGATAATTTGCTGGAATTTTGACTTCAGCCTTCTGAACTGGTCTAACTGCATCAGGTTTCCTCATACAGTTTCTGTGAGATCCCTTTGTTACTCTTTGGTAATACGCTTATATTTAGGAAAAAAACATTTTTACATTTTATATGTTGCCTAAGTTTTGTTTTAAAGTCTTTTTCCAACATAATGGAAATAACTTTGCCAACTTCACCCAGTCTGCAACAACACATCCAAATTAATACCCTGAATTGTTTCAAAGTCAAACTGTAGAAATATTACTGTATAGAAATGGTTAAATTAGCAATAAAATTATCACTGTATTCTTAAATTTGGGAAATAGGGAAAAAAGACAAGAAAACAGAGTAAATATTAAAATCTGTTAAAAAAAAGTATATCTGCCTTGCCAATGCAAAACGCCAAATATGGTTATATGCTCTAGTTTCAGATTATTTTTTTCATGTAAATATGGTAAAAAAAAAGTTAATGTTTTGTGAGACACAAAGCCAGGTTGGGATATAATAATAAAGATGAACAGCTGAGTCTTAAACATGGGCCATATTAATAGCTTTAAATTGCATAGTCTCTGCATTATACTACTTTGAAGTCCCCCTCCTCGCCCCCCAGAGAAACAAAACAGTCTTATTCAACATCTGTTGGACAGCAGTCCTCATTATTAGCTTCCAGGTGTCCACCTTCATTTATGAGAATAAATATGAACTCATCTGGCTGCTACAAGACAAAAATACCAGCAGCAAAAATGCTGAACTTAAAACTGGGAGTCAATCTAGTAGATCCATGTTTATGTTTCATTTACAGCCGAACAGAAGGTCCGGAAACCAGGAGAACAGATTGATTCTAGAAATAATGACCCATGCTTTAGTTACTTTTCTTTCAACATGATTAAATTCCATCCTGCAACAAATAAGACATTAGCAGGGATGGTGATGATGGACAAGACAATAAAAAGTTTTAACAGTGTTAATGTTTTTTATTGACATACACCATCCACACTAAGCGGCACAAGAAATAAATTGTGATAAATTCATATTTTATTGCTATTGCATAGTTCCACTTTTAATTATGATCAATCTCAAATTTCAGTAAACCATTAAATCTCTCTAACTAAATCCATTTATTTCATAGCTGTAAATTTACACATTTTTACTGCATCATTAGCTGTTTACAATAATCAGCTTCAGGTTACATTTGATTAATAACTCATGAATTTCTGTTTTTTGTGGTTTTAACTTAAAATATTAATGTTAACAAGTTTAAACTACCACAAATGTCTGTTTAACCAGAGAGGTTTTTTTCACAGTTTGGCCATTTTGAGACAAACCACAACAATATGGCTCACATGTCTTCAGTGTTGTCTTGGGGGACATGGGGATCCAATTATTGCTTTATACTATGATTTCTCTCCGTATCTTTTAGAAAGTTGTAAATAAAAAATGAAAATTGGAAGGCTTCAAATAAAAAAGAAAGAAATGAACATCCATCAAAACAGAAATAAGATAAAAACTCAGAAACAAACCTTAATTCCCTACCCCATTTCTTTTTACATTACAGATTGCAGATGGATTCATGATGGTTTTTAGACCAATTGGGAGTTTTGCTCATGAATTTGTGTCCTTTACACGTCAGGTAAATAAACTGACACAAACACATCCTGAGATATTTACACTGACCAAGCAGTAGCTAAAATCCTAACTGGCCTTAATGCCTTACAGAGAAATGTTTCAGAGATAAAGAGCACCACTCTGACTCAGTTCCTGCTCAACTTCACTCTGGCTGAGCTGGCCGGCATGTACAGCACCAACAACACGTACATGGTCCCAGAGACCCCACAGTTTGATGTGACCAATGTGGAAGACTGGTTCCAGCAGGTGGTGCTGCCACTGCTACGCAGGTTCCTACCAGAAGAGGGAGCCATCATCCCGCAGAACATCACAATGGCTTTTCACCAGCTGTAGTAAGTGTGAATGAGTTTAAACCGATTACATGCATCTTTGACTTGATGTGGACATTTTTCATTTTCATCATCTGTTTATTTATATTTTTTGTTGTTTAGCAAAGATTTTCCTGTTTCAATATTTTATTGGACTTTTCAGGTCTATTTAGCTTCTATCCTAGTTTGCTTTGAGTTTGTTTGACTTGTAATTGTACACAGTGTTAGGTTTATTCTTTTATACATCATGTGCATTGTTACTTTGTTAGCCAGATAGAGAGAGTAGATGACCTTCCTTCACATTGTGGATGTCACTTTGTGTAAGTAGGTCATCTAAATAGGACAGCCTTCTTGTCTTTTAAAAATACACAGGATATGGGCACATCTTGGAGCCGGACTGATAGAGGAGATGTATCTGTAATCTTGGGCATAGAGGCAAGATGCATACAGGTCAGGGCATGGATGGCGTGTCAGTTTCTGATACGGACAGCTAAACATCCACATGATCCAACTCATAGACTCATGAGCTATAAGAAGGAGAAGATGACCTTGTTCGGGGCTCAATCTTTGCCGGACACTGGCGGATGTGATTTTTGAGCTCACAGCTGTGCAAGCTCCAAGCATTTTTCTCTGTCCTGTAACGACCTGATCTGGAATAAACTCTGTAACTTTTTTACTCCTGTTTTTATAGTGCTTTTTTTATATGGTTTTATCCAGTTTGAGTTAAGAGTAGTAAGTAACTTGCTCCCAGGAAAAGAACCGGTGGGGAAGTCCCGAGGCGCAACTGCTTTTTAGGGGAAATAACTTCCTCATTTAACAACAGTGAATCCCAGAAATGGGAAGGAACTAGTAATAAACTGCACCAGACTTCTGGTTGAAAAATAACTCTTACTGTTTTAATGATTTTTGAATGAATTCTTTGTTCATTGAGCCTGTTGTGACATTTGCTTTTCAAGTTAGTACAAACAGTATTGTTCATACTGTATTGTGGTTGGAAATACTTTACAGTGTTCTAACATTTATACATTACCACCTGTAAGTGTATTGTATACCTTTATAATTACCTAGGTGATTGCATTTTAAGTCTTAATGTCTGTTTTTTTCCTTTGCTTTTATAATTTTTTTTAATTGGATTTTTTTCTAAATGTTTTTTATTTTCTATCACTTTTTCTATCACGACCTGCACTAAAAACGTTATCTGTTCAAATACATCATCATCACAAATTACATTTAATCAAACAATACTACTTAGGTGCTCAGAACTCCAGTCAGTTATTGACTGGAAAATTATGACTTTTTTTATTCTACTTAAGTAAAACTACATTAAAAAAGTCATTCTACATTTCAAAACATTTTGGCTATTTTCCCCACCTGTCTATTTTTTGTTCTTAGTTTTTCCAAGTTAAAGCAAATTATGACAGTTTTCATTATGTCCATATATTAAGAATCTTAAACCAGATACTGCTATTAAAATAATAGTGATACAAGAACATAACAAAAAGATGTTTTGACATAAATTGCCATTTGCAGTAAAAATAAAACCATAGATATTTAAAAGTGGAAAGCACTCCTTTACTAAAATAAAAGATTATGAGAGGAAATAAAACTGTAAGCTATGAAAAACACAAAAGAAAAAGGTCCCTATTGTGACAACATGGTTACAACAGGTTCCCACAGTCTGTTAAAAGAGGTTTTTGTAACTATAACAAGTATGTTATTTTTTCCATCTGGTATATACTCCAGACTTTTTTAAACCACATGTTTTAAGAGGGAGGATCAGGTATTAGCTATTTTGTACTTGTTAGGATTATTTTTATTATTTCATATATGAGTGTGTTAAACCTTAATATTACCTTCCTGTTATATGTCAAAACGAACATTTACCCAATCAATTTATCTCATTAGGACAGTTCTTCTGTCAGGATATACAGTTATTATATTTATTATGTACATAACAAAAATTGGGGAATGAAATCAAATGATACAGAGTGGATGTCTCCTAGAGTTATCATGCATTTGTAGCATAAATATTAAGACAGCAGTGAATAGCTCACAATGAAGGTCTGGAACAAAATGCAATTATTGTTTGGACTGCCATGGTCCAAGAAGTCTTTAGATAGGTAAACTTCTGATAGGCTACACATTTACCATAAAAAAATAAATAAAACAAACTTCCTTTTTCAAATTGAGTCCCTCTAGTGGCCAAATGCCAATCTGTGGCCATTTAAGGATGAAAAAAGGTCTATTTTTGTTGATGTTTGTCTGATCTGCGTATTTCTTCTGTGTGCAGCTACTTGAATCAGACTGATGTTGAGGGAAACGAATATGATGAAATCAATGATGTGTGCAGCGTAACCCTGGACAAGGCACCATGTGGGGTAAGTTTTAATTTTACTCAAGTTCACTCAAGACTTTTCATTTCTCAATACAAGTCTAATTTCCCTTAAAGCTGAGGGTTGGTTTTTTCCTTCTGTCCAATCATAATGCTTTTGATGCCCTCAGCTGACTGATGCAGTGGTGAACATAGCCCATGTTTTGCACTGTGCTGCTCGAAGTGAGCTGACGATGACAGAGACAACGATCATGAGATTGATAACTGAACTGGCTAAGCGTCTGAACTCCCTGGTCAAAGAGCTTTCCACAACAGTGAGCATATTCCTCTAATCTTCCAAACATTAGAGCCTTCAGTTTTACTCCATGACTGTGGAGATGCTTCTGTGTGCTTTGGACTGCTTTCATCTCTCCAGCGAAAACTCTAGTCGGTTGTTTCTTGTTCCGCAGAACATTGCAGAGCTGGTGTCAGACTTTAGGGAGATATTCAACGACACCGACCCCCAGTCTCTGACACAGCATCACCTGGACGATCCAGAGTTCATCGAACTCTGGTTCCAGGTCAAACTGCTGCCTCTTCTCCCAGACGTAGACCCAGACATCCTCTCCTGTCTGAGCACCAAGAACTTCTCCTGCCCCGTTTACCAAACTCTGTCAGTTCTCACTTTTTGGATATTAATAAAAGAATTTCCTCAGGGTTTAGTCTCACCACAATCTTTCTGTTTATTTCTTTTTTTTCCTACTTGCTGTCTGCAGGGTTGCAAAACTGAGTGATTCCATGATGCATATGGATGCTCCTGACATGTACAGTCACAACATCTACAAGTATTTCATCTATTCTTTCCTGCTGAATCACAACCACTCCGGTAAGCAAAGTAATAGTTTAACACTGCAAAGATGTATACAGTCAGATTTTTAATGTTTGTACATTTTACAGTTTCTTGTTTTGGGGTTAAACTGTATATCCAAATGGAAAAAGATGTGAGATAGCTAATCGTGGAATTATTTTTCATATTAATAGTCTAAACCTACAAGACCTTTTTATATGAGATGTAGCTTATACTGCATGTTTTGTCTGAAAATATTATTTAAGCTTGTGGCAAGAGTTAACAATGTGTAATTCAATGGGATATATACACTATATTGCCAAAAGTATTTGCTCACCCCATCCAAATTATTGGAATCAGGTGTTCCAATCACTTCCATGGCCACAGGTGTATAAATTCAAGCACCTAGGCATGCAGACTGTTTTTACAAACATTTGTGAAAGAATGGGTCGCTCTCAGGAGCTCAGTGAATTCCAGCGTGGAACTGTGATAGGATGCCACCTGTGCAACAAATCCAGTCGTGAAATTTCCTCGCTCCTAAATATTCCACAGTCAACTGTCAGCTGTATTATAAGAAAATGGAAGTGTTTGGGAACGACAGCAACTCAGCCACGAAGTGGTAGGCCACGTAAACTGACGGAGCGGGGTCAGCGGATGCTGAAGCGCATAGTGCGAAGAGGTCGCCAACTTTCTGCAGAGTCAATCACTACAGACCTCCAAACTTCATGTGGCCTTCAGATTAGCTCAAGAACAGTGCGCAGAGAGCTTCATGGAATGGGTTTCCATGGTCGAGCAGCTGCATCCAAGCCATACATCACCAAGTGCAATGCAAAGCGTCGGATGCGGTGGTGTAAAGCACGCCGCCACTGGACTCTAGAGCAGTGGAGACGCGTTCTCTGGAGTGACGAATCGCGCTTCTCCATCTGGCAATCTGATGGACGGGTCTGGGTTTGGCGGTTGCCAGGAGAACGGTACTTGTCTGACTGCATTGTGCCAAGTGTAAAGTTTGGTGGAGGGGGGATTATGGTGTGAGGTTGTTTTTCAGGAGCTGGGCTTGGCCCCTTAGTTCCAGTGAAAGGAACTCTGAATGCTTCAGCATACCAAGACATTTTGGACAATTCCATGCTCCCAACTTTGTGGGAACAGTTTGGAGCTGGCCCCTTCCTCTTCCAACATGACTGTGCACCAGTGCACAAAGCAAGGTCCATAAAGACATGGATGACAGAGTCTGGTGTGGATGAACTTGACTGGCCTGCACAGAGTCCTGACCTCAACCCGATAGAACACCTTTGGGATGAATTAGAGCGGAGACTGAGAGCCAGGCCTTCTCGTCCAACATCAGTGTGCGACCTCACAAATGCGCTTCTGGAAGAATGGTCAAAAATTCCCATAAACACACTCCTAAACCTTGTGGACAGCCTTCCCAGAAGAGTTGAAGCTGTTCTAGCTGCAAAGGGTGGACCGACGTCATATTGAACCCTATGGATTAGGAACGGGATGTCACTTAAGCTCATATGTGAGTCAAGGCAGGTGAGCAAATACTTTTGGCAATATAGTGTATCAGGTAATGCTAAAAGGTTATTTGATTTTTTCAAGGTTCTTGATAATATTAAAGAGGTATGTGGTGGAGGAAGTTATGCGATCCATTTCTAATTAGGATTGTTACCCAGTAGTTAGCAGACCACTTTTAATTAATTAAATAATGCATGCATGCATGCATGTGTGCAAAATGCATTTTAATTAATGCATTATACATCTGAAATTAGATCTATTCTATCTAAAAGTGGTATACTGTATTTTTCTATCCACATTTTATGTATAGATTTATTTGTAGCAAGGTTAAATAACTGTAAAATTTGAATAAAATGAGAGTATTGCAGCAGAAACTATTCAACATCCTAAATAGGCACAATATCACACTTAAAGTGCAAAGACTGTAAAAAATATTTTTTAGCAACCCTGCTGGTGTGAAGCTCTCTATGCAGCAGATTATTTCACGTATGTCTCAGACTGGGGCAGTCTAAAAACCATACAAAACTATTACTATTACTATTGTTAAATGAAAATAAATAAAAAATCCAAAATCTTGTGTGGAAGAAGTGCAGCAGCTTAGGATTATGACTGATGTTCAAAAAGATATTTCTAAATTAACTAAAAATGTTATAACATATGTGTCTTATATTAAATAATTCAACTATTCTCAATCCAAGTATTCAAAAAAAAGGTTTATTTATTCCTAATAAATGTTGTTTAAAATATTTCAGAGCCACGGTGCCAATCCCCAGCCAATCAGAGCGCAGAATGGGTGGAGATAAATTTTGGGTTCTTCTCAAGATTTGCCTCTGTCATGGACTTCTATGAGCTCAACCCACATTTCTCTGGAGTAAGTCTGGGAGCTGCTACTGGGCAAGATTAAGAAATAAATGAAGAAACTAGTGTTTATTTGTTTCAATATTTTCTCCTTAGCTGGAAGCTCTGCATGTCCTGTCTACGAAGCAGCTGGCAGAGATGCTGCTGATGCCTCTACCAACGCCACCAGAGAAAGATGTTGTCATCCATCGCGTGTTTGACTTCCTGTTTGAGTCTCCAGAAGACAGAAAACTGACAGAGGTTCTGCACTTTATGGTGGAGCTAGCCCAAGAGGTAAAAATAGTTTTTATCTTCAGAGACCAGCTGACTAATCTCCAACAAATCCAGAAGGATTGATATTCCTTTATCTCATTTGCAGGTCAATTCTTCCTGCAATGTCTATAAACTCATGTGAGTACCCTATATGGTTTTATACTACTCACCTATAAGGTATTTAATTTACTCATTAACATTTATTAAATACAACACTTTTTACTCAATTTATTGGCACCCCAGATAACAAATTTCTTCCTTCTAAAATCTGAAAAACCTGAAGAAAGTCACAGCCTATCTACCTGACTGTAATGCTTTCTGTTCTTTTTGGGGATAAGAAAAAAGGCCCCAAGTCAGGTCATACACCAATAAAAACTGGAAGTCAGTAATATAATATGTTTCTGGACAGTTTGGATAGATTCCAATTTGGTGATGAAACAAAAAAAAAGGATTGATTTACTTACTAAGTATTGTTAGTAATGTTGCTTACTCCGATATTTTGTTTTAAATTAGTTTGTTACATTATTTCCTAATCTTTTTTTTCTCTCCATTTCTTACTCATTAAAATTAATAAGACTAGATTAAAATCTCTGCCAGCAGTTCATGCAAAACAGCTGTTTGCATTCCTTAGATTTAGTTCATAATATTTTAGCCAGTCCTGCCATGTGTCGCTATATAATGCTATAGATTAAATCATCTTAAAATGGCTATAGTTTTAAGCATAAACCAAAAATATTGAAGCAACAAAGTTCATATTAACATTCCTTTTAAAAAATCAGATTTGATTTGTTCTGTTTTTTATGTCGGAATTAGAAGATTTTCATTTTTTACTGAAACTCCAAATAATCAAGCTTCCTGTTGTTTTTTTGTGGCTTATTTGATCTTGTTTGCTGTCATCATCTTGTTAGTTTTGATCGACTGGACGAAGCCATAACAATGCTGTCTCCAGACTTGGAATCGGCTATTTGGGCTAGCATAGAACAACTGATGAGCGTTGCACCAGAGGGTGAGCCTGTCAGCCTGAAAAACACACATGAAAGGACACGAACATCCACACAGACAATAACAGTTAAAAGCTCTGTATTGGTGCTGTTGTGTAATTAATATATTGCTGTTGTTTTCCACTTTTGTTTGAAACAGAATGTGTGCCAACAGACATCTCTGTAAGTACTTCATACCAAAGTTACTCAGAAATAACTTGTTTTGTTTTATAAGATCACCAGTAATTAAATAAACAATAATTTATTCTTTGCAGTGCCCAGACACTAAGATCAACAGTAAGTATTCTGTGTCCTGTCTTATTTTGTTGTTTATCAGTTTTATATATGTATTTTTAGAGTATAAGCAGTTAAGGGCTGAAACAATTAATTGTGATTTAAAGATTATTGAAATAACCTTCAATAACCTATTAATTAATAGTTAAGAGGGGTTTAGAGTCTTAAACATGCCTTTAGCTGAAAAGAAACCCACTTAGGGAGGTATTTTTAATAAAATAAAAAAATAAAAATATGAAAACATTTTAAATTTAAGATAAAAAATGTTTTGTTTGTCATTATGCTCTATCCAGAACTCTTCAAGTAGAAAAGTTATAGCTTCACTTTGTTCAATTCTGTAAAAAAAAAAAAAAAAAACTTTTGCTGTCTCATTAAAATCAATAAATTATTGGCAGATGAATCCATTAGTAAGCTAATCATTAGTTGCAGCCCTAATTCAGTGACACTTTTTACCTTTTTGACAGGTACTCACATCTGCAAAGGCATCAACAGGTAACTCCGTTTTGCATGATTTGTACTCAGTGCACTCAGTCTACCAAGATTATCATTAAAAGCCCCACAAATATACTTCTTACAGCTCTCCTCTTCAGACCTACTTCAACAGCTCCCAGCATGTTTCCTGTAACTTCACTCTGGAGGAATATGCTTGTGCACAGGTGACTGCCACCAAATGAAACAAAGTCAGCATGGAAATATTCGGATATGCTGCAGCTTTCTAACTGTCTTCTACTTGCAGCTGGAGGACTTCACGGCTGAACATCTGGCCTCCCTTATGAGGTGTAATCTTCCTGGTAAAAGCAGTAATTCCAGGGTTCTATGGAAGCTGCTCCTCACCAAACATTCAAGTGTTTTGAACCGAGCACTGGACCTTCTGGCTAACATGGTGGGTGGATTTTGGGATACGTAAAAGCATCCTGACGTTTTTTTCTTGTGTTCTATTAAGCTGGTTTATCTCCCCTACAGTCAATGGGAATGATCCCATCAGCCGAGGCGATTTTGGATGTGGTTGTGGAAATCAGGTTGTCGTCGCTGACCGATCAGGACCTGATGAACAGCAGTGTGATCAGGCTGTGGTTCATTGAACGTCTGGGCAGTTTCTTGCCATCTGCTTCAGGACGTTTCCTGCTCTGTCTGACCAGCAGGAACTTAAGCTGTGTGTCATACCACCAACTGTGAGTTAAAACACTTGCAAAAAGCTATCTTAGTCCAGTGTTTTATGATTGAGTAGTAATAGAATGATGTATTTGATTCTTATTTTTTTTATGTCAATATAAAAAATGCCTATTGATCATCAGGCAAACTTTTTTCAGATTTTAGCAGTTGGACATTAAAACCTACAGTTGGTTCTTGGTAACATTTTGATGATTTTGGACATTAGAACGTTTTTTCCAAGTGGCGTAAAGTGCAAGATTTAATCCTTTCAGTCTTGCTGTCTATGTTTGACAGAATTATATTACAGAAACAGATGCTAAAATTGGTTTTGTTCTTATAAGTAGCTTTATTTGCATTGTCTGGGACTTTTTTATTAAAATTCTGTTTCTGTGGGGTCTGGTATTCATCATTAGACTACAGGTTTTTGCTAACAACTTCAAGAAGATGCCCCTGGAGCAACAGCAGGTGATCTTAAAGGATTTCGTCCTTCGTTTCCTTCAAAAATCCAACTCCGGCAATCACTCAGGTAACCACTCAATAAATATACAATAATATATCTCTAGTCTTTGAGTGTTTACAGATCTCTCTCTGTCTTCCTACCCTTCCCCAGATCCAGGATGTTTGTCCTCTTTCAACAACAGTGCACAGTGGCTAAAGGACAACTTTGGGGCATTTTCACAACTGGTGTCTCTCAGAGAGCTGCTTCTTCTCAACCAGTTGTTCAAACCTGTGAGGCTTGGATGTTGTAAAAAACAATCAGGATGTTTTGAAATATAGCCAAAGCCACTGTGTTTTTCAATACATAAATAAATAAAACTGTTTTTTTGTACAGCTGGAGGCTATACAGGTCCTCTCACCCAAGCAAAGAGCTGAACTGCTGGGAATCACTCCTCCTGAAGACACAGACAAAGTCATCAACATCCTCTTTGATTACATGACCCAAGCACCAGAGGAAAGAGGATTTACAGAGTTCCTGTCATTCCTATCCCAGTTCACTGAAACGGTAAACAGAAAGTCTGTTGATATTAAGGATATTTTTAAGGCAACAGGTTAAAAATAGTTGTTTAATTTTTACACTTTTTCCTTTTGTCCAATAGGCAAACCTTTCCTGTTCATCCTACATAAAACTGTGAGTTTCCAAAAGTAGAAACTAAAACTGATGTTTTTGACTGTAATGACCTTCATAGCATTTGGAGAAAAGAAAGCCTGCGAGCCTAAGAACACTGACCTAGATATTGAGTATGGGAGGTCCACTTCACAAAATAACATAGGCTGTGTCTGAAGGTCTACCCAAAACACTATATAGGGCACCATATAGGGGTTATGCCCTTTTAGATGAGTGTCCGAATGTCTAGTGGATGAAAAAGTAGTCGACTCAAAATTTCCCACAATGCAATTTGAAAAGTAGTGATCATCCTTAATCACTAAATGAGCAGATTGTGATAATAACGTAACTCATAACGTAGGACCCAGCATTCAGGCAAGACAGACAGTGAAAAAGCTCTAGTAGTGATCTGAGTCCACTATATAGTCTCAGCCCTATGTAGTGATTGAGGTATCTAGTGATTAGGGTAGACATTCGGACACAACCATAGTGAGAAAAGGAATTATTGCAGAATAATTTGTACAACCTCTATATCAGCTAAGAAGTTAACCTTTGGGTGCAGTTGGGTTTCTGACTGGACAATGACAATTTGTTCATAGCTAAATTCATAACAAAATCACTTAAGTACACAAAAGTCAATGTTTTGGAGTTTCCATCAATAAGACTGTATCTTAGCCTCATAGGATATTTGTCAGTAGAACTGAGAAGTGTGCATCAGAGGGTGGCCTAGACACAAGACTCAGCTGCATCAATTCTATTAGTTTGACTGACCTAAAAATGCCTTTCCTTACAGCTTCACCAGACTGGATGTTGCCTTGGTAACAGCTTCTCCTAACATAGCTTCCTCCATCACATACACCAAGATGGCTTTATCCAAGCAACTACCACATGGTGAGGGTCCTTTAAAAGAAAGACAGACATATTTTATGTTTGGCAAAAACCAGATATTGTTCTACTTTAACTTAAATTTTCCTATCAACAGTTTCTCTCCCCCCCGGTTTAACATTTTCCTTATAAACTGTGAAAACATTTTTAAATTTTTGTCACTAATAACAATTGTAGCGATGAGAGATGGTAGATTTTCCTGAAATTTTAGATATAAGGGAACTTGCTAAACTCGAAATATAAACTTAATGATTGTTGTTTACTGCATAAATATTCAATAAGTTAATATCATATAATTTCATTTTATTTGAAAATGAATTTTCTATTTGTATAATGTCTAAGGATAGATTTAACTAATTAGATTTTTTTTGTGTTTTTATTAGACTGCATCATCTACAGTGGAGAGGTAAATATGTTAATGTGTTGAAGTGGTTGGTTTATTTTCACCTTTTGTTGGATTGTTTTCTACAGTCAGTAACCATTTCATTGCTTTCTCTGTTTAGTGCAATGTAACAATGACAAATGGTAAGTTATCTCCCACTAAATAAAGACCTTTATTTACAATTGTTTTGCTTTTTTATGTAGATTAATATTCTAACTAATCTTTCAACTTCTTACAGAGACAGAAATCTGTATGAGAGTCAACAGGTATGATTGTGTATCACTGTGTAATATTTAGACTTTAACCTTTTTTAGTTAAAAAGTTAAATTATGAATACATTTTTTTTTTTATCACAGCACAAAGCTTCAGAACTACTTAGACAGCAAGACGATGGCGGGACAGCACTGCACCTTCTCTGTTGAGGAATTTGCCTGTGCCTCAGTAAGACATGGCATCATAAACTATCTTCAATCTACATGTGTGTGAAAAGGATTCCGCTTATAATATAGCATCTAATCTGTTTTCATTCCCTCATTAGCTGTCAGATCTAAAAGCTGAGGACCTGGTCGCCATGCTGAGTTGTAACAGGACCTCCAGCTCTAATGGCTCTAAACTCGTCTGGAAGCTATTCCTTTCTAAAGCCTCTAGGGTCCTGGATGAGGCTCTGGATCTGATGGCTGACAATGTAAGGAAGAGTTTTTGTCACAGTATAAATAATCTTTAACCCTTTATCATCTTGAGGTTTAGTATCATTATTAATAATGTTTTTGTTTTTCTATTTACTTTGTTTTCATTTATGACAAATACTGATTTGAATTCATTAGATTTAAATAAATCAAAGGGTTTACAAACTTGTGTAGTCAGGGTAAAACTGTTTTCTTGGTTTTCTTAAGAGGATAAAAATACTTTTGGGGATATTTCTTGAATCTTTGTTACTGTGCATACTTACTCTTTGACAGTAATGTAAATATAAACAAAAATAGTTACTTATGATCGTCCATAGTATAAAGAATCTTTAGCTCTTTATCATCTTGAAGTTTAGTATAATAACAAATCCTTCTTATGTTAATGAAAATGTAAATAATAATATTGACTTTGGATAATTAATTTCTGCAGATGCTCGACCCCAGCAGTCCCTCCACCTCTATGATCCTGGACTCCATACGAGAACTCCGGTTGGATTTTGTCGACACGGTCACCTTTATCAATCCCGACTTCATCCAGAAGTGGTTTGGCCGCCGCCTTCGTCCGTTCCTGCCAGCAGTTTCCAACAGCTTCCTTTCATGCCTTTCCTCAAAAGCACTGAACTGCAGCACCTACCAGCACATGTCAGCATGGATTCATTTATTCTTTATAACTGCTTGAGAAATAACTTCACCTCTTTCCTAATGCCTGATTATCAAATAAAATTTTTATTTTCAGTTTGAAAATGCTGAATGAGATCCAGCCACACATGATGCATGAAAGGCAGATGTCTGTCTTCACTCACTTCATAAGGGTTTTCCTGACAAGGAACAACACTGCAGGTAGGAACCTTGAAGATGCATAAAGTAGTCCTTGCCATGTGGGTTATTATAGTGAAAAAACTCTAATAAAGATGTGAAACATTAGAAAAAGAAGGAGTTTTAGGAAACATACATTTATTTCTATAAAGTATCCATTGCTTTTTTTCTTTTTAAGTTACAACTGTATGTGTATTGGCTTCATGGTGGGGGAATAGCAATAGGACCAGATACTATCTGTACTGTGATGTTGACATGTTGCTGTTTATTTTCATTTAGTTAAACTTTAAGCTCAAATGAACACCTGAAAAACAATATTTGAAAGCTTGATAAATGTCCACAGATGGTTGCGTAGTTATAAACAGAGTTCACCAAAAACTATATCATATAGTCTAGTTTATTTTTTGATGCAATTATTTGTCATCCAAAAGCGGGTAAATATCAGTTCATTCACTCCTCAATAAATCTGCATTAATATATCTCTAGTCTTTGAGTGTTTACAGATCTCTCTCTGTCTTCCTACCCTTCCCCAGATCCAGGATGTTTGTCCTCCTTCAACAACAGCACACAGTGGCTAGAGGACAACTTTGGGGCATTTTCACAACTGGTGTCTCTCAGAGAGCTGCTTCTTCTCAACCAGTTGTTCAAACCTGTGAGGCTTGGATGTTGTAAAAAACAATCAGGATGTTTTGAAATATAGCCAAAGCCACTGTGTTTTTCAATACATAAATAAATAAAACTGTTCTTTTTGTACAGCTGGAGGCTATACAGGTCCTCTCACCCAAGCAAAGAGCTGAACTGCTGGGAATCACTCCTCCTGAAGACACAGACAAAGTCATCAACATCCTCTTTGATTACATGACCCAAGCACCAGAGGAAAGAGGATTTACAGAGTTCCTGTCATTCCTATCCCAGTTCACTGAAACGGTAAGCAGAAAGTCTGTTGACATTAAGGATACTTTAAAAGGCAACAGGTGTAAAGTAGTTGTTTAATTTTTCTGCTTTTTCCTTTTGTCCAATAGGGAAACCTTTCCTGTTCATCCTACATAAAACTGTGAGTTTCTGAAAAAAGAAACTAAAACTGAGGTGTTTGACTGTAATGACCTTTATAGCATTTGGAGAAGAGAAGGCTTGTGAGCCTAAGAACACTGACATAGATATGGGGCATGGGGGTGGAACCTTCATGATGTGGAAGTGTTTTGCTTCAGGAGGGGCTGGTCCACTTCACAAAATGAAATAGTGAGAAAGGAAGTATGGCAGAATGATCGATGCAACATCTACATCAGCTAAGAAGTTAACCTTTGGTTGCAGTTGGGTCTCTGGACAATTTGTTCACAGCCAAATTCGTTTAAAAAATGACTTAGGTACTCAAAATTCAATGTTATGGAGTGTCCATCATAAAGACTGTTTCTTAGCCTCATAGGATAGCTTAGGTAGAGCTAAGAGGTGTGCATCAGACACAAGACTCAGCTACATCAATTCTGTCAGGAGGAGTGGGCCACAGTTCCAGAGAAATATTATAAGAGGGCTGTGAGAGAGAAACTAAGCATTTTACCCCAGTCATACAGTGTAAAGGCATTTCTACCAAAATATGAAGGAAATGTACCAGTATGTAAACATTTGAATATGAAGAATGTGGTGCTTTTTAAAGAAATATTACTCTGCTGTTCTAATATTTGGTACGCATGAATCATTTTGGTGATCCTAACTAAATATAAGAAAATTGTTAGTTTGACTGACCTAAAAATGCCTTTCCTTACAGATTCACCAGATTGGATGTTGCCATGGAAACAGCTTCTCCAAACATAGCTTCCTCCATCACATACACCAAGATGGCTTTATCCAAACAACTACCACATGGTGAGGGTCCTTTAAAAGAAAGTTGATACATTATATTGTTGGCAAAATGTAGATATTGTTCCACTTTAACTTACATTTTCCTATCAACATTTTCTTCCCCCCCCATTTAACATTTTCCTTATAAACTATATAAACATTTTTGAATTTTTGTCACTTATTAAAATTGTAGCACTGATAGATGGTAGATTTCCTAGGAGGTTAGATATAACAGTACTTGATAAACTTTGTTGCTTATTGCATAAATATTCAATAAGTTAAAATTATGCTTTCATGTTATTTGAAAATGTATTTCTTTTTCTATCATATCTTGGACTAGTTTTAACTCATTTTAATTTTTTGTGTTTTTCTCAGACTGCATCATCTACAGTGGAGAGGTAAATATGTTCACGTGTTGTAGTGGTTGGTTTATTTTCATCTTTTGTTAGATTGTTTGTTTTCTACAGTCAGTAACCGTTTCATTGCTTTCTCTGTTTAGTGCAATGTAACAATGACAAATGGTAAGTTATCTCCCACTAAATAAAGACCTTTATTTACAGTTGTTTTGCTTTTTTATATAGATTAATATCCTAACAAATCTTTCAACTTCTTACAGAGACAGAAATCTGTATGGGAGTCAACAGGTATGATTGTGTAATATTTAAACTTGAACCTTTTTTAGTTAAAAAGTTAAATCATTAATATGTTTTTTAACCACAGCACAAAGCTTCAGAACCATTTAGACAGCAAGACGATGGCGGGACAGCACTGCACCTTCTCTGTTGAGGAATTTGCCTGTGCCTCAGTAAGACATGGCATCATAAACTATCTTCAATCTACATGTGTGTTAAAAGGATTCCGCTTATAATATCGCATCTAATCTGTTTTCATTCCCTCATTAGCTGTCAGATCTAAAAGCTGAGGACCTGGTCGCCATGCTGAGTTGTAACAGGACCTCCAGCTCTAATGGCTCTAAACTCGTCTGGAAGCTATTCCTTTCTAAAGCCTCTAGGGTCCTGGATGAGGCTCTGGATCTGTTGGCCGACAATGTAAGGAAGAGTTTTGGTTACAGTATAAAGAATCTTTAGCTCTTTATCATCTTTAAGTTTAGTATCATTAATAATATATATTTTTTGTTTTTCTATTTACTTTGTTTTCATTTATGACTCTTTATAAAATAAATTCAAAATAATACTGATTTGAATTCATAAGATTTAAATAAATCAAAGGGTTTACAAACTTATGTAATCAGGTTAAAACGGCTTTCTTGTTTTTTTAAGAGGATAAAAATACTTTTTCGGGATATTTCTTGAATCTTTGTTACTGTGTATACTCGCTCTTGGACAGTAATGTAAATATAAACAAAAATATTTACTTTGGATCCCTCATTGTTACAGATGCTTGACCCCAACAGTCCTTCTACCTCGATGATCCTGGACTCCATACAAGAACTCCGTTTGGATGTTGTCAACCTGTATGCCCTTAACAATCCCGACTTCATCCAGACGTGGTTTGGCCGCCGCCTTCGTCCGTTCCTGCCAGCAGTTTCCAACAGCTTCCTTTCATGCCTTTCCTCAAAAGCACTGAACTGCAGCACCTACCAGCACATGTCAGCATGGAATCATTTATTCTTTATTACTTCTTGAGAAATATATTTATCTCTTCTTTAAATGGAGTGATAATCATATGACTTTTTCATTTTCAGTGTAAAAATATTGAGTGAGATCCAGCCACACATGACCCATGAAAGGCAGATGTCTGTCTTCACTCACTTCATAAGGGTTTTCCTGACAAGGAACAACTCTGCAGGTAGGAACCTTGAAGCTGTTGACACAATTTTCCTTGCTGCTGTGCAATAATGATATTTCTAATGCTCACTCCTGTCTGGGTGGCAAATAGGTTATTTAATAAAATACTATTTGGACTGTCATGTTAGTCTGGGGTTGACAGTCTATGACAGTGACATTCTATGGGAATGAGTGGGAGTTGAACTCAGAACCTCTGGAACCCAAGTGCAATGCTCTAATCACCACTTAATTTTGCCAAAGTAATTTTTTGAGTTGGCTCTAAAGAGCTTTTTAACCTATTTTTCTCATATTGATTCTGGTATGATGATATAGAGCTAATATGTTCAGAAGAGTTCATTATGTTCTGTTGTCTCTTGATCAGATCCCACCTGTAGCTCCGGCACAAGCAACAGTGGAGACTGGCTGAAGAAGAACCTCGGAGGGTTTTCTGACCTCGTCTCTATCCAGGAGCTTCAGGAGCTCTACCCCAACTTCTCACCCGTAAGTTATGATGCATGAATCCAGTGTTTTGTAATTTCTTTCTGTTTTTGTCCTTTTTGCTTTCTGTGTTACTGTATAAATGGATGTGTTTCTATATGTGCAGACGGATGCCCTGGCATACATGTCTGTCGATCAGCTGGTGGCATTATCCACAACACCTGGCCTGCTCACATCTCCTGACCAGGTTATCATGGTGATGAGCTATGTCCCTGACCACAAGCTCACCTCCTTCTTTGATGGGTTCTCAACTTCCATCGCGGTAAGCAAAGCTACTATAGCTATGACATGTTGACATTTATATTTAATACATGTAAATAAATAGTTTGTAAGTAGTTTATTTTTTCAGCATGATTACTTTGTTGGTATTTCTTCTTTTCCCTGCAGGGTAATGAACACTTGATGCCCTCTACTGTGAGGTCTGCCATGCTGCAAGTCGTCTTCGACCGTGCAAACCTGTCCCGTCAGTCAGTGGGTGATTCAGAGGTATCCCAGTGGTTCCAGTATCGACTGCCTCCTCTGGTCATCAACCTGACCTCCTCCCAGGTCAACCCATATTTCCAGATAATGCAGGGAAGGAACTGTAGCATCGAGCGTCAGGGGTAAGAAGGAAAGCTTCAACAACCAGGCTCTAGATATATATTGCTTGACAGGAATGATCCCTCATTTTGGAGTTTCTCATATATCATCACACAACAATCACTCACCAATGTGGCAGACCAACAAAAAGCAGTGCATAGTTGAGAAGTGGAGAGATTTTTTTTTAAATGACAAAAGTCTGAAAAGTTTGAATTTCATTTATATTCAGTACTGTCTTATCAATTAAAAGCTGGTCCCTTATGGAAACTGACACAACTGAAGACCTTCCAAAACATTTTCATCATCCTAAACTGAAAGGAAAAAAAGGAAAACATTCATCAAATAAACAGCACAGATGGTAACTGTCTGATTCTGATTCCTTGAACTCCAGTCGGCCTCGGCAGATGGCCGCTCACACTGAGCCTGGTTCTGCTGGAGATTTCTTTCTGTTAAAAGGGAGTTTTTTCTCTTCACTGTCGTTACAAGCATGCTTAGTGTGAGGGATTGCTTTCAAGTCAATGAAATGAAGCAATCAACTGGTTTTCCTTAGATAGAAAACTTTGAATCAGTTTGACTGTATGATCTGATGAACTGTAAAGTGTGTTGTGAATTGGCGCTATATAAATAAACTGAATTGAATTGATTTGAATTTAATCTTAGGTTGTCTATTTTAAAGCCTAGCTAAGAAGATTGCTTGATCTTGGGATTGTTTTTCTTCTTTAGCTGGAAAATGTATCCTAATCATTCAGACAAAGTGATAATAGAGATGGCTGGATCATGGGGGCCTGACTCCAGTCCTAAGTGTTGGAGAAGGGTTGCATTAACAGTTGGAGGATGGTAGCTCTGGAGAACTGGACTTGAAAACCTCTGGTTTACACCAAAGTTTAATTATCTGTTCACAGACACTGTTCTTCTGATCCCACTGAGCCTAAGATAAAAATTAAGATGGATAAATTGTGTCTCAAGATACCAAGAGATGGTAAAGATATAACCCCTAAAACCTGAAACATTATTTGCTACAAAAGATGGTAACTCTTGCCTATTTAGTACTTTTTAAAGAAAGAAACATCAAGTTCTGGAATAATTTTTCCCGTAAAATAACAGTTAATTGCTACTTTGCATTGATTGATTACATAAAATATATTTAAAACTGTACTTGTCATGAGAGATTGTGTGAAATGATTTCATGAAGGATACCTCCTCCTGGTTGTTTCATTAAATCCCTTTTCTAAAAATCTTTGGATTTCTTTTTTTTCTATTTTAGGGTAAAGCTTCTTAATTCGACGATCCACACACTGAGCAGTGATTCACAGAAGGAAATCTACAACCATATCATTCTGACTCTGAAAGGTAAAGAAATAAAGCTGATGCAAAGATTATTCTCTTCTCCATTTCAAACTGCTTGGTGATGGTCGGAAAACTCAGCCAGATAACCAAAATAAATTGTTGCAAGAAAATGACAAACTTTCTAGTATATTTTTGTTATTCCATATTTTCATTTTTTTTTTTTATTCTTTTTCCTCTTACATAAGGGATCATATGGTTGAGCACAGATTGAGGGATACAGTGGGTTAGCATTAGGGTTATAGTTAATCAGTCACATTTTTTTTCAGTATAAAAACTTTGAAACATTCTTTGTTCAAAAAAAGCACACATTTTACACACCTTTAAGAGTGAAGACGACAAATTATGTAAAAAAATCTTTCCTTTTTTTTCAACAGCCTCTCCAGCTCTCCGTTGTTATGGTAGCAACTACAACAACAGCTTCTACAGCTTCGTGGAGGACTCGTTCATGGGGTTCCAGTTCCCCAACCTGACCATCTTCCTGTCCCTCATGCCTCCCGACAGAAAGCACCTGGTATGTTGACATAATAGCAGTAAGGTGTGAGTAAGGTGTGCTTAGGACCAACAGGATGATTTATTTGATATTTCTTATCTTTCAGCTATTGAACTCCATGCCTCCTTCACATCTGGGGAATTTGTTGCGTCGACAAGATGTTATTGAAAACGAAGCGCAGCTCTGTGATCTCTACAGCAGCTATGACAACACACCAGTGTTTTTGGAGACTGTATGTACAACCTGCAATAAAATCTCAAACACTAGATTGTGATGTGACAAACGAAAAGCCAAAACCTGTTTAATTCACTACAGGAGTCTCTGCCGGCTGAGGTCAGGCGTCCCACTCTGCCTTGTGTTTGGCCAACGGCCCTCAGCAGCTCCAGTAGGTCAGAGGCTGACGCTTGGTTCGACAGACGTCTAGAAAACTACTTGGTATTCCTCTCAAAGAGTCTGATCAGTCCTGATGTTACATACAACACATCCTGTCTGGCCTTCCAGAAGTTGTAAGTTTTGAAGCAGCTTTTTTTTCTTTCTGAAGATTATATTTTCACTTCCGTGTCCTGATTGAATTTTGTACCATTTTAGCGTCTTGGTTCTTGATAAATTCAACTACACTGCAGCAGATTTTCAGCGGCAAGACATGTTCGACACCATCAGGGCTTATCTCCAATCAGGTGACTTTGAACGTAAAACCAAAACACATTTACAATTGTATTTATTTCTGGGACTTTTGATTTGAATTAAATTCAAGGTATTAAAATGTGAGCTGACTGATAGGCCTACTTAGAAGGGGTACATGCAGTATACAGTAATTAAGGGGTACATTGTACAGGGTAACCAGTCAGTTCTTAATACTGCCAGTTTCATATTTTCTCTTATTGGAGGGATGACAGCATGCTGGAACAAGCATACTAACTCTGCTACTGTAGGAAATCTGAGGAGAGAGCTAAAGCAATAAAAATGTTTTTGGTTATTATTAAAGACAGAAGATTAAACATAAACATAGCATTTAAGTAAAAATGCCAATGTTCATGCATATAAATTATTTTCTCATAGATAGAAACAAACCTTTTCTCCTAATTACCCTGTCAGTACCAAATATAATCCATTTTAGGTCACTTTTAAGAACCCTTTAGATATCTGGTGAGTTACTTCCAGGTATCACCCATTAGAACCCAAAAAGGTAGCCTAGAAGTAGCCCATGGTTTTCTAGAAAGTACCAATAACATACCCTGCATGAATATTCTAATTTTCTCCCATGTATTCGGGTACCAGGTAGTGTTAAGTAATGCTGCCAGTTTTCATTAAACACTTACAGTCTTTGCATATTTCAACGAATGGCAAAAGGTTGAGTCCAAAATAGTAGTTATGTACATTAAAAATACTGTCTAAATATTCCTAACCTTTCACATTAGCAACAACGCCAAGATGTTATGATTCCAACGACCCGCAGCTGAACTCAACCGCTTGGTTTGCTGAGTACATCGGCCCTTTCATGCCATTCCTCACCCCAGAGATTCTTCAGACCTTTGGAGCGAATGAGGTACTTAATAAGGATGAGGAGAAATTTTAAACTTTTGTTTGTTTGGTGTAAAATTGGGAGAAGATATCTAAGAGATGCGGTTTTGATTTTCTTTGGTCCTTATAGGCTCTGCAGGTGTTCACAGTAAACCCAGCCAACATCGCGCTCCTCAACCATTCAGTCTTACCACAGAACCTCACTGACTTTTACACTCAGCTGGTCTACCAGCAGGACAGTAACTTCAACCCACTTCTGTGAGTTTGCGTACAGCAATCAGTCAAATGTTACAGATGTAATGTTTGGGGTTTCTTTATGTCTTGGGTGCATTATTTATTTGTGTTCCCTGCAGTCTTCCTTTATTGTGCCGGTGTGTCGCTCCTGGTATGGCCTTCACCCAGCTGACTGCAGAAGAAAGTTTGATAGTATTGGAGAACCTCACCATCGTGTGTCTAGATCTGGATCCACAGGTAACAAGCACAGAGAAGGCTAATTTTGACTAAAAGACAGGAGACGATTTAAAGATTGTATTTGTTTCATATTAGCATCGGCCATCTGATTGTTTATTTTTTTAGGAGAAATAAAGGTTGTATGGATGTAGCCTGCTAGTACAAATGAGGATGAGGGTCCACTTGTAAAATTTTACTTTCTGTCCTGTATGCAGAAAAAAGGCTGTGACTAAAAACCTTTTCCTTTGCCGCTGTAGATTTCTGCTGCTCTTTCTAGTAACTTTGGTAACAACGTCGATTCCAACACCATTGCCGCCCTGGGCAATCAAAGCACCAGCATGTCTACAGGCCAAATCAAGAACATAAATCCTCAGGAACTTATCAATTCCCTCAGTATTCTAAGCAGTGTGATAGGCTGGAGCGACGGACAGGCTAAGACAATCGTTGCGTCGCTGTTGTTGATGATGAAGGTATAGTTTCTGTCCTCACACATTTCATGTCACAAACATAAAGGTCAGACCAGACCAACGAGCGAGTCGTCTTAATGATTAACACTCTCTGATCTGTGTGCTGCCACTACTGCTTTCTTTATCCCACTAGATCAATAACTCTTCAGCTCTGTTTATGCTGGGTTCTCTTGTTACTGGGGTACCGGCCAGGGTTTTCGGCCAAATGAACGCTTCCGATATTTTGGTTGCATCCAAAAACCCCTCGCTCATAGGACACATGATGTCGGCTCCAAAGGTCATCCAGCAAGTTTTTGTCACTAAGGTATGTCAGAAGTTTCCAATTACTAATAGACCTTAATTATATCCATCCATCCTTCCATCCATCCATCCATCCATCCATCCATCCATCCATCCATCCATCCACCCATCCATCCATCCATCCATCATCCATCGTTTTATTTATTATTTTATTTAAACAGATTTTAGAGCACACACTTAAAGTTCTACAGGTGTTACAAGCAACAACATCAAAAAACATAGCTAACATTTGGACTATGTACAGCCTGATATTCAACACCTTCCTTTCAGATTGTTTCTGCTAACAACAACAACGAGATGATAATCGAGAACGTTCCAGATGAAATGGCCACGGAGATCCCTCGGGTTCTGCTGCAGGGCTTTACAGTCAAAGAAACCGTCATCACCAGACTCAACAGGAAGAAATGGAAGCGGGAGCAGGTAGACGAGATTTCCCATGAATATAAACTGCTGAAGTTTGTTCATGTGTTTGCTTTCAGCGCATAAACTTGTTTTTATGATCTTTTTTTGTCAGGCTGAGCTGTTTTTTGCAGTAATTGCTCAGGAAAATTCTACAGCTATGCTGGGAAGTGAAAATGAGTGAGTCAAACAATATTTCTACCAATCTGGTTTGAAGTTATGTATGCAGAGTATGTAACTGTATAGTTAAGACTGCTCAGTGATAATAGTGTGTATGTGTTTGTGTAGTTTGTCCTCCTCTGTCCTGCAAGGATTCACATGCACAAGTGTAAGAACATTCAAAAAGGTGCAGATCAAAAATCTGGTCAAAGCCTGTCGGCGGAGAGGAAGAAATAAAGTCACACTGGTGGAGTCTCAGGTGAGGACCAGGGAGTAGAAATGTATTTCCGGTGTTAGGGGAAAAAAAGCAAAGGCTCTCTAATTGATAATGAATGTCTAGTAGGTAGGTAGATACAACTTTCATGAAACAAAGGTCATAAAACAAATTTTAATTGCTGACTAGTTGACTTGAATAAATTCAAAACACATTGAGAATTTCTTTATTTGTGGAAAAAAAAACTTAGGGAGGGTAACAAGGGTGTATTTGAAGGTAATTTATTATCATTGGTTAAAACTTCAAATATGTCGTCAAAAACTTCCACTAGTTTATGATAAAAAAAGAACTTGATAAAAGAAGAGGAAAGTTGCATAAAGGCAAATGCTATTTTATAGAACTGTAAGTATTCCTATATTGCACCACTTAAATGTAATTTTACCAAGATTTTTAGTTTTTTAAATACCTTCTGATTTTCTCATTTATTACAATTTCCAATTCTGCAGTAAAGGAAGCATCGATATAGGTTAACGATTCATATCTTCTTTGTTTTTATCCCAACTTATCAGTTGACCTGCATGTACAACCACATCAGTGCAGAATCCGACATCACCAGCTTTGACCTTTTCCCTCCTGATGTGCTGCTGTACTATGAGTAAGTCCCTTGTTACATTTTTGTTGGCCTTTTTTTATTCATTAATAACTTCACAATATCCATTTCCCTCCACAGCTACTCTCTGGTGCCACAGGTAAGCTGCAGGGCATACTTTGAACAGCTGGGTGATGCTGACTTCTCAGTTTTCTCCTCGGACCTCACCTACAAACGGATCGCCCTCTTTGACAATGCTAGGAGCTGCCTGGTAAGGACCAAAAAAAGTCTATATTATATTGTTTAAATAAAGATTGCCTTTGGCATGCCAAGTACCTAAAGTTATGTATGTAGTTGTGGTGTGGAATGGCAGGTTCTTCCTGGTTCGAATGCCTATGGTGAACTGGTTAAAGTCTGGCTGTGATACAGGGGACCTGGGTTCAAATCCACAATAAAACTCTCAGGTTGAGTGGAGGATAGAAGAGGACCCAAATGCAGGGAATGAAGCTGAAATGGTTTCTTTCAGATTTATTATTCCATAGGTAGCAACTGAAGGCAAAAATCCCAAAAAACAAAATACAGAAATTCTGAAGACGTCAGGGAAAACACAGGAGGATAAAAAAAAATGACAAGGAACCAGCAAACAGTGACTGAAGAGGTGTATTTATGGGTGACAGAAAGAAAGACCAGGCTAAACAGCAGACTGGGAGCAGGTTTGGATAGAGGAATCTAGAAGGGAGCTAGGGGAAAGGAGTCTGACACAAGAGGGCAACAGAGGGCAAACAAGAAATACATAGGAAATCAAATACATCCAGAAAACACCACAAAATGGGAATTAAACTGAAAAAAACTAGAAAACACAGAAAAAAACATGAATCAAAGTGAAAGTGAAAGCTCAAAAAGAAATCTTAAACAGAACCAAAAAGTGCATAATCATGACACAGAATCATGACAAAAACAGCTTAATCATTATGTTGTTTAAAGATCCTTTAAAATGGTTCTATTATCTTTTATTAGATGCTTGTCTCCTTTACTATGAAAATCTTTTTTGTAGTTTAAAAAGTATTTTAAGCTAAAACCTGCCTTTGTTATGCATTAACTTTAAGCTTAATAGAAATCAAACACTATAATTCACATAAATTCTTAGGCTGTGTAGGCAATTTTGAAATGAGGTGAAAGGATGATTAACATAACTGGAGTGACTAAAATGTATCAAGTTTCTTTCAGATGGGTGTTTTTTTTTCTTTCTTTTTTTTTTTATGTTCCGATCGTATTTTGCTTATTTCTCTTTTTCTATTAAAGGGCATAGCGAGCACAAGCTTGACAGCGGATCAAATAAACGTTTTGGGAAACATGTGTTGCTTCCTGAATGCATCCTACATCCTGAACTCTGATTCTTCCATGTTGGAGAAACTAAAGACCTGCCAAGACCTCTCTGATGCTCAAGCAGCTGCAGTGGAAGCTGTTCTGATCAAGGGGAACACTACATATGGGTAACCACCAACACTGAATCCACTTTTTATGTCGAATAAATATCTGTAGTTTTTGGCAGAAAATGGTTGCCTTTATCTCCTTATAAAACATCAATTTCTGTTGCTTTTTAATATCCAGAAACCCTTCAACATGGACTGACACAACTCTGAGGAGCCTCGACACATTGCCTTTGTACATGTCTTCAGATTTCTATGACAACTTTGAAAAAGTAAGTAATTAATGTGCGCATTCCGCATACATTCTCCTGAAGGGGGATAAAGTATGTTTTCTTTTTTTTATAATGTTCTTCTTATTCCTCTTTGCAGCCTGTAAAGCGCAGATTCCTAAGATACTTCCTGAAAGTTCTCAGACAGAATAGAGTCAGTCGAGCAAAGAGGAGGAGGATGAAGGCAGAGATAAGAAAATCTATCAGAAAAAGAACGAGACGAGATGCAGGTCAGTTTTATTTCACTTTACCTGGTTTTGTTTTACCCACTGATTACTGATTTTTTCCTATTCCTTCCATTCATTTTCAGTCAGTGAATGCACCGTGGGAACAATCAATGAAGTTGTCATCAGTGATGAAAGTTTCCCCTTGGACTATGACGACGTCAATCAGTTCAACAGCTGTCTCAGTGCTGCAACGGTCAGAGACAACCTGGAAGCCATCACCCAGAAGGTTGATCTAGAAGATTACCTTAAGATTGTCCTCGAGAAGCTAAGACAGGTATGTAGACAGAGCATGTCTTTATAATAGAGGCAGCAATATTCATGACCTGGTTGAGTAGCATTTTCAAAAGGACAGGGTTTATTTAAAGATGTGAAAATTATATTAATCAAAATGGGCAATATTTGATTTGTTACACAGCAATTTCTAGCAGCAGAAAATAGGTTTTCTCAGCTGGGGTTTCTACAAAACAGCATTCATATTTTAGTCTATCATGAGGCTGCCAAGTCAAGGAAGGCTGCCATTGAAGCAGCAATGAGCCAAATTTTTTTACTTTAACTTCCTATGATGGTAAACTGTTTTTTAAAGACAGTTAAATGGTCGGTCATCTCCTCCTACTGTGGTGTGGAAAACCACACTTGCTTATTTCTACGCCACTGACCCAGCCGTAGTGTCCAGCTCTAATCTGGCTCTCGCCTTAAGATGAATAGCTTTAGAGCAGCCCAATATAAGGCTGCTGGCATTAGTAACTCAAAAATGACTTATTTCTGCTTTACTGTAAATTATCCAATGATTTCATAATCTAACACTTTCTTGAATACATTAGTGTTTTATTTTTTTTGTTGATTTAAAGAGTCATAACCTGGTATTTTACATATACTATCCTCCAGAAATTGTCTCTGAATTCACCTTTAGTCTATTTTAGGGGATTTATTTGTCTTTGTTTTGATAGAAGTTTATATATGGGGAGTGTTGGCCTAGTTGTTAGAGCAGGTTGCAAGTATACAGTTCGATCCCCACAGCCTCCACTCTGGGTTTCTGAGCAAAACCCTTAACCCCTGATTGCTCCCCGGGTGCCACACAATGGCAGCCCACTGCTCCCTAAGGGGATGGGTCAAAATGCAGAGAGCAAATTTCCTCATTGTGGGACAATAAAGGTTTACATTACATTACATTAATCTCTTGCTATGTATTTTAGTGAGATTCAGATCACATGAAACAACAGCTACCAGCATGATCTCTCTTTTACAGCTATCATCTTTAGGCAGAACCTAGATTCTTTCAGAAAATAAATAATGTAAGCGGCATGTGAAGCGGTTTCAGTATGCATGACATGCAGGAAAATTAAGACATGACTTTGAAAAACAATGTCTGCATGAATGTTGCTTTATGGAGGTTTAGTTTAAAAAAAAAAATTCTAGATCATTTAACATTTAGAGGTACTGTCTGTTGAGGTTGGCCATCCCATAAAAAATATCCTTAAAGGCACATATGGATCCCACCTTTTATTCAGAGTTAATGTGGTCTAAACCTTGACAGTGAATAAAAAAAAAAAAAATGGAACTAACTGACTATTGTCAGGTTGAGGTTTGAAGAGGACCAAAACGCAGAGACTGAAGCTGAAGTGGTTTCTTGCAGGTTTGATAACAAAAATAATATACATAATCCACAAAATCCAAAAATACTGAAAACCAGGAATACTCACAACAACGGGGCAAAGAAATGACAAAAAACAGCAACAGTGACTGAGCAGGAGGTGCAAATATGGGAGAGGGAAACAAAGACCAGACTAATCAGCAGAAGAAATACTTAAGAACTCAAATACAATCAAAAATAACTAGAATAACAAAATGGAAATAAAACCACTGAAAAATCAAACATAAAACTTAAATAGAACCCAAACCATGACAACAATCCTGTCTGGTATATATTTCAGCCCAGGTCTTTCCCATATGGGTTTCACCAGAAATGTTGACTTATTGGCAAGATTTTATTTTGCTCCCAATAAGATTAGAGTTATAATATTTAGGTTAAAGGATTTTAGTCACATTCTCCAAAACATATGATTAGGCTAAATTAAATTCAGGATCTGTATGATCAGACCAATGTCTTCACAATTTATTTTGATTATCCAGACACAAGCAAAACTATCTATGTTTACATTTTTCACTTTTCTTATTCATGATCTTTTATCTTTGTGACATACTTGCAGGCTTACACCACCAACATTCCTGAAGATCAGGTTCAGCTCTTGGGCGTGGCGTCCCGTTTTGCCTCAGCTGATGAGGTCAGTACATGGGAAATCACTCAAGTTGACACGCTCGCAGCTTTGATGGACACAGCAAATGGAGAGTTGGATCCAAGCTTGGTGAGCAAACAGTTCAATGTTTCGTACTTGTATGTGACACTTCCCTGCCTAGCTGCTCACATGAATGCCTGTTTCTGCTTCAGGCCAGAGCTATTATCTCTAAGTATCTGAGCGTAAATGGCAATGAACTTGGCAGCACTGAGCTTAATGCCATCAGAGGACAAAACCTGTGCTCTTTGGATATTGAGGTTCTTAGAAACATTTCCAGCCAGAACATAAGGTAAGTACTCATTGTCTTCCTTCCTTCCTTCCTTCCTTCCTTCCTTCCTTCCTTCCTTCCTTCCTTCCTTCCTTCCTTCCTTCCTTCCTTCCTTCCTTCCTTCCTTCCTTCCTTCCTTCCTTCCTTCCTTCCTTCCTTCCTTCCTTCCTTCCTTCCTTCCTTCCGTTTCTAGAGCTTGCCATAGTATTATATTTTTTTGCTGTGATCACATTTATACCTCAGCCTAAACAAAAGTAGAGCATCCAAACTTTCATACCCCTACTTGAGACTTGTTGGAGATACTTAACATTGGGAGAACAATTACTTTGTTGCATCTCTGTTGTTGCTCATGTCTGATAAGCATTATCCCAGAGTTTTGGAACGTTTTTGCTCATGAAAGCACAGCACTAGAACAGATCTCCGATGTAGTATAGCATACCCTTAGCCTGATAATATAGATTTATTCATGTTTCAGTGACACATTTTAAAGATTCTCTTCCTTTTTATCTCAGGGACGCAGAAGGGTTGGATGTGTCCAACTGCACCTCAGAAAAACAAAGAGCCCTTTTCAACACTGCCAGACAAGCGTTCATAACCTCGAGGAATTCAGACTCTGTTTCAGTGTTCCAGCTCTTACAGCCATACCTGGGTGAGCAGACAGACACAAACACACACATACCTCCAACAATAAATATAAATCTTTCTCTTGAAAAAAAAAAAAAAAGCGTTAGGTAAACATACTTTTCTTTGGTCCTTCAGGGGGTGCACCTTCTGAGTATATCCAAAGTTTGTCCGGCTCTAACGTCAATATGGACCTTCGGACCTTTGTTAACCTGGATGAGGAGTTTGTACAGGTCAGTGTCATCCAGCTTTTAAACATAATTTCCCATTAAACCTTTATTTTGCTTGGTTCATTGTAATTGAGTGTAAAAGTGGATCTCCTTTTGCCCTTCGTAGAGTCTGACTGTTGAGCAAGTTAAAGGACTGGTTGGTGACAACCTGGCAGATCTGAAGAGCTTTGAAAATAATCCAGTAGTAAGAAGCTGGATCACAAATCAATTACAGTCGGACCTTGACAAGCTGGGAATAAACCTTGTGGGAGGTAGAGCGGACCCAACAACCAACTCCCAAACCACCAAGGCTACTACACAGTCTGTCACAAAAGATGGCCTAAATGTCCAAACCACAACAACTACCACAGCTACCACAACACCTACCACAACTACCACAGGTGAGTCCTATTGAAGATTCAGACTCAGATTTCAATCATTTTCAAACACATCAGCACATGTGGCAAAATAGGAAGCAGTGGCTTGTGGGTAAAAGGCAACAGCTTGAATGGAGATTAAACTTTAATGAGATAGAGATATCAAACTTAACTGTTGAATACTGCAGCTGTAACCAACCTCTATGCACGAGCCAGCAATTCTGAATATTTAAGCTTAGGGTTGATGTGCAATTTATTATAAATTGGATTTTTTTTTTTTGATTGCCCTAAAGGGTTAATGTCACGGTGGCAGTTGCCTACTCATCTATAGCATTGAGTGTAGATTACACTGTTCTCGTAGCATTTTTCCAGGGGCTGCATATCTTACAGCATTCTTCCTATTGGTATGGTTCCTGTCTGGTCCATAAAAGTGAACTGAAAATACACACTTTTGTTGCAGCAGATTTCTAAACTGCTTTAAGCATACTTACCTATGAGATCACTCATCTTTTGTAAAATCATACACCCCTTTCAGGAATACACAAACTAAAAACAGCTCAAATATTAGACAAACTGACCAGCTGTTTGTTGAAATGTTTTATAGCTATCACACAATGGCACAGCAACTTTGCTCGCAGCTAACACTACATATTACATGTGATGTGTTCTGTTTAAAATGACTGGTTTGCATTCATTCTCAGCCTCTAAAACCTGTTTCTGTTTTAGCTGCTGGAGTCCGGATGCAAGGAGACGTTGCTGGCTTCACCTTCCTGGTTTTCCTGGGACTGCTCATCTCTTCCCAGCAGATCTGAGGGAACGCATGGCTGCTCACCATGAACACACTGTAGGCTAAAAATCAATACCTGGATCAAAGGGACTTTTATCTACGATATGTCTTAATGAAAATGTCAGGCGGTGTATCTATTGAACAAGAATATGTGCCAATATTGTGCTTATGATTATCAAATTCTCTATTTTAACCCCTCTTCTATTGGTTTATTTAATAAAAGATGTACTTTTTATTACTATTATTAATTTTGTTTATGATTCATCATGTAAAGGTTGGCTCTGTGAACACTTAAAATAAAATCATTGATTCAGCTTCTTTTTCTGTAACATGTTACATTTTGCTTCTGTAAAAATTTAAGGATAAAACTTATACTGACTAATAAATATCTGTTTAATGCAAACACTTATCTGTGAGGTCATCTGTTTTGGACAGGTTAAAACAAAGCAAATGTCCGTATTTTCCAATAAATCCAGTGTCTTTTATTAAGGTTCACTTTTTAGATCAATAATGAAATACAAATATTTGAAAAGCATTTATTTTGCCCAGTTTACTTGTTCTCAAAAGATTGAAAAGATATATTAATATCATTGTTTAATTTCTTCAGTTTAATCAAACATTTTTTTAAATGTCTCTATGAACAGGTACAACTCAATTTTTTGGGCTCAGATGACATCTAGTGGTGAAACTGCTGCACACATTTAGTACACCCTCATTCATTGCAAGGAATAGGAATTTAGAAATGACTACAATTCTTATTTAATTAAAGAATATTTTTTATTTTTTTCAGATCAGGTTGCATTTAACCTATCCGACAGCTTATAGCTGCAGATTTGGTTATAGGCGTTTATACACTCCCAGGATAGTCTTGCAGGTTGGGCAGGTGTGCTTGGCATCTTTCAGACGGTCCACACAGAACGGGATGAGGCAGCAACCTAAAACAAAACTGGAGAACAAAATAGATATATATTCAGAACCACCTACTAAACTCAATGCATAAAATAAACCACCTTTTAATTAGATCTGAATTAGTTATTATTGTAATTAAGTTGATGGGCTATCACTCCTCACCAGCAGAGAAATGTCCTCAGATGTGCTTATTTGTAATCAATAAATCAGGGTGCTTATAGAAAGTTTTCATAGGGGGGATCAGACTTTGACCATCAACAATAATGTTTGATATAAAAAGAAAAGTAGCACAGAATTTAAATAAAGCCTTCATATTCTGTTTTACAGGAGAAGGCATCAGAAATTGGCATGACTTAAAGGACCCCTAAACAAATCATAGGCATTAATAAATCAATAATAAGCTAATAAAACTTTGCTTTCAAATTCACACAACAAAAGAAATTAAAACTTTCCGTTTTTAAAGACGGGTTGGCGACACTTTTATAGGAAAACCTAGTGTTTTCAAAAAAGCTTATGACGTTTAATATAACTTTGTCCACACCTGCGTTATAAAAAGTTAAACAGCAACACCTCATCTGGTTAATTCTTTACGCTCTTCATTTTCGCTGATCAAACTAAAGAAACCTTTTGTTATGGTATCTTAAATCTAATCTTACATTTATAGGAGATGAGTTGAGGATCTTTTTTAAAAGGTAACATTGCTTTGATTTTATAAGCATCATTGGGTTTTTTTTGTGAATTTAGGTTTAAAATACGAACGATTATGTGCATGGAGCTTGACAAAGCAAAAGTATCAATATTGGTAATTAATTTCTTTGCTTCCTTTGTGCAAAAAATTTTGAACTATGAATTTTTTTCTTTTTTTTGCTAACCTACTCAGACATTTATCTTAACTACTGCGAAATTATTATTTAAAAAATCCCCCACACACATTACCCGCAGAGAAAGAGTCCTCCACAGAAAAGGTAGGTGAGTAATCCAGAGGAATATTCCACCTTGGAGAGGACTGTCTGGTGGCACTTTGGGCAGGCAATCTGAACTGGATTGTCTCCTAAAGGGCCAACTGTTGCTGCAGAGAACAAGGGATTTAAAGAAAAGCCGATAGGGGGGGAAAAATTCATTTTTGAAACATAAAAAAATGATGTTATTAACTCACCAACAGCTACTTGTATGTTAGACATTTTTCCTGTAAAAACAGGTACAGCACAAAATCCATATTATTTATAATGAAATGAAAAAAAACATGATTTTAGAAATAAAAATACAATATAAACTGTATTTCTCCATTAAAACATTTAAAAAACAGCCCCATAATTGTACAGCAGTACTATTTTGAAGAATATTTGTTAGCCTCCATTAGTAAACAGATTCAAGGTCATTTTACATTAAATGGATCCCATAAATAAATAAATCTAAGTGACACAAAATCAAAATCGTAAAAAGGGATTCTGAACTACTACTTACAGTCTGAGACGGATGATTTTGGCTTTAGACTGGCCAATAATCCCAGAAAGATGCTGCTCTGCAGGGACGCGCCTCCTCCTCATTGGAGTCATGAGATGCTCCGAAAGAGTATAAACAGCACTGGAACCAACATTTTTATCATAATGTTTCCTCTGGCTGATCTACATCTAAACAATAAATATGGTTTGTATATCAGCATGGCTTTGATTCGTCGACAGAAAAAACAAAACAAAAAGTTTTTTTTTTTTTTATAAAATATCCACTTAGTGTGATAGCAGATAAAGGTTTCTGTTTCTGAGAGACTTGTGACCCTTGGAGAAGACAGAAGCTGCTATATTCAGTCTGGAATTAGCAGCACATGTTCCTGTTCATCCAAATTAGCTGTAGAATTCAGTTCTCCTCTGAGCAGAGCAGTGTTCCAACAGCATAACCTTTGTCAGTAACAGTGTTTTGTATTTTACTGCATTGCAACCACAACTTCTATTGTATTTTATGTGATTAAACACAAGTGCATAATTCTAACAAAAGAGCATTAAGAAACTCCCAAAAGACTCACTTTGAACATAACTATACAGATGTGAACGCTTCTTGATTCTGACGAATGCAAAAAAAAAAAAAAAAAGCCATAAAACAGATCAGACTGATGATCTTTTATTCCACAGTACAGAGATTTCCTTAATTAAGCAGCTGTAATTCTTGCAAGCAGCTTTTTGGACCAACCAGCATGTGCCCCACGTAAAGGTGAAGTCTCTAAGATCACAATCTTCTGTATTTCCTGTCACCAACAGTCTTTCTATCCATTCGTCAGAATGTGAGACATTTTACAAGATGCTGTATCGATTGCATTTTAAGGTTGCATATAATGGAAATACATTTGCATTTCAGAAATGTATTCCTCCTCTTTGCAAATTTCATGAGACGAGTCCTGCTATAAACCTATGAATCAGGATAGGGTTGTATTAGGACACCAGCTGCCACAACATTTTGTTTAGCAATAAAAGATGCGGTTTCTGTCTTAGTCACCTAAACAACGTGCTGCTGTCATTTTTGCACAGCTTTGGTTTTGCTGCTATTTCTACATGTCCAATACTGTAAAAATGTCCACAGCTGTAATATGATTTATTCTCCAGATGCACCTATTTATATTGTAAAAACACTTGTCTTATTTTTATACACTTTTTTTAAGGTCCGACATTTGTGTGACCACTTCTGCAAGAACCTTTTGCTGCTGTAAAAGTTTCCCCATATTTGGACAATAAAGGGATTTTCTATTCAATTCTATTCTAACGGAGTCTCATTAACACCTTATAAGAGTTTTTTTTTTTTTTTTTTACCAGTAACTTTATATGAAAGTGATTCTAGATTATGTCAAAATTTTACCAGAGGACATATTTGTGAGGTGCTTTTTTTTTTTTTTAGAGGAAGTGTGCTACATGCCTGTTCTGATTCTCCTATAAAACTACAGGGCAAATGAAGGTAGTTAACTCCTATTTCCTGGGATGTTTTCCCTTTTTTTCCCCCTTTTTTTTTTCTTTTTAAGTCATCTTTTGTGGATTTAAAACTATAAAAAAAACCTGTTATGACTTTACAATTAGATTGAAATGAGACCACGTTGGTTTTACTGGGCTGGGGAGGGAAACCATGTTTAATGATGCTTGATGTAAACTAAAACAAGACCATCAAAAAGACAGAAAGATGTTTAATCAGTAAAAATTGGTGCAATATTTCACATGTAAACAACTGCAGCATTCTGAAACCCTGAATGTTAAATAGAAATATCTCAGTGACTTAAAATGTTTTTGTAAAAATAAATCAGTTTTTAAACAAACCCCCTCATTATATCCCCTTCAAGCTGAGTAATAAAAAAAACAGACATAAATGCTGTTAAGCTCACTGAGGGAGCACTTTGCTTAAAAGCATTCTTAAAAAGTTAGAAAAAATGTCACATAATGGTTCTTGTTACACAAAGTTTTGCAGAGATCCGAGTTAAAAAAAATACAAAAATCTGCAGGTTCATTCAGGTCATTAGGAAAACGTCCAACTGATTGGATAAAAACATGGAAGCATCTTATCTGCCTTGATTATTGCGACTACTTTGATCGACACACAAAAAATTTGAAAAACAACTTGTGAAAAATATTTTTTTTACGCGTTTATCAGGATTTGAGGAAAATATTTCCTCAAAAAAACAAAAACAAAAAAAAAAAAACGGAAAAATGCACAACCAAAACAAAAAAACATCTTATATCTGACACTTGGGATCGCGGTGTAAATAAGACACTTCATTCAGTAGATTTATCTCAAAGACTTAAGCAATATCCTCCATTTCTCAGTTCACATAAAGAGATATGGTAGCTTCTTTATTAAAATAACGGTATTTGTTTAATTGCATGGCTTTTATTGTGAAAGATGACAGGAAGCAGCCAGCCTGAGGTGAATTATTTTCCACCTGAGCCAAACTTGTTGGCTTCAATTGTTTTTTTATTCCCTCTTTATTAGTGTTGAACTTTGGGACTATCCTTAAAGTTCACAGGAATCAAAAGTGATGCATTTGGCTGAGAAAGAATATTCAGAAGCAAATCTTGTACTGAATTCCTGAACTAGTGTGTTTCAACAAGTGGCTGGATTCGTGGATTAGTGAAACTCCTTCCATCTTTGTCTCCTTTTTAAGAGTCCAATTAGTCTCAGAGTTAACAGCAAATGTGACGTCCTCTTTCCAGGTGAAATCATTCTCTGCATCTTAAGTCTAATCACAGCTTGTTTTTTCCCCTCTCCATCCCCAGTCCTTCATTTTCTAGGTTCCTCTTCCCGTCCGTCATCCCTGCAGAGTTGAACTCAGGAAACCTGTTTTTTTTCCTGTACTGTCTCTTCCTTCTCCGCCTCTGCCTCCCCTCTAGGCTCTGTCCTATCCTTCAGGGCCCTCAGCAGGACTTTGAGCAGCACGTTCTCATTCAGCAGCGTCTCAGAAGTGTCTGCCAGTTCCTGTAGCCTCCTGTGCGCCTCGGCGAGCTGCCGGCTTTTCTCCTGCATCTCCTTCTCCAGACTTTGCTCAACGCTGCGCATGTCAAATTTCAGCTGTCTGTTCTTACGCCACAGCTCTGCCAGCTGCTGCGAGAGACGTTCGCGGGCGTGATGCAGTGCTTGGACTTCACGCTGGAGAGCCAGGAATTCTGACTGGAGGATGGAGCCGGGTCTAGATCCCTGCGTTCCTGAGGAGGATCTGTTGGGATGATGCAGCGAGTCAGAGTGCTGCAGGATGAAGCGGAGAAGGTTTGGCAGCGTGATGGGAAGGTCCTCTGGATACTTCACACTAAGATGTTTCCTTAAAGAAAAGGAAAAATTATGTAGAACTGCAACAATGACTAATAGAATTTAACTTAATAAAACTTTTTAATTCATTGGGACAAAGAAACTGTGCTTCATTACTGGGATTTAGTCTAGTTACAAAGAGCAAAAATGTATCTTAAGTGTACAAAAAAACACCCACAAAATGTCCTTATTTATTTAATAAAATAGTCAAATTTTAACAGCTGAGTGGAAAAAAAACTGATATGACCTTAATTTGAATGAACAGAGGAAGTGCTAGCCATGTGCTCATACATAAAGCATCATAAGCAGCTGTGTAAAAGCAGCTTTGTTGGTAGAAGGAGAAGTTTGTTCACACAATGCCAGGGTGGAAGACCATCATCAAAAATCCCAGAGAGAACAAAACTATTGCTGCTCAAGGATCTGTGCAATGTTTCCAAATACATAAATAAATAAAAAAATATCCTACAACAGAGAATAAGACTGTTCACAGCTGGAAAATATTAAGTAAAGCTTCCAGTCAACCTGAGTTATTATCCCAAATTCTTCTGAAAGATCAAACCATGCAATGAACAAAGGAACTGCAAAAAAAAAAAATAAACACCAGGAGCGCATCTCAAACTTTTTAGACCTCTCTTGGCAAGTTATATCTTATTTAAAACCAGCTAACAGCCTGGCTTTGTGGGGAACAGCTGCCAGTGAGACTGAAATACTGAATGAACCACAGGGCCTAGAGGAAGAATATTAACTGGACAGATGTTACCAATGTTAAAGTTATAGTGGAGGATGCTCTTTTTCTGTGTGGATCATCAAAATAAGTGGTCCTCCTAATTGTCAATCAATCAGGTGATATGTTTATGTAAGGCTTTCCTACGCTCTCATCCCCATTATCATTCACCAGCAGCTGTAAACCACAGGCTGATTTCCATTTGCTAATCCCTCTACAGGTTGATCGTTGCAAACAACATGAAGGTATAAAATAAAAAATAAGTGACAATGTTATAATCAATCAAAATTACAACTAAAAATAAAACTGATCTGAATTTATGGTGGATATTCCTATAACAAGCAGTGATTAAATATGAAACCTGGAAAAATGAAACATAGGAGGGGAAAAAAGCAGGTTGGGCATAAGAAAGCAAGAGTAAGGAAGGAGGGTAGGAAACAGGATTTAAAGAAGAAATGAAAGGTGATGGGAGGAAATCCAAATAAAAATGACATGGAATATGAAGGAAGGAATGACATAACAGTGTGATAAGGAACATTACTTGCATACAAATATCTCATTCTATATTTTTCCCACCCTGGAAATCCTTGACATCGAAGTCCAGACTCTTCCAGGCTGCGTAGCAACCCTATAAAACAGGCGGAAATTTCTTTCCTTATAGCTTTCCAATTTCATTTAATTATGCTAATGTATTTATTTTTCCATTTCTGTCCTAGGAAATGGAAAAAAACTGCTTCTCTAAGAAAAGAAAATGATGAAAATTACAGAACATTTTGTGAATGATCAAATGAATCTGAGATTAACTAATTTAAAACAAAGATTATATCAGTTCCCCGACTCTGACTGTAAACTGCACTGAAATTCAAACTTTCTTTTGACAATAAATACGGGCAAAATTGTGTGCAAAGCTGTAAATATTCTCACCTGTATTTAGGGAAGAGCAGGATTGAAGGGACATGATCCACCATGAACTCCCAGGGAAGATCATTACGAGCAACATTGACCCTGAAGAAAAAACAGAGACCTTCCAGAACATCTGACATCACCACTGAAAGGGAAACAAGCACAAAACAAAACGGCGTTGCAGAAACTGCACCTTGCAACAGTGACAGTGCCGTTTCCTTGCAGCAGTCGGGCCAGCTGGATGAGGACGTGGTTGAGGACGGAGCAGAACCCGCACCACTGAGTGTAGTAGAACAGCAGCACATCCTGTTAGGAAAGAGCCAACCCACATTACCTGGAAGCTCTGAGATGATCAAACTTCTGTTCTCCATTAAAAACACGACTGAAAAAGAGCCTCCCTTTGTATAGATTGCAACAGTTAAAATAGACTTTATTGGAGAAATTCACTTTTCACATTGGCTCAATGGTCAAAAAGAAGGTGCCAAAAGGAGGAAAAGGTGCATGGGGGGTATTATGTGCAATGCGTCCACATATAAATATATAACAGCTGAAGTCTCTTATTTAACAGATTAGAGACAGATTAACAGATTCAACAGATTATTGCACAGGCTATTAAATAGTGATTGCACATCAGTTATTGCAGTTATAGTGCCGCATTGCAAAGCCTTAAGTCTCTTCATACTTAGAGTTTGTCACATTGTTTTACTATAAACTAAAAAATCATTTCAACATATTCCAGTCAATATTGATTAACTATTAGCAAAGCTCCTGCATATTTGTTATTTAAAAAGATTACAGAATATTACTGATGTATGACAGCGGATTTAATTAAAAAACAAGAATCAACCATGAATTGATGGGAAGAATTTCTAATGTGGTGATGAATTTAAATATGGAGACTCGAGAAAGAAAAGGCAGATGGACAGTGGAACGGCTAGATAAGGGGCAAACCAATAGATAGTTAATATATGGATCGCTAATGGAGCAACAGATAGACCTCATCTAGGTAATTTCATCCCCAAATCAATTTTCAAACGTATCCCTCTAAAATATCTAATAGCTAGCCAGATTTATTTATTTCAGCTTTATTTTCTGATGCATGTAGAAAAAAATCATTCATCAGAAATACGCGGTGTAGATGTAAACAGAGGTATTTTATTCACCTTTTCCTGGTCCATTACTGATGACACGAAAGAGGAAGTGGTCAACTCTGTGATAAGGAGGTTCTTAGATTTCTTCTCCTTTTCCAAATGCCCAGCATGATCTCCACCTTTCTTCCTGTCCACGTCTCCAACCAAATATCTCTGCAGATGGCTGTGGGGCGAGCTGAAGTTCCTGATGAACGCCTCTGTTGAAAGATACACATTTGGGATTAGGGTGAAAAATAATAAAACTAATAAAAACAAAACTAAAACAACCAGATTTAAGGATAGGTGCTAGGTGAAAAATTGAACGTGTAAATATAGAATAAAAAGGTGTAAAAAATATTTTTTTTATAGCCTTAAACAAGAGGAAATGTATTGATAAGCCCACAGTTATATTGCTTTATGATATAACCCTTGTAAAATGAAAAATAAACAGACAAATCTGAGTCCAAACCAATAGAGGCTGCAAGCTGTATGCTTATGTTTGAAGATCATTAGAACAATGTTTCAAGAATATAATGGAATGAGCAGCAAGTTAATGTTTGCTAAAAATATCTGTATCTATTGCAGCAACAAACCCCATCAATGAAAAGAGCTATCAGTTATCAGCTTGAGGGATCGCTCTGGTCTAAGCTGCGCTTATAGGGTCAGCTACTGTTGTTCGCAGCTGCAGACAGAGAACAATAACATTCTCCCTCTGGCTCTAAGATACTTGTGATGATAAATAAAAGGTTCAGATCCAGAGGATTATTCCAGGTTGGTCAAGGTGTGTATTTTGAGAAACAGACCAAGGAGTAAACACTGTATCTTATAAAAGATGAGGTGAATGCTTCAGACTGCTTCTGAACATTTTTAGGGAAAGGGGCAGGTTTTTGTGCCATCTCATGGATATACACATTTCTGCTGGAGGTTTCTTGTTGTTAAAAGGGAGTTTTTCCTCTCCACTGTCGCTACAAGCATGCTTGGTGTGAGGGATTGCATTTGAGTCAATGAGTCGATGCAATCAGCTGGTTTTCCTTAGACAGAAAATTTGAACCAATCTGACTGGACGGTTTGATTGAATTGTGTGTGTAAAATGCCTTGAGATGATATTTGTTGTGAATTTGTGCTATTTAAATAAACTGACTAGAATTTCATAAATAAATGTCCTGAATTTAATCTCTAACTCCTGTTTATTTAGGACTGTTTCTCTCAATGTCAACCAAATTAATCGTGGAGAGGTGAGGCAGGAACAGATCATCCTGTTAGTTCACCTACAACATTTACAACTTTATTTTGTTTTACATAAATTGTGGCAGGTCCAAAACAGAAATATTTACTTTAGTCAATAATAGTAGGAAAAGCAGGTTGAAGTCACATGAAAAGGAGGTTAGCTGCTGCGGGATCCTAATGTGTTACAGCTTCTGCTTGGTGTTACATTTCTTAGATTCAAGCTTAAAAAAATAAAAAAAAAAAAACGGTAGCAAAAAAAAAGGGCTAAAAAAAGAACATTGTTTAAGCTTTTGAGCCTTGGTACCAACTTAAGATAGCAAAGGGTCTCAGACGTCACACATTGGTTTCGCCTTTTCTTCTAGACAGGACAATAAATTAGGGCTGCAACTAATGATTATTTTGCAAATCGATTACTTTGTTGATTATTTTTTCAAATCATATTCTGATAGCAAAATTTTTCTTAAAGATTTTTTAAAGAAATTAAAACATTTTTTCCAATTTAGGAGTTGTGGATAGAGCATATTGACTGGCAGAAAAACATTATTTTAATCTTAAATGCAAAGCATTTATTTATTTTACAATTTTGTTATAATTGCTGCTCTAGGTCGCTCTGTCAGCTAAAGGCATATTTTAGAGTCTCTATACTCCAGGTAAGGATTAATTGATTACTTAATTAGTAGCTGATGATTTTAATAATCGAATCTAATAATCACAATTATTTCGATTAATTGTTTTATAAAAATGTATGCATGGCTGTGCTTTGAAAACATACAGTGCCGACGTCCTACAAGAATATTCTATTAATCTTGACCCTCTTAAAATATTTGAATGCACTGAACCATTTGTTTATTTTGAGCTAAAAAAAAATAAAAATAAAAATAATACGTGAAAATGAGTTCGATGCTCAGCAAGTTAAAGTTAAACTTGCAGCTATCACTGTTAATAAAAAAGCAGTGGTTCTGGTCAATAAACACCAATCAGGTGTGTGGTCGACACATTTTGGTTAAGATGAACGTTGTTGGATTTCAGTCAAAATTGTTAATTTTCTTCTGATTTAGAATAACAAATGAAGTGGAAAACAAAAAAGATATTTCATTCACCCTTAACTTTCTTGAGCCAAGTCCTAGTTTGTGGATATTTTCTACAAAAAGTTCCATCTGATGTTTTACTAATAACTATCCTTACCCAAAGACTCTGTCAATGTAGCTGCTGGGCTGCGTTGTAGGACGTAATGAACCTCATCCTTCAGGTTCACGATCGCTACAAACGACCCATCACAGTTCCTGCCGCCTTCGGTGGATGCCTCTTTGTGTTGAGACGAGTTGCTGTAGCTGGAAGCTCCGAGCCTCGCTGCCAGAGGCCAGCTGAGACCAACATCCAGCACATAAAACCTGAGAGTCCTGTTAGATCGACATTGAAGCCCTGTGATGCCGTCGTCCTCCAGCTGGGGAGAGAGGGATGGAGCGATGGAGGGAGCAGGAGGAGAGGTAAGCTCCTCTTTGGCTTTAGATTCGTTAAGCTGAGGTTCTACTGTTTTACAGCAGGCACTGAACTGGGTAAAGGGACTGTAGCTGTTCACAAAGTCACTACAGCCCTCTGAAGTTTTTATGGAAATCGGAGAAGGTAGCTGGTGAAGGCAGCAGTGTCTAATATGATTCCCATATGTGTTTCCTTGTGAAACTGAAGGAAATGAGCAGAGCGTTGAGAGGTTGGGGAGGCTCGGCCCGGACAGTCTGAGGCAAACCTCACAAATATTAGTCCTGGACTCTGGGAGGAGGACGGACTGGCAGCACAGTGAGGTTAAAGAGGGGAAGTGGTCATCTGAGCTGGAGCGGTCGCAGGAATGATAACGCACTGCGATGTCTGCAAACTAAAGAAAATAAAGAGAAAAACAACATTTTACTAATTTGCTTAGAATCTAACAACAATTTCTAATGAGCTGATCTGAACAGGTTCTCATAGAAAGATGTCAATAATGACTCAGTGGAGGGTTTACGACAAACTGCTAAAGGAGAAGCCAAGTTTTGCCAAAGGTAAAAATTATTCAAAATAAAACGTAAGGTAACCGAACACTGAACCCTGTGGCACATAAGCTTACACATGATTAATTGATGAGCATTTTCTTAAAAAACTGAGTTTTCTTTTGAAACAAGGGATAAAGGGATAGTATTTTTTTTTAATCCTGACCTAAAAAAGTGCATAACCATATTTTAACAATCCATTGTGCCAGCTGTATTAAATAATGACCGAATAAAAAAAGAAAATGCCTTACACATGATTAAACTCTGGGAGTTGCGACAGTTTTCCCATGCAATTAAAAGATTTTATTTTATAATTTCCCCCAAAGCGGATGCGTTTTACTTTGTAAACGTGTCTCTCTTCCTGTCAGACCCATGAAATTGCAGCTGAATTGCTGTGTAGCCTGACTAAAATAGACCTGGGGTCTATCTCAGTTGGACCTACGCAGCCCCCTTTCGTAAAAATATGTCGGATGTGATCATTCCCGTTAACTTTCATAAGCGCTCGTCCGACATGATTTTCTGTCTGATCGGACAGAAAATCGGATTCCGTGTGTTCTGTCCTTTAACCACTTCTTTCAATGACTTGGATTCTAACTGATATATCGCTCTCCTTTTTTTTATGAAATCTAATATTTCTATAATCAAATCCTAAACTTCCAAAAAAAGCACAGAAATTTTGTTCAGACCTATTTATAAGATATATTATATTTACAAACAGAACCACATAAAGTCCATTCTGCCTCATTTTTGTCATGAAACTATTGAAATTTTCCGGACCACGCTGGATCGATTCATGTTTCTGCTTGAGAAGCCCTTTGCGCTGGCATTTTGCAAAAACCAGTGCATATGATAGGCTCTGCATATGATAAACAGCTGTAGTGGATGACAGTGGCATTACTAGAAAAGCAGATGTTACCAATTAATCAGATGGATGAAGTTCTAATCTAATCTAAAACATTAATCAACAGTTAGTAATAGTTAGTCAATTGCTTGTTTACATCCTTAAGTGGACACATCGACATGTAGCAACAGGAACCTGGAATCTGGCAAGACGGCTACCCTCTGGGCCACAGTTAGTGAAACATGTTCATTTCAAAGAGCAAATAAATGCTTAATGACGCCATGTGGTGTAGGAGTGATCACCTGCTGTAGTACAGCACTTGGCTCAGACTGCAGAGGGTTGTGTGGCATGAACAGAAGCAGCGCGGGGCCTTTCATCAACTCCTCTTCCAGCATGCGCGACTTGGTTCCTGGCGGATGCAGCCACCGAAGGGCCGTCTGGTAGTGTTCAAACACCCAACTGCAGATAGCATCTGATGTGAAGTTTCGCTTATTTCTTGGAAAAATCTTAAGAAAAAAACAAAGCAAAAGTGTAATTTCCATTTTATAACATTCTAGTTTTTCCGATTTAAATATTTAGTTGGGCCGGTGATGCTGCCTACCAAAGAGGAGTTAAACTTTCTGTGCAGGTAGACCGTTTCATCCTCTCCAACTGAGATGGTCTCTGCTACGTTTTTGCTCGTCACAACTCCAAACCTCACAATGCCATGGAAATCTGCAAGATAAAATATACAAAGTAAAACTATTACCTGAGAACACAAAGTTATATGGGAAACTAATTTGTTTGTTATCAAATCAGCAAAGGAGGAAGCAAGAGGCATGGATGTTTGAAGGAGATGCCAGAGGCAGTCAGTCTCAGGAATGGTTGAAGTTTTTCTTGACAGAAGAAAGAAAATGTGAGGCTTTCTGATAAAACTAGAAACATGTTTAATAATCCATCCATTTATCCATTTTCCTTCACGCTTATCCCTGCTGGGGTCGCAAGGGGTGCTGGTGCTTCTCTCCAGCTGTCAATGCACGAGCCAGACTATCACAGGGCAACACAGACAACCATTCACGCACACACTCACACCAATTAACCTAACAGTCATGTTTTTGGACTGTAGGAGGAAGCCGGAGTACCCGGAGAGAACCCAGGCATGCTCAGGGAGAACGTGCAAACTCCATGCAGAAAGACCCAGGGCCGGGAAACGGACCAGGAACCTTCTTGCTGCAAGGCAGCAGTGCTACCCACAGCGCAGCCCGTTTGATAATATAATATGTCTTAAATTTTCGCTTTGGTAAATATCTGATATGTTTTGCCTTTCAAGGCCTGTTTCTTTCACCTCCTTCTGTTTTTTTGTTTTTTTTCCTCTTTCGGTTGCTATTGGAAGAAGTTTGTATTAAGAAACATGTAGGGTATAAAAAAGAGAAAGCAATGCAAGGAGATGAAAAAGAAGAAATTAGATTTGCCAAATTCCATCTAAAGTAACCCGCAAGACTTTTAGAACAAAGAGGCTAAAAAAGGAAATATATATCAAAGATGCACACAGAGTCATTTCTACAGAAAACCAAAAACAGCAAATTAGCATAAGCAGCTTGTAACAGATGTCAGGTACGGTGGTAGACGAGTGATCATCTGGGCTAATTCTTATAAAGGGGAGTGTTGGCCTAGTGGATAGAGCAGTACGGTTGTGCTCTGAGAAGGTTGCAAGTACCCTTTTTGATCCCACAGCCTCCACTCTGGATCTCTGGGAAAAACCCTTAACCCCACCCCGCTTCACAGGCACCACACAATGGCAGCCCACTGCTCCCAAGGATGGGTTAAATGGAAAGATACATTTCTCCCATGTGAGATTAATAATGAAGTAATCTAGGGCTGCAGTTATTGTTTTAGCAATTAAATAATGCATCGAATAATCGAAAGATGAATTTAAAGAGATGCTATCACTAATTTAACACACCTTTAAACAAACGTTTAACACAATTTTTTTATTGTACATTCATTTTAAATGAACTGTAAATGGCATAAATGTAAAAAAAAAGAAAAAAAGAAAAAAAAATTATTTCTTCGACAACAAATTTTATACTTTTGTAAAGCGCTTCAGAAACTGAAGCGGGTAAAGCTATTTGGTGCAGTGTGCTTAATAAATGCTGAGCCATTATACTTTCCACAAATGGCATTTTTTACAGTATCTATATTTCATTTTTCATTCGATTCCATAACCAAATAAGCTGAGAAATCGACTAATAATGATTAGCCCTAAACTCCTCAGAATCCTAAAGTATTCAAGAGTCTGAATAGAGGCGATCTGTCCTACAGCTGAAGCCTGACAAAAACCTATCAGACAGCAGGGAAAAAATAAATCTAGGGTTTATTGATCCAATAGGCGGTTCTTCAAGCAAATAATAGTAAAGTGCACCTAATTTTTCCCTTTACTTTACCGACCATCACAATCTAATCTCTTCCTATATGGCTGTACCAAAAAAAAAAAAAAAAAAAACCTCAAAGAATTATAGAGAAAACAGTATCATCATAAAACAGTGGGTTTATTTCTTACCTCTTCTTAGTGCCTGCAGGGCAGAGGACAGATAGGTGATATACCCAGGCGGCTGTGGAGAGGAATTAAACTGGAAGAATCCCACAACACCAGGCTGCAAATAGGTTAGAGAACAGAGAGCAGAAGGTAAGCAGCCAAACAGGAGGTTGAATATGATAGTTAAAACCATCCTTAAAGCTCCTCAGTTTCTAGAGACAATCAGCAAGCAACCTTTTGTTCATTCAAGTCTCCATTTACTAGCCTTAAACCATAGAATACCTCATGGTAGGACAGGAAGTCCTCCAGGTGTGCTCTGGTCGGGAGGTAAGTTAGTGGTGTGATCACTCTGAGAGTAAAGCTTTCAATATACGGAGCCACAAAGGGACCTCTGTACTCTATTGGTCCAAACCTGCAGCGACACAAACAGTAAATAAATCACCAAACTACTCAGCTGTAAAAAGTATATATATACAGAAAAACAGATAGCTTCAATTCATCTTGGCAAGGCTAACTGGTAACAAATAAGCAATAGTTACGTAACGTTTAAGCGGCTGGCTAGATGAGGTGGTAAGTCACCCTAGTGGTTAGGGCATTGCGCTTGGGGTCCTGAGGCTCTGAGTTCAAGCCCCACTCCCACAGACTGCCACTCTGGGTCCCTGAGCAAGACCCTTGACCCCACACTGCTCCCTGGGCGCCACACAATGGCAGCCCACTGCTCCCCAAGGATTGGTTAAACGCAGAGAGTTCATTTCTTGCCCAGTAAAAAAGTTCATAAAATTCTGAAAAAGTTTAGGACGCTTGTTTAGGATGTTTCCAATGACCATTACAGTACTCCATCTTAGCAGCGTCACCTCTACTAATGTACCAATAAAACAATCTGAATCATTTGCATCTGCAGAGCTCAAGGTCAGCTATAGGAAAATAATGTAATCAAAACATCACTACTGAAAAGGTGACATCAACATTAAAGTGTATTTATATTTATCCATCTCTCTCTGTAAATCTCAGCTGCTAAAAGCTACATCTTGCCTTGTCAGACAGTCAAGAATCCCTCCAACTGGTCAAATATACTACTGACAAGCAGGGAGCGATTCATCCAGTCTTCCTTTGTGATTCCATGATTGTACACATCCATTGTGATAGCTACACTGCAAAAACATTGTAATCTAAATAAGTAATTTTTCTTAAAATAAGTGAATTTTTTTCTTGAATTGAGGCGGCAAGTGAGACACGTTGCCAAAGGAGCAAGACAATTTACATGAAAATAAGAAAAGAAACTATTGCATTGTGTTATTTCAGGTGCATGTTATCTAATCATTTTATTTTAAGAGTAAACTAGTCATTCTATTGGCGAATCACCTTATTTACATACTCAAATTAAGGACAAAAACATTTAATTTAATAATGTTTTACCCATTTCCAGATTGTTTTTGCAGTGTATTAGAATTTAGTTAATTGTGAAGCTTTTAAGGTGATTTCATAGCAATAAGGTAAGCAAATTTGAATCCTACTTTTGCCAACTAAAAAAAATGAAACTGAACCTCTTAAATTACACCCTGAATATTTGAATGTGTGGGAATGCGCATCAAATAGATAACCGCCTGCTACATTCACTGACAGACAAAGAAAGCTCTTTATTTCTTGTGGTTTTTGTTTTATTTCCGCTCTTCTTCTTTACCTTCTATAAAACAGATGGATGATGGGGTAGTGATAGAAACGGTTCTGCCTCCTGCATCTCCCCTGACTCCACCAGCAGTTAACAGCCACAAACTGCACCTGCAACATAGAAACCAGTAAAGCTGCACAAATGAAATTAGAGCAAATTAAATATTCAAATATTCTCAGCCAAAGTTCACCAAAAACACCCTACAAAATGATCTTTTTTTTAAAGCACTGTAAGTACTGAACTTTTTTTTTTTTTCTTTTTTTTTCACAAAATGTACAACTTTTATTTTTAGTATTGCAAATTGCATGGTGTCTAAGTCACTATAAAGGTGATCAAATTAAATAAAATGGGATAACAGAAACCTCATTTGCATTTTTAACCAATAATTGCTTGGTTAGCTCAGTGATAAGTATTTGACTGGATAGATAAGTTGATCTGTTTACAAGAGCATGTTTAAAAAGAAAATAAAAGAGTGATGCTTTCAGACATTTTTTTTTTAATTTCTACAAGCAAACACATTACCATTCATCATCAATGCTTAATGCAACTCCTTAATGTGGTAAAATGGTTGGTTTGAGAAGAGACAGAGCACTATTTTACTACCAATGTGGATTTGACAAAAATATCAAGTCATGCTTGGATATGGCATGGTGCACAAGATGAAGTGGAAACCTTTACACACTGGCATGGGGTCATGAAATAAATGTATTTTACACTGTCCTTAAATCCTCTATTAACTAACATTATTTTAGTTATGCTGATGACTGTAAATGTAGTATCAATATCTTGCATGACTCCATAGCCATGTAACTTACATTAAAGCTAAAATGTTTCATACAGCAATCAAATTTTAGAAAATACAGAATTAGATCATGAGATTGAGAATAATCGATTCTAAATTAGAAGATCAAAATAAAACCTTGACATTTGAATCAGAAGGAAAAAAATCCTGCAGAAAGTACCTTTATATAAAGGTTAAAAAATAAATAAGCCTCCCCATTTAGATAATCCCATCTAGCAATAATCCCCAAAAAACAAGGGGAAACCCCCAAATAATAGATAATAAATATATAGAAAATAAAATAGGAGCTGTTGTTTAAGCAGCCTGTCTGTAGCCGTTTCCCCATTAAAATGCTCCTGCAGCGTAGTGGTGGTGGAATCAGTTTTCTCTTCATCTCCATTACCTGTTTGGCCAGTTTCTTAGCAACCTGCTGCACTTCCTGCCGGGCAGCCATGGAGTGGGCACACCAAGGAGCGTAAAAGAAAATAAGAGACACCTCAGCCATGCTCCGAAGGCATTCCACCTGCAGAAAATAATTGTATGAATTTGAGTTTCCTCTGGATGCTGCTTGTATTTACAGTACCAATTGTTTACATATACATTTGCAATACCGTACATTAACTGTAATATGCAATTACCTTCCACTGCACTTTAATTTAGATAGCTTCTGTCCAAACTTGATTTATTCATTTTATAGTAAAAGCCATCTGTACATTATGCTATTGTACATATCTGTAAAAACCCTTTTTATAGTAATATCCACCTGTATATTATATTCGGTACATATCCAGCTGTAAATTTAGTTCATAACACTAGTTATCTACATATTATATTCATAGGACAAATCTATTAGTAAAATTCTGTTTATAATGCTATTCATCTCTATATTTATTCAGTAGAAACCCATGTCCTGTATTTATGGAACCATTATTTATCCTGCACTTGCTGCTATTGCACTTCTGGTTAGACCTAAACTGCATTTCGTTGCCTTGTACCTGTACCTGCGAAATGACAAAGTTGAATCTAATCTAATCTAATCTAATTAAGTGGTTTGGGCATACCAAAAGCCAGCTTGTTATCTTTTGCATCTGATACTTTTTCCCAAAAATAGATATTAGTATTTAGACCTCCAGGCTTTTTGTTGTCTTCAGATTCATACCTTGTTTAGTGTTTGTGCTGTCATCTTATATCGACCCACAGGGTAAAGTCAAAGGTGATAAAGTGAATTTTAGTTTTCAGCCTTCCTCATCCCACAACGTTTCTGTGATTCTCACCTGTTCTAGCTGACCCAAGTAGAGGTCCACTACCGGGGCCTCGGCAGAGAAGAAGCGGACAGGCGGCCGAGCTGCAGCCACCACATCCTTAGCACGGCTAAAGGCGGAAAAATTAAAGGAAAATAAATGAGTTAATTAACTTTGAAACCATTGCACTTCTTTTTATTAAAAGCATAAATAAAAGTTGAGCTGATCAAATCAAAGACATCCACTTTTAACTGCACTTCTCAGGTCGACAACACACAAAGAATTTTACTTATATTTTTTTTATTTTGCACTTAAACATCAACCAGACAGTTTGCTGCACATTTAAACATAGAAGTTTTACCAACAGATAAGGGCAAGGATTAAAACAACCCTTGATGCAACTGATACTAAGCTTGATTTAAATGTTACTAAATTATAAACAATGACTGTAAAGGAGCACGCCTTTTAAAAATGAATTTACTGAATAGAAAAAGGAGATTTCAGTTTTGATGCAATTAATAACGACACAAAATTCCCTAACCTGCAGATTAATTGATTTATGAATCACTAATCACAGGTTTACTTTAGACTTCTTAGTCCTTTTAAATATCTCAGCTAAGTTATTAACTAGTAACTTTTGTTTCAGTCATATTAAGTAGAAATATAATTCTATATAAAAATATTTTAATTGGAAATACATCTTAGTGCCACTAATGATCTGTCAATAACTACATTTCTAGAATTTTATGCTTTGATTTAAATAGCTCTTTGCTGAATTAGTGGTCATATACGTCAGCAGCAACTGATCACAAGTAAGGAAAAAGGGGTTAATTAGGAAAGCTTCATCAGAGACAAGGTTTTAGGCAATACCAAATGGAGTATTGAAATAAATCAACTAATCAGAGCTCATTATTTTGATCACAGTGAGTTAAGATATAGAATTCTATTATAGAAGGTATAAGTGCTGTGCTAAGAAAGAAACCACAAACACCACCGTACCAGCTAAGAAAACAGGATACGCTTCAGATTATATGCAAACTACAGTCTGCCTCAGGTTTTATGTACTTCTGGTAAATATACATGGTAACCTATAGATCTCAGAACATGAAATTAACAGTGCAATGGTGAAAAACACTCTAAAATGTTCCTGGAGAGGTGGCGAAACGTCTTCAAATCTTGAAAACCAAGTCCAGTGGATATTTTTTGAATTTTTACGGAACTCTAAAATGTAGGAGACACAGAAATACAGACCAAAATGGTTTATCTAATGTTAGAAATGATATTCATCTCCTATAATAGTTGCTGTTTTTGCACTTGAAACTCAATTTTTAACCATTTTTACATTAAAAATGAAAACCTTACAATGTTATCGTTAACCATCAGAAGCAATCTTATGTGATTACTTATATGCTTAGTGTCGATCTTCAGAGGCGTAGCCAGAGCATTTTTATAAGGCTGGCCAGGCAATAACCAATGTACACTAAAGGGTGGCCGGAAGCGGATAGGCACCAGAACCTCAGTGTCAATCTCCACTGTTCCAACAGGAAAATTAACGAGCAAAACATCCATATTTTCTAAATAAAGACAAACTATACTTTCCCACAGCCTTAGCTAACAAATAGACGCATATATTTAACATCTTTGCTTTCTAAATAAAAGGTATAGTGGATAAAATTCTTTCAGGTTTGAGCGAACATCTTTTCCATCGTCATTACTGACCTACTTTTATCAGTAATCATTCTGCATAAAATTTATATATAAAAATACTAATGTCTACATAAATTGATTATTTAATAAGTTTTTGTTAAAATAGTTATTTATCTATGATTTCACTGAAGACTCCTAGATGACTTTTCTCTTTACCTCGTAAAACACCAAGTCTATTTCTGCTTGAATTCTGTATTTATCATCTTTAATGGAAATCTAGAATTTCCTTCTTTCATCTGAGGAATATTGCAAAAATTTGAAATATCCTAGTCCATGCATTTGTTACTTCAAGGCTGGACTATTGTAATTCTTTATTATCAGGAAGTCCACAAGCTGTAGTTAAAAGCCTTCAGCTGATCCAAAATGCTGCAGCCAGAGTTCTGATGAAAATTAAAAAGAGAGATCATATCTCTCCTATCCTGGCTTCTCTTCATTGGCTTCCTGTTAAATCAAGAATAGAATTTAAAATCCTCCTTCTCACATATAAAGCCGTAAATGGCCAAGCTCCATCTTATATCAGAGATCTGATTGTTCCTTATGTTCCTAACAGTGCACTTCGCTCTCAATCTGCAGGTTTACTAGTGGTTCCTAGAATTTCTAAAAATAGAATGGGAGGCAGATCTTTTAGTTATCAAGCTCCTCTCCTGTGGAACCAACTACCAGTTTTAGTCTGTGAGGCAGACACCCCGTCTACTTTTAAGGCTAGGCTTAATCCTTTTTGATAAAGCTTATAGTTAGAGTGGCTCAGGTTAACCTGAGCTATCTCTATAGTTATGCTGCTATAGGCTTAGACTTTGGAGGACATAGGGACCCCCATTTCATCATTCTGCTTCATTCTATCTCTATTCTCCTATTCTGCAGAATCTGTTAGTTCAATCTCTAACGTTATGCTCTCTCTTCTTTTCCTCAGAGTAGCTTTGCCTCGTATGTTCCTGTTTGGCTGTGACACCATCCTGGAGAGAAACATCAGCTGCGCTGCTTCCATCAACACCCTTGTTTATAGATGCTGGAGATCAGGCTGTTTTCCGGTGTGGTCCTGTTTCTCTGACCGTGACTGAGTGGATGTGCTCTCTTCGTCCTCTGGCATGGGAGCTGGCTCGGAGCTCGTCTGCCTGGCTGTGTGTTTCCTGGACAGGGCCGCCTTTTACAGCTGCTTTTTGTATCTCTGCTTCTGTCTCCTTGAACCCCAGTCGACCTCGGCAGATGGCCGCTCACACCGAGCCTGGTTCTGCTGGAGGTTTCTTCCTGTTAAAGGGGAGTATTTCCTCTACACTGTCGCTACAAGCATGCTTAGTGTGAGAGATTGTATTTGAGTCAATGAGTCGATGCAATCAACTGGTTTTCCTTAGATAGAAAACTTTGTATCTCATTGATTGTATGATCTGGTTTAACTGTAAAGTGCCTTGAGATGACAAGTGTTGTGAATTTGGCGCTATAGAAATAAACTGAATTGAATGTTATATATTGATGTGCATAGTTAACCATAGTGTTTTAGTTGTCAAGTAATTGTTAATATATGAAAAATTTTAATGTTATGAATATTCCACTTGAGATTGCTGTTGCCACCATCTGTATTAGCAGGAAATAAATGGTAGGGGGGTGGCCATGGCAATCCCCCCCATCTAGCTCCACCCCTGTCGATTTTATAATCTTGTAAATTTTGTTAGAACCTGAACTGATCAGCATTGATCAGAATGACTCTTGGCTGGATTATCAATGCTTCGCCTAACAGAACCAATGTGTTAAAAACATTTTTTTTAATAAAAGTTGTTCAACCTCAAACCATGATGAAGATCAGAAATTAATAAATTCAAACTTATCAATGGAAAACGATTTGACATTGACGCAACACTGACGCACAAGAGACGCAGACCACGCATGCAAGCCAGAGTACCCGGTGAGAACCCACGATTCCAAAGGGAAACGTATAGATTTTATCTTAAGTAATTGGCATTTTAAAATAAGAGCTGGGACAACACATAGATAACCTCACCATCGGGTGCTGCACACAGTGCGTGTACAGTGGTTAAAACTGCTACGCTTGAATCAAATGAATAGCACAAAAATAGTTAATAGTTCTATATATATGAACACCAGAGGCGCAAATATACTGCGACTTTTTAAATGGATAATCGCATTTGTTAATCCGCCTGTCCCTCAGTTTCAGATTAGCTACAATGACTGGATCAAATGGCACATCTGCAAGCCAGCTGATAAACAACCAGGCGTCCGGATCTTACATATGTCCCAAAAGCTGCAAAGCTGTCGCTATAAGATCAGAAAGCTGTGGGTACCTGCAGGTGAACTTAACCGCCAGAATGAGCAGGGCGCTGAGAACGATCGCCCCGCAGAGAAGGTCTGGTCTCCGAGCCATCAGTAACAGCACCTGACGGAGAGACTGCCGAACCCGGCGCAGCATTACCGCCTTAGGTCCGCACCATTTATACGCCCCGGATGCCGCTCAGCGCGTTCATTTGGCTCCCAGGGGAGGAGGGAGACTGTATCGACCAGGGACACAGCGAGGCTGGATTGGACATGGGTGCTGTTAGTTGGAAAGGTGTTCAAACACAGCCAGACCAACCTTTCTTCCCCACGTAGACTTTTTACTTCCGCTATAAGGGCTTCGGGGAGAGTCTACAAAGTGCAACAACGGCTAAAACGTGCATTATCATTAACCTTTATACTTCATGATTGTGGATCTTAAACATTATTTAAGCCTACTAAACTAGTATCGAAGATAAATAAATTAATTATGAATAACTTTTTTTTATTTGTCTTTGTAGGTACGTTTGTCTTTTTTTTTTTTTTCAAATTCCTCTGCACATTTTTTATGACAGTCCCTAAAACCTTATGACGTCAGTGACGTTGCAGTTACGCACACTTGTCATATTTACCTTCTTTACACACCAGGGGCGCTAGTCTCATTAAACTCAACATTCTAAATATCGCTCAAAATTACATTTTACATTGACAATGCGATCTTTGAATGTTTTAATCTTTTCTTAATATAAATAAATCTGAAAAATACACACCTAAAAATAGCAATGAAATGCTAACGATTCCACATAAATACATTTTAAATAGATTCAAAGATACAAATTGAAGTAAAAAAAGTAAAAGACAAATTCTTTTAATAAAGTCTGATCAGTTTAAAATATAAGAAGAAAAATTGCCTTTAAGGCACTTCGTACACTAAATTATGCATACATCTTAGTTATACAACTTTCCAGGGTTGTGGTAGATGGTAATGTGTATGTTTTAAAATATATTTTTGTACTCTTGAAGGTATTTTCCACATAAAAAAACAATTTATTTAATTCATTCAAGAACTTATAAGAACTGTCACAGTGTTGAATTTCAAGTGCAAATAAATTTATAATACAAATTTTATTGGTTTGGTCCAACAACTAAATGAAAAGATTTTTTTACTGAATAGTAAAAGATGTGCAACAGTATTTATCAGCAGTAAAAGCAACTTAAAAAAATAACAAAATAAACATTTTTTGAACTCAGCTTTACACATTTTGCAGCAAAAGAAAACATCTGATCTTTAAGTCAACACCTGATTTTTAAGTCTTCAATATCTGAACAGAATGAATGCTAAGATATGAACGGGAAACGTTAACAAAAGGTAATTTCAAAAAACTCTTCAAGTTCTATAGATTTGTGGCAATAGGACCAGCATTGCAAAAAGATGCAAAGTACCTCTAAATTCAAATCAAATATGATCCTTGAAGTAGCTGTGTGTTGCATCCTTTGATTATAATTTCCCCCAACAACCCTGACAACAGAATTCAATATATTATAAAGATATGAATCTTGTATTGAGTCTTCTATAGTGACCATTCATTTAGTATTCACTGAATTAGGCATGCTTGATAACTCTTCAATGCCAGCAGTGCTCAGTTCTGACTTAAATGTGTATAATTGTCACTGGGATACTACAGGCATTGTGGTTTTTAATACACAGAAGACATCCAGGATCGTAGCAGTGATCCGCCGTTTCTCCCATGGCAGCTTGGAGTCTCTAATTTCTCACACTGTATGATGTAGCAAAGACAGGAAGACAGTAAATCAAATAAATTGAAGCCAGTTATCGGAATTTACAGCTAAAAATGAACAAGTTGGGCGGAGGTTTATTGAGTTTGCTGTCAACTGTACAGCATTCCTCAGGCAGTGTCTGTTACCGCGCCTGCGTTTCAGGGTGCATCAGCTGCTGCACCACCAGGTCTATGTTAATGATGGGGCTGAAGTAGAGAGCCCAGTAGAAAAGGCAGTTGCACACAAACTGCGGGATAAAAGGCCACATGAGAGCGAAGGCGAATCCCTGAGAGAGCATCTTCCACAGGTGGTTCCACATCTTCTGAGGCAGCGACCTGCAAACAGGAGATCACAAATATTAGCTAGCATTGTATAATGTGCTGCTTCCCCTCAGCAGATGTTTAAAACCTAATTTTAAACACCCATCCACCCTTATCCATCAGTTTCACTGAGGGCTTCTACCTATAACCAGCAGTCTATGGACAAAGGGTGGGGTACACACTGAACAGGTCACCGGTCTGTCGCAGGGCAACTATTTTTGAACATATAAATGATAAACAGTTTTTACTTTTACAGCCCTTTAGCAATTCAGGGCACTGTAATTCAGGCATTCACTGCCACAGTAATAATTGTATGCAACACTGTAGCCACAGCTTCCTTAGGCCACTCTGACAGAAGTGAGGCTGACATACAATCGTTTCTTCTCTCTGACCATCATCAGCAGGAAAGGCAGGTGAAGTCACAATGAGACCAGCAAACCAGTAGTTCCAGGTTAAACTTCTGCTCTGGATCTGAATTTTTTTGTGAAATCTGATTTTTTTGCGTGATTACGCTTCCAAATATACAGGTGCTGGTCATAAAATTTGAATATCATGAAAAAGTAGATTGATTTCAGTAATTCCATTTAAAAAGTGAAACTTGTATATTATATTCATACATTACATACAAACTCATATATTTCAGATGTTTATTTTGTTTAATTTTGATTATTACAAATGACAACAAATGAAAATCTCAAATTCATCATATCAGAAAATTAGAATATTACTGAAGACCAATAAAAACAAAGGATTTATAGAAATGTTGGCCAACTGAAAAGTATGAACATGAAAAGTATGAGCATGTACAGCACTCAGTATTTAGTTGGGCCTCCTTTGGCCTGTATTACTGCAGCAATGCGGCGTGGCATGGAGTCGATCAGTCTGTGGCACTGCTCAGGTGTTATGATAGCCCAGGTTGCTCTAATAGTGGCTTTTAGCTCTTCTGAATTGTTGGGTCTGGTGTATTGCATCTTCTTCTTCACAATACCCCATAGATTTTCTATGGGGTTAAGGTCAGGAGAGTTTGCTGGCCAATTAAGAACAGGGATACCATGGTCCTTCAACCAGGTACTGGTAGCTTTGGCACTGTGTGCAGGTGCCAAGTCCTGTTGGAAAATGAAATCTGCATCTCCAAAAAGTTGGTCAGCTGCAGGAAGCATGAAGTGCTCTAAAACTTCCTGGTATGTGGCTGCGTTGACCCTGGACCTCAGAAAACACAATGGACCAACACCAGCAGATGACATGGCACCCCAAACCATCACTGACTGTGGAAACTTTACACTGGACTTCAAGCAACGTGGATGAAGTGCCTCTCTTCTTTTCCTCCAGACTCTGGGACCTTGATTTCCAAAGGAAATGCAAAATTTACTTTCATCAGAGAACATGACTTTGGACCACTCACCAGCAGTCCAGTCCTGTTTCTCTTTAGCCCAGGCAAGACGCTTCTGACGCTGTCTGTGGTTCAAGAGTGGCTTGACACAAGGAATGCGACAGCAGAAACCCATGTCTTTCATACGTCTGTGTGTGGTGGTTCTTGAAGCACTCACTCCAGCTGCAGTCCACTCTTTGTGAATCTCCCCCACATTTTTGAATGGGTTTTGTTTCACAATCCTCTCCAGGGTGCGGTTATCTCTCTTGCTTGTACACTTTTTTCGACCACATCTTTTCCTTCCCTTCGCCTCTCTATTAATGTGCTTGGACACTGAGCTCTGTGAACAGCCAGCCTCTTTAGCGATGACCTTTTGTGTCTTGCCCTCCTTGTGCAAGGTGTCGATGGTCGTCTTTTGGACAACTGTCAAGTCAGCAGTCTTCCCCATGATTGTGTAGCCTATAGAACTAGACTGAAAGACCATTTAAAGGCTTTTGCAGGTGGTTTGAGTTAATTAGCTGATTAGAGTGTGGCACCAGGGGCCATCAATTTTGAACCTTTTCACAATATTCTAATTTTCTGATATGATGAATTTGAGATTTTCATTTGTTGTCATTTGTAATCATCAAAATTAAACAAAATAAACATCTGAAATATATGAGTTTGTATGTAATGTATGAATATAATATACAAGTTTCACTTTTTAAATGGAATTACTGAAATCAATCTACTTTTTCATGATATTCTAATTTTATGACCAGCACCTGTATGTGACTTGTATGTGATCTCCTTTGTGAACTGCATTCATACAATGCAGTAGTGGACGCAATGACATCACAAGCAAGCGGAAAGCAAAGAAACCACTGCCCCAGTCCTGTTTTAAAGTGACAACCAAAGCACCTGTCCAGCTATGTGTGTCAAAGCCATAGAGAAGGTCAATAGGATCCACATGTCTGTGGGAAGCTGATACTACAGCATAACAGGCCCCTTCTGCGTGGAGTAGAGTGAATGCATACAAACCTGATTATTATGTTTCATTTTTCATTCTATGTTGGTTTATAGTTATTTAGGCTTGATTCTTATTGCCCACAGTAAAAGGTAGATTAGGCATATTATTAAATAAACAAAATTTCTATGATAAAATTCAAATTATGTTATTAATTACTCATGAAAATTGTTTACATTTGGATTACCAGTGAGAATGGTTAAGTTATTGACATTAAAGTATCATAAAGATGGTTTGCTTCACAGCTCTGCCCAACTGTTGCTATGCTAGCTTCTTCTGCTGCAAAAACAGAAAACAAACCACAGAGAGATTTATCTTTGGAAGTACCTGATTGGGGCTGTCGTCCAGAGCCTCCACAGAGAGCAAGCCTCAAGGACAGAGAGCAGCATAGCGTTGACGATGATGAAGCGGGACGTCCAGTAGTGGACGGCCAACCAGTCCCATGCAAACTCTGCAATCAGCTGGTATGGAAGAACCAGGTATTTCACCAGAAACTCTGCCCACTGCTGCCAGCTGGGCTCCAACTAACAGAAACAGGAATATGGCGTGTCACATTTTACATGGCAACACTGTCACGAACATTAGTTTCCCGCTTTGATTAAATTAAACCAAACTTTTCAAGTAAAACTGTACCTCTCTGTACACGGCACACCTATGGTGATATTAGAAAAAGCCATCCTCCATAGGATGCAATTAGCTTATAAAACGGCACTAAGACTTTTTTTTTTTTATAAAACCAAGATACAAAAGTGGCAATGAACTGTCAGGATATAAGCGCACTGATGACTATTTAAAAGAAATTTTATGGACAAGTTTATTTGTTGATTGAATAGATCTAACAATAGGATCATTATATTTGTGACTAATAGAGATGATAGAATCCAGTTTTTCCTAATCTGATCTGATCCCTGGTCTGAGCGGATCTGCTGATATCCGATACCGATTCAACTGTTTAATGAACCATATATCTTGCCATGTCATTAAAGGCTTTAGCCTTGATATACATGCAGCATGTATGTCACAGCTAATTATGCATAACAGGTAAGGCTGCAGAAAAATATCTGGACATGAAAGATTTGAACTGGGAGATGGTTGGAAGCATGATGGGAGGACCGATGGGACCATCAGAAACAGGCAGAGTGACGATGACTTAAAGTTAAATAAAAATTATAAGGGCAAATGTGATTTAGTATTTATTATGTTGGGTTAAGTTACACAGGGTTTTTTTTTTGTTTGTTTCTGGGGTAAATTGTTTCCTGTTTCCTTGCTTTACTCTATATCAGTTGGTAGCGGTAATGCACATTTCACAAGTTTGCCAACCGCCATAAAACCCCATAAGAAGAAGAAGAGTTTTTCACCCGGGTTACATACACCATGTTAAAAAAAATAACAAATCAACACAGATATAAATGTATTTTATATTATCTATTAAGAAATAAGCAGCAGAAAGAAAGACTTAACAGTTCCATGTAAAGTGCACTGGATTGGATCTCTGATAGCTCTGATATTAACTGGTCGATTTGGGAGCTGATATCTGATCCAGTTATTGGATCAGTGCATCTCTAGTGACTAACATTGAATGTAGTGCAGGATGCTATGTTTCTGTGTGTTGGAAACACTGGTATGGCTGCCTCCTAAATAAATAAAGGTCTTTTTTTGTTTCCTTTTAGTACTTTTCTTCTTTTTCCTTAGGTGTCATTTTTTATAATATGGAACACGTTTGCAAAAAGTCTATCCGCCCATCTATCTGAATGTTCGGTTATAAGATGAGAAATAAACATCACATCTTGGGATAGCAGCTCTTGTTAGTTAAATGGGTAAAATACACATACACACATTTCCTGCATGGATCTAGTGACCTCACGAAGAGTTACACCTGTTGCTCAATAAGGGATGCAGAGTAACCAGACATTGAGAACAGAACAATGAGATGTTTCAAAAGCGAGATAGACGCCTGTTTGCACTTTGAAGGTCAGGAAGGGCCGTTCTGTTTCTTGCAGAGGTTTCTACACTTTAATACTTCCATCCCACTGAAACAGATATGTATGCAAAACGACCAGAAGGACTGTTCTGAAAGGACTAACTTTCTTAAGGGATTCTCTGCTGCTCGTATCTTTGGGTAGCCATGTTAGTTGCCTTTGCTTTATGCCCTAATGTTTGCAGTCTGATATAAACTCTTTATTCTCTTGTGTTTTTTCTTTATGGTTTTGCTCAGAAAGAAAGACCCAGTGTCTTCATTTCAATATTAATTTTTGCAAAACACACTACATTTACCATGACAAAGTCTACTTATTAAACTTCTTAGGTAATACTAATCTTAATCTTGAAATTTTGTAGCCTGATGTTATATAAAATTGGATTACACCAATAGAATCATCTGCATGTAAAGATGAGAGGTAAACATGTCACTGACTGCTTGGTCCTGGCTTAGAAAGTAGCGTTACCTGGTCGTAGAGGAATCTGCTCTCCACAGGGTTATCGATATGTGTGATGGCTGGACAGCAGGTGTGCAGGAAGGGCAGAAATGTCTCCGAATAATCAAATAAATACAAATAAAAGATTGTGAGACGAGGAGAGCGCTTCAGTGCATATAGCAGGAACAAGGACTTTCCTGCGTTAGCCGCCTGGAAAAGACCAAAAAAGCAGGACAGTTTATATTAGTAGTTGAAAAGAAGAAAACTTCACTCTCATCATTCTCTACTGCTGACAATCTACAACATGAGAGAATATTTGCAAAAATTAACGCATCTTTACTGCTACAAGTCAGTTATATAGTACCTAGCAGCCAGAATAATTTGAGATTTTTCATTACTTTACTATAAAAGATTACCTTGCCTTCAAACATTTTGTGAAGCCGATATAAAGATGTCAGCGTTTCTATGCTTCTCCTTCACAACACCTGAGTTAAGTGGAGGCATAACTGTAGATGTATTTCAAGACGTCTAAAAAAGCACTGTCTCATTCAGTGATATTAAGGAGAAATTTGAAAATAGCTACTAAATCAAGCTGTAAATTTATCCTAGAGCTCCTTGCTGCTGCCAAGAATGCCGCCATATATTTAGTTCATTCTGTAAGTCTTTGATATTTCTTTTTTTACAGATGTAATGCTCATCAGCAGTTTGAATAAGCACAAACTGAAACCAGTGAGTGGGGTATAACCGCTAACAAACAGTTTGATAAACACTATAGTGTCATAAAGTCTTTTTCCTCTTGGCTTGATGGTCCAGTTAGCCTAGCATTATCCCTGTTGTCCTTTTTGTGTGTGTTTAGTTTCTTTATTGGCAGAAATACAGACAAAAAAGTAAAAAAAGAACAGTTTGGTATCATTTGTATGGATTTTAAATAAAAAGTTTATCTTGCCTCATGTTTTAAAATAAAATACTTTAACTACAAAGATAAAACATTAGGATTATTTAGCAGTAAAATCAGTACAGTACATGTTTCCTGAACCAGTCAAACTATATTATGAGGAAGTTTAAACAAGCACAACAAGGCGCAGGACAAATCAAAATCCAAATGTTTCGACCATATGAACGATATTTTTGACCCAGAGTGACTTAAGGATAAAAAAAGTTGACACTGTGTGTGGGAGCAATGCATCCTGCTGTCTCAGTTACACCACTTCAGTAAGGAGAAATGATCCAGGATATCATTAAACTGTGATGGGAAACTTATGGAGGAATTCCCAAGATATTAGACTGAAGTCACACAGTTTAAAAGGCACCTCTGTCAAATTATTATAGTTTTATATATAATATTTGTCATTTTGGCTAAATACAGGGTTCCTACAGCATAAGTCAAGTTAAATTCAAGACTTTTTAATGCCACTTGCAATAAAAATTTAAGACCAAATTCACAAGAAACACAAGAAAAACCCGCTTGCGACAACTTAACCCAAAGGTTTATTTTAACATAAACCACTGCACTAATGTTTCAGATTTTGAAAAGCTTCCCATACAGGAAGAAAGCTAAAAACACACAAATGACAGATATATTTTAACAAATATTTAACTGAATTCACAAACTTTGTTTTAGCAGGGAAAAAATTAATCAGTTTAAAAGCCACAACATAACCAGTGCTAAGTCTTTTTAGCAGCTATTTTTCTTTGTATCGTTCTCTTAGTATGTTTGATTTGGTGATAAGTGGAAGCGTTGCAGAGACAAGAGTGGAACAAAACTGAGAAATACCGGCTGTTTCTCGGTAACTTGATTTTGACGCTTTGTGTTTCGTGTTTCGCATGTGCAACTCCACTGCCTTAATTCCCATCGTTCCGAGCTTGAATCGCTTCTTGCAGAAAATACACTGTGCCTCATGTATATTCCCTGGTTTTAGCCATGGAGAAAACTCTTGGCTGGATAGGCAATTTTGGTTACATTTACACTTGCTCATAATTTCTAGACAAAAAAGTTAATGGGGCATCACCCAAATGTCCCGGCCGCAACAACGCTTTTATTGGTTCCGCTATTGGGACGGAAGCAATAATGGCGAGCCATTTTTATTTTATTTTTTTATAAAAAGAAAAAAAAATTGTCAATTTTAACGTTTTATTTAGATTACAAAAATAAATCATAATAAAAATAATCCTACTTATGATGTTTTAAAAATTAAGACCTACGAAAGACTGATTTAAGACATTTTAATACTAATTAAGGCCTTAATTTTATTTTGAAGAATTCAATGCCTTTTAAGACTTTTTAAGGACCCGCGGCAACCCTGTAAATAGGTCAAGAAAAGCTTAAGTCTAATGTAATGTCAAGTGAGAAAATTGCTAAACACCGCTTGTTGGTTGGATGTTGTGCTTACTTTGTATTCCCAGAGGTTCTGTGGAGGTTTGACCCCCAGCGTTTTAACTCGATCCAATTCTGCCAAAACAGCTCGTCTGTGTGTCTGATTCTCTATGCTGAATGGAGGTTTTAACAGCTCTTCGTCTCCCAGCATCAACAGTAACCTGAAACACAGCATTTGACACCATAACAATGAAAAACTGGCACGACAGAAGCTAAAACCATGAGTTAGCATTTGGCTGCAGGGGCCACCCTACACCCTTCAGCAGTTTGGGATGAAAGGCATTTGCTTTAATCATGACACCAAAGTAATAAGAATTAACAGCAAAATACAGATAAATCAGTCCAATGAAACGACCTTCCATTAACGTTCTCCAGCTGGAAGGGTTCTCTGTAGCTCTCTGTCCACGGACCCAGCTGTTCCAGCCAGGACACAACTTCTTCTGGAGTCCAGTGAGACACTGGCTTTGTTATCAACAAGTCCTGGTGTTCCACCACTCCACTGCCCCAGTGGTACACCAGCACCACCACCTGGACACAGCAGGATATTACAACAATATATTCAACTGTATTCATTAGCTTTACGATCCAAACTAAAATCTTTGTACGCTGTTTTTTTTCATTTTCCTAAATCATTCAACTTTATCACCACAGTTATTCCCTTTAAAGTCCCACTTTTCTAAATAAGTGGATTTGCCCGATGAGAAGAATAAAAAAAAAAAAAAAAAAAAAAAAAAACGTTGGACAAATATGCAAGTTTTGATGCAGCAACACAAAGCTGTGAAAGAAAGAGTTTGAGTTTAAAATTGCCTTTATTACACAATCCAGCAATTAATAAAACAAAACAAAGTTAATAAAATAAAAAAGCAAAAACTAAAGTTTCTTCATCTACTAAGCATAGAGCACCATTAACGCCCCACTTACTAATTACTAAAACATTTATACTCTTTGTCAATTTAAAAAAAACTCAAATTCTACTCGAACACGAGCAATGACCAGTCTCTTAAATAACACACAAGCATCTCCCGTTTGACCACCATTAATTTTGTTCTTTCTTGATATCCATATTGCTAGTTTTGCCGTTCCAGAAATGAAATTTAACAGCACATGAACAGATCTCTTCTTTGCACAATACCTAGGACCATAAATAAAAAATACAGCTGGAGGACTGAACACCAAAACCACTAAACAAACGATCCAAAAAACAAAAAGAGGATTCAATTTTAAACATTCAACAAAAATATGATGCAACGTTTCCTCCTGTAAACAAAAAGGACAGTTAGCACTAGCACCAGGATTAAGGTGTGCCAGATACCGGTTTGTAGCTTTTGCCCCATGTACAGTCCTCCACTGGAGGTCACCCACCCATTTTTCATTCGGGGGTTTGTACAGGGACCGCCAACAGCCTCTTGGGGTAGAGCTGGTGCCAAAAAACTCAGTCCACCTTGACACTCTCACTTCTGCCAGCGAATGTAAGTTCAGAACCTTCACACAACTAATGTGCAAGGCCTTCTTCCCCAAGCCTTTAAAATGACCTAGTGGTGAAACTTGGAAGGACAATAGCCTTTCTGGCTCAAAACGCCTTTGATCCACTGCAGGAGAGACACTAATTGATGGAAACTCATATTCATACTCATCATCCCATTGGTTAAAACGAGTATTATCAGCAGCAAAGGCTCTGACATGGTCTGGCAGAGAAGCACAGGCTTCTTCTTTCATCCTTAACAAAAGCCTGTTGGATCGCACATCAAGACGCTCAGTTAGGTTGTACACAGATAACTTCATCAGATGACCCAGCTTCACACATCCGGCTTCTCTCATCTTAGATCTTAAAGTACCAGATGACAAACAAGCAAGCAAGCAAGAAAGCAAGCAAGAAAGCAAGAAAGAAACTCTTCACACATATTAAATCTGAGCTATCTTTAAGTGAGCTGGCAAAATCCGACCTGTGTGAGGTCATATGTTTACACTGGCCTTTATTTACAGGGTGCTGGGGAATAGTCAAATATACAAACGTAAATTTACTGCCACGTAGCAAAAGGCACACAAAGACATTGCTCCTAAGTGCCACATAAGCAAAATAAACATGTTCTTTTGTCAGCAAAAAATCAAATAAATACGATGAAAAAAAACACTGCTACCCTTTGAGCTACTGCTGTGATAACGTTCCAACAATTATGTGCTAATGTGCTACTCTGGATTGGAACCATGACTGTAGGGAAATACAAACATGCACAGGAATGACCAAACTTTTTAAGAAGGTAATGTTGTAAATCAGAGGGAAATAAAACACATCAGGCAACATCATATTTATGGATAACCTATCATAAAAATATTAGAAAAAAAGGAAAACATGACTAAAGCCCCCATGCTCTGCTCGTCGCCACCTTAAAGAAAAATAATCTTTTTCTCTGACTGGTACTCACAGCCACACATGTGAGCGCAGTTAAGACTCCAGAGAAGAAGAAACCCGCTCCTTTGTTCTGGACCGTCTTGGATCGACCCAGCTTGTCCCCATACCTAAAATAACAATAAAAAACAAGCAACGAGAAAAAGTTTCTACTTTAGATACAAATGAATTTTGATTTTAAAGTTTTAACATTGGGAGGATTTACAGTACCAAATGAAATTAGAGCCACAAGAAGTGGATGAATTAAGGACTGAATGAGGTAAAAACTACAACTAGAACACCATTAAATTCAACTAAACACTTTTATTGCAGGGGATATTTTTAGGTGTGAACAGTTAGAAGGCACAGGTTTAAAACATTACAGCATTATTACTGATCGTGTTAAATCAGCCTGAAAATAAAACGTTGAGCCTCTACAGTGGAGAGAGAAATCATTTGACTCTGCCCGTCTACAGTTTTGACACAAGATAAAAGAAATCTGTGTAGAAAGAACAGATAGTACCTCTGAAAGGCCAACAGGCTTCTAGAGATTTTGGGATTAGCCTTTATTTCCTCCCTTCTTTTCTCCACAGTCTCACTGAAAATCTTCTCAGTCGCATCTCTGAAAAGAAAAGATAATAAAAACATATTTTTGTGAAATGTAAAAGCAAAGTAAAACCAGGAAGCATGTTGACTGTGTTGGTTTAGTTCTAATGTTGTACTTTTGGTATCTGCCAACTCACTAAACCAGTTACAGAAAACCTTTTGAGATAACATTCATTCTTAAAGGGAAAAAAAATCCCATCTTTAAAACATTGAATTAATTCAATCAAGTGATTAAAAACATATTTGTTGAACGTCTTAAAGACAGTTGGGTATTTATACAATACTTTATCATCCATCTAATGCTGCCTGTGGTAGCAAAAAAAAAAAAAAAAAAAAAAAAAAAAAAACATACTTGTCCATTCTTGTTTATCATAGTTCCAGTTTAAAATGCTGAAAGGGGCAAATTAATTTGAACAGAATAACCTGTGTGTCATATTGTTTTTGTATTTCTGGGAAACTAATTTGCATGGATTACTATTTAAAAGTTAACCAAAGTCCTGATTGGATTTATTTCTCGGCATCAAAGACTTAGAACATACAGCAACTAAAGAATTTGTAGAGCTGAGAAATAAAAAATAAAAAAGGGGTGCCAGTTTCAAACCGAGTCTACTTATGAGGGTTTTAGAAAAGAGATGTTCTCACAATCGAGAGTATTTGGAGAACTTTGTCAGCAGACCCAAGTGGAGCTCCTTCCCTTGGCTACTTAACTAATACTTTCACCCAGAACAGTTTATAATGATTTCAACTCTTAACTCAAGTCTTCTTAAACAATGTAACTGACTTATTAGAGCATTTTACTTCTAGAGGATGGTCCTAGTTTAAGGAACAGGACCTGTTGATGCTGAACTCTGAATTAATCAAACAGCATATATATATATATATATATATATTAGTGCTGTCAAAATTATCGCGTTATTAACGCGTTAACGCAAGGCCATTTTAACGGCGATAATTTTTTTAACGTGAGATTAACGCTATGTGGTTTTATGGTACAATTTTTCCAAGTACATCCCGCTGCAGCCTGCGGGAAGGCGGGGCTATTTTCCCCCAGTGTATGCATTTCTCATAGGCTTCAAGAGCGGAGCTCCTCAAGGGAAAAAGACGCTCATACACTGGGTGACGCTAGTGCCTTTTCTTTAAGCCCCACCACCAACAAACAAGTTGAGTGTCTGGTAACTAGTAGCAACCTGAAATACGCTGAGAAAACTGATTACTGAGGTGAAATGGAATCTCGTAGCAGCACTCTTGCCGTCTCTGTACGCAACAGGTCGGTATCGCGTGTGTGTGTGTGTGGGTGGGTGTGTCTGTGTGTGGGTGGGTGGGTGTGTGTGTGTTCTCATTTTTGTTAAGAGGCTGAAAAGTAACTTTCTAGAGAGCATAGACTACCTTCATCTAGTGATGTCGGTCTATTGATTTTGATGTATTGATTGAAAATTGTTCATTATTACCTTGGTTAATTAACATCTAATGTTAACTCTACTAAATTTTATAGCAGTAGGGTAAAATGCTTGTCTTTGTTCAAAAGACTGTATTAACTGTAAAGACTGTCTTTTACATCAGCCTGTTTTCAGGGCCTTTTTTTTGCCTACATATTTGTTATTTTTTGCTACATGCCTCCCCATCTTCTTGCCATATGTTTCTATGGCATAAATCAGTATCTGTGACCTGTTTTCATTTTAAAAAAAGAACATTGGCACAAACCTAGCCTGTATGTATTTTTTTGTATGTCATCGAGAGTATTTAAATGATTTTCAATCAGAAAAAAAATGTGCGATTAAAATGCGATTAATCGCGAGTTAACTCAGGCATTGATGCGATTAATCGCGATTAAAAAATTTAATCGATTGACAGCACTAATATATATATATATATATATATATATATATATATATATATATATATATATATATATATATATATATATATATATATATATATATATATATTATTTATATTAAAAAAATCACTACTGTTGTGCACAAATGCTTTGTCCTAATTAAAAAAAATATATCTTTTTTTTTTTTTCAATTTATAAACAGGGTCTGTGTCACTTAAAAATCTTTGTTTCCATTTTTTCTTTGGATAAACTTTACATGCACAAGTGCACTCTAACAAACAACTACAGGTGCTTGGTTCCAGGTACTCAGAGATTCACTTCCATACAGAAAGCCCATATTCTAATCTTCAGCTACCACAGTATAAATGTCAGATTAAATAATACTACTTATACTTCAGCGTTAGTATCAAGGTGTTACTTAATTGAATCTCTTGTACCATGTCCGTTGGTTTTGCTGCTTTTTTTTTTTTTACATTTCTTTGCAGGTGATGAAGCAGACTGAAGATGTTTTATCGTTATCTCCCTTTTATCTCCTCTTTCTTTCATCTTTTCTTCTTTTTCTTGTTTTTCCTTTCCTGTTCTACTTTCCCAATGCAGTGTCCATATAATCCGTCATACTCCCTGCATTAATTAAAATAAAGCTATTTATATGCATGAATCAAGCGGAACACTATGGCGATAGCAGTACCCTTGTACTTGTGATAGTAAAATCTGTTGGGCTCTTATTGGCATCAAGGCAATTATTCTTATTGCCACATTGCCAGACAGGACACCGTTTAACAGAAAAAAAAAAGAAAAAAAAAAAAAAAAAGCTTTGTTTCAGCTCAGTCTCAGTCTCAGTTCAAACTGACTTCTTCTCTGTGGATTCATCTCGTTGCCCCCAAAATTCCTGTCTGTGTGATGTTAACCTGCTTGCTCAATCCTGTATAGCCTGCAGGCTGCATGCAGATTCCTTTAACTTTCTCAAGAAACTGTCAAAGCTTAATCTGTCCGGTGATATTTCTGGTCTATGAAATCAGAGGAAAGCTGCTTTTCAGTTGAAAAAATAAAAAAAATCCTACAGTTCTTTCAGTGAAAATTCTGCAAAAGTAGCCCTTGTTTATTCAGCAACTGATTATTTTATTCAGGATAGAGCAGCTATTTGGGGATGGGTGTTGCTACCTTACCCAAGTTGTTCTCATATTTTTTACCCTCAAAGCATACAACTAAATTTAAATAATTCGATACCACTGCAACTATAAAAACAGACAAACATCCTGAACATTAATGTTGTGTTTCACAATATTCTTGGATTTAGTTTAAATTTATTCATATTCCTATAACTTAACTTAAAAAGCAAACAGTCCCCAGATGTGAAGCAGTGGTTAAAAGCATACCTTAGCATTATGTTGATTTTAGGGAAGCCTTCCCATTTCTCTCGACACTCTGGGCATTCAGTCTTGTGTGAAGACTCCCACCACTGTGCCAAACAGTGGCGGCAGAAGTTATGGCCACAGGTCAAGGTGGTGGGGTTGACCAAGACGTTGTAGCAACAGTGACATGAGAATTCAGTCTCTGAGATGCTGCTGGTTCTGGGTTTCGACTGGTGGGAATCCGATGTGTGGAGGGGCTCGTTCATTACCTCTTCCAGGTCATCATCTGCTGAATCCCCCTCCATGTGGTGCAACATATCCAAACTGCAGAAGAACAAACACACATCAACTAAGAAGGAGAATATACTGCAGAAATGTGTTCAGCAGAAAGATCAAACGTCTTTCTGAAAGCCAGAGAAGGGCAAGATTTTGCTAAATTTGTTTCAGATACATGTTTGATTTTTTTTTTTTTTTTTTTTTTTTTTTTTAGCACAAAACAGGCTTCTTTTTTTTTTCAAAGCACCCTATGTGGTCTTTCTTAACCCTCCTATCGTCCTCAAATATAGTAACAAATTTGGTCCTTGGGGTCAATTTGACCCCAGGGATATTTACCTCCAGAAAATGATTTACAGAATATTGTTGACCAAGTTTTTGTGACAGGCACTTTGTTTATTTGTTGAATACATAAATAACCCCTTGAAAATCAGTGAGTTGACCTTCCCTCTAGCGCCACCATCAGGCCAAACCTTTAAATGAAAATGAGTTTATTTTGATTTTTTTATACAAATCTTCTCAAATTTACAGGTTTTGAGCACATTCATGACTCTGAGCACATTCATGACTCTTACCAAATGAACCATATTGATTAATGTTGGTGACTCCCCCTTTCCTCTCATAAACATATTTATTTACTTATTTTTATCTATTTTGTTGTAATATATTTGTTGCTAGTTACTGTAGGATCTTACTCACCCCTCCTCTTTTGTTATCCGGGCTTGGGACCGGCAATGGCAGAGTTATAGAGTTTTTTTGTTTGTTTTTGTTTTTTTATGATTTTTTTTGGTTGTTTTTTCTGTTTTTTTTTTGTTGTTTTTTTTTATTCATTTGTGTGACAGAAAATGGATAATGAGAACATGTCACGTAGTAGTTAGAACATGGAACAGTTTTTAGAGAGAAACAACATGGTGGCTGGAAATATTGCCCTTCCAGTCTCAGCATTCCAAAGACTTGCTGTTGCTTCACCTTTTGACTTATAAAGTCCTGCCAAAATTAGCAAGCCAATGTAGGCTTCCAAATCAACTAGATCCAAGTCTTTCCAACTGTCCCCATAAACACGCTTTCCCTCTAAATTTGTCATCCCAAGCACAATATTTTTGATTGATGGTGTTATGAAGAGCTCGAATGATGACGTCATCAACATGGCTGACTGCATATCTGGTGGGTCCTGGAACCATTTTGATTATATTACTTGCGCTATGTCTACCCTGCTGTTTCAGTGGGGAAAGGGACCATATTATTTTTCCATTTTTGGATGAAATTGTGTCTGCTGGTGGTTGAGGGACAACAGGAGGGTCAACACTCTCATTCTCATCAGATGAGAATTCCTCAAAATCAGGGTCCTCCTCAACACAATCCTCAGTCTCAGAGACAGTCTCCTCTAAGTCACTTTCACTGTCAAAGAGCTGCTCCAAAACCTCTTTGACAGTAAACCTTTTCCAGAAGACATTTTCAAAGAGAGAGTGTGCAGATTGCAGTATACTCAGAGCACAGTGAGGAATGATTTGGATAGAGGACTGTAGTGCAAGCTTATGTTTGCTCCTCCCTGATTTGGCATGAACTACCAATGGCGTTGTAGGAATAACCCGCCCTTCACAAGGCGGGAAAAATCAGTTCTACTTTGGCAGGTGTGAGTTCAGAAGGTCACACAGATCCCCAGATGTCTCAGTTCAAATGTATCAACTAAAATGTATCAACTCTGCACCTGCAGGTGTTGTCATGTTAGGTCACTGACAAGTTTTAGCAGCTAAAACAGCTTGGGGTCAAATTGACCCCAGAGGACAACCAATGCGTGTAATATGTATTCAGCACATTAAAAAAATAACATCACAAAAATTTTATGCTTTACCAGTTGTCCCCATCTAATTAGGAAAAGTCATGAAATATGAAGCAAAAAAAAAAAAGTTAACTAATATTTTTTGAATGATAAACATTGAATGGGGTCAAATTGACCCCAAGGACGACAGGAGGGTTAAGATAAATATGTGTGGTATTTTCAATCATCTTAATAAATAAATCTTCAGGCTTTCTTGAGATCTTTTAAAGCTTTTTTCACCTTTGAGAACGTTTCAATCTGTGACATTTTAAAGTAAGGGAAGGCCTGCATGCTATCAGAAATAATGGGGTGAGAATAACTTTCTGATGATATCAGCTGCTATCAGTTCTCCCCATTTAGTAATAATGATGCTCTGTGTTACTTTTAGCATGTCGAGCTCCATCAACTGCTAAAGCTTTGACCACAATCTAGCATATAAAAGCATGAATACACAAGACAAAGCATTTGAGTTCAATAGGACAGGATGCAGTGCAGCTTAAGAGAGGGAGAAAGATGAGGGAACTTGATTTAAGGAGGATTAAACCAAATATGCAAGCTCTAAAACTCCACCTGCTCTGCAGAGAAGCAGCATTCTTCTAAAATAAACAGAAAATCGAGTAAAGACCTGACAAAGAACCAGTTTTAAACGTGCAGCTTTGTGGGGTTTCTCATTGTAGGTTAAAAACAGTTCAGCAAATGTGGTGCAGTTAACTCCTCCTCAGTTTTTTAGGGTGTTAGACCATTAACTGAGGGAGGAAGGCTCCCAACATGAAGCCAAAATGGTCAATAATTTAAACACATCTGATTATCTGTCCCACCTACTACCCTTAACGTAGAATCCCAACATAACCAATAAAAAGGTATAACTCTGAAAATGTTTAAGAACTTTTGGAAACACAGCTTTGATTTCTTTTAATGGAGGGGAAAGTAGAGGAATTTAACTTGGTGTTCCAACCATAAAATTGTGAATACTTTAAAACTGTTTATAAAGTGAAAGGGAATCAGTGTCACTTAAAAATCTGAGAGACTTTGGAACCTTCACAGATACTAAAAAAAGATTAGATCTAAAGTTGTGTCCCATTAGACATGACAGTTTACTCCTAAATAAACCTGTTGATGATCCAGAGAAAATAATTTATTGTTGACAAAACACTGAAAACCCCTTATTATTTAGACTTAAGTAATGTGACTACCTTGGCCATTTATTTTGAACAAAAACTCAGAAATATTCAGGACACTCACAGTTCAAACACTTCCAAGTAACCACTATGTCCACAGGTTTGATCACAGTTACTATACTTGCAGTATTAAAATGTCTAGTATTAGGGCTGGAGAATAACAATACAAAATCTTGCAATACTGGTAAATACTGTGATATCCATGGCAATGAAGTCCTGTTCTTGTCTTCCCTTTGTTTCCTCTATGCTTTTTACATTTCTGCATAATGTTATTCTCTCCTCAGTGAGTAGCTACAGATCAAATACAACTATTTGCTTTTTATGGTGCGCAGGTTTTCTAAATAAAAGGTACAAAATGCTAAATTATTAAATTTAAAATGAAACTAACTAAACTAAAATAACTTGGAAATGGCAAGCCAAGTCTGATTTTTTTTGAAAAAGGAAAGTGGAAGGTTGGTAAGAAGGTAACTTTTTTCCACACTATCTAAATTAACCATTTAAATCTATCTACTGTATGTAAAAACAATTAAGTGACATCTAGGTTGCTAGGGCAAAAAAATAAAAAAAAATACAAATAATAATAATATTATATATATATATATATATATATATATATATATATATATATATATATATATATATATATATATATATATATATATATATATATTTAACTAAATAAATAATAAATAGAGTTTATGAAGTTAACTATCACATCCAGATCTGCACGTTAGCTAAAGCTAGTACAATGGTTAGTAGCTAGCTAAAAACTGATTGGCTATGGGGTTAAATTGACGAAAAAAATCTTTAATATCCAACTCATAAGAAATATCAATTTTAAAGGAGAAATAAGTCAACATTAGCTTTCGGTCGGTAACATTAGTTAGCTTGCTAATCGTAACTTTAAAGCTAACGGTGGAGCTAATTTGGTAACCTATAATAGCAGTTAACCACACTAACCCTTTATTTCTTTACACGGGGTCCTCAATCAGCTGGAGGGGGACATGATTTCGTCCTCTGAGTTCCTGCAATCAATGAAGCCTCGCGTCCAACCAGGGGGACACATACATCAGTGCTAGAATAGCCATAACTCCTGGTGCCATGGGAAGAAGCCTCCCTCGCGACAGTAGGATCTTCTTCTTCTTCTTCTATTGAGTTTTCTGGCAGTTTGCATCCTGTGTGCATTACCGCCATCAACTGGACGGAGATGTAATTCAGAAATATAATGTCTGTATATCTTTATATCTTCATGAAACTAAATTCTATCTATACTTACACACACGCACATACACACACTAAATTCTCCCAGCTAATTCTGTATCTTTTAAATATTTAATAAGTGCTTTAATTATCTTATCTGATTGATGCTTCCCTAATAAATCTGCCATCTTTACTGAACTCCCCATTACCCTTTGCAGTTCTTTCCTCTCTTTTGTATATTTGCTACAATAGATCAACACATGTTCTACTCCTTCGATTTCTCCGCAATAACAACAATTACCCGTTGGATGTTTCCCTATTATTTTTAGACCTGCATTTAAACTAGTATGCCCAATCCTTAACCTGTTTATCCATATTTCCTCTCTTCTACTCATTATACTGTTATATCCTATGCTAATATCTTTATGTATTTTATATAAATGTCTTCCTTTTTTTTCTAAATTCCATCTCTTCTGCCATACCTTATTTATTTTATCTTTAATAATTACTTTTATTTCTGTTCTACTTAGCGGGACATCATATTCAATTTCTCCTACTTTAACTGCTTCTTTAGCTAACTTATCTACTTTTTCATTACCTAAGATTCCTTTGTGTGCTGGAACCCATGTGAATTGAATACTTATATTTTGTTGCCTTATACCATACATTAAATAACTGACTTCATCTAAAAGATCTTGACAGCTTTCAGATTTTCCACTTTTAAAACTAGTCAGGCAAGACATTGAATCTGAACAGATAACTACATTTCTAGGCTTCACCTCCAGCACCCATTGCAATGCTAAAATAATTGCCAACATCTCTGCTGAAAAAATTGATAAATTATCTGTTGTTCTTCTCTTGATAGAAATATTTTCTTTTGGAATATATACTGCTACTCCTGTTTTACCATTTTCCTCTTTTGATGCATCTGTATATATTTGTGTCATATTTTCATACCTTACTTCTAAATGCTGCTGAATAATTTGATACAAACCTCCACAAGACTCTTCTATTTTTTTAGTTTCTAAATTTACTATTGGCATTTCGAAAAACCATGGAGCAATTTTAGATGTACTTACAGTTTTACAGTATGTTATATTACTTATCCCAGAATACTCTGCATAAATATTTCCTTCCCATCCAAAACTCCTTATATTATGGCCATATTCCCAACATTCTCTGAATATCTGTTTAGTAGGGTGATTTTCCTCATGCCCTTGTAAATTTAACCAGTAATTTATTGACAGTTTCATCCTCCTTAAGTCCAGTGGCATTTCTCCAGTAATCACTTGAAGAGCAGGAACTGGAGATGTTCGAAAAGCACCACTACATATCCTAAGCGCTTTGGCTTGGATTCTATCTAAATCTAACAACAAAGAATTTGCAGCTGATTTATAAACAATACATCCATAGTCCAACACAGATCGAATTAAAACATCATATATTCTTTTCAAGGATGAGCTAGTTGCCCCCCGACAGTAGGATCACCCGAAGAAGAACAGTTTAGTTCCGTCCGTTTTCTTCTTCTACGGTTTAAAGCTCAACTCACAGCTGATGACTTTTAAAAGTAGCTTGAGATCAAAGTTCAGGTGTTTCCACGAGTGAAGCCTCTGGTCTAAAGTGGCCTGCGACGGATTGTTTATCTCTGTGAGGAGAATGAAACTAGTTCCTTATCTTGTAAGCCTTCATGACGCATTGTGCTTATATCTCAGGATTTAAAACTGAGTTTGAAATATATTTGCTGCTCTGTACATTTTTTTAATGAGAAAAAAACAGTTAACATGATATTTTTTCTTTTATATTGGACAATCAGACTGAAAACAATACAGACTGTATGTCTTTAAAAGAGTGCAAGAATAAACATCCTGAAACAGAATAGATAGCTACCTTTTCTCACTGTTTAAAATTAAAACAGACTAAAGTTTTCCTGAATATAATTAATTAGATCTACCAAAATACACAGTAGGCTAAGCACATAAATACATATTTCACAGACAATAGGAGAATATTATGGAAAGATCTTCAATTAAATTTTAAATAAAAAGCCTTAGTAGGCTATTCCACAACAGTTTACTTCTCCTGGCAGAACTGGAGTTATATTCCATTTCGGTTCAGTTTATTTGTATAGAGCCAATTCACAACAATGTCATCTCAAGGCACTTTACAGTTCACCAGATCATACAGTCAAATTGATTCAAAGTTTTCTAAGGAAAACCAGTTGATTGCATCGACTCATTGGCTCAAAGACAATCCCTCACACTAAGCATGCTTGTAGCAACAGTGGAGAGGAATAACTCCCTTTTAACAGGAAGAAACCTCCAGCAGAACCAGGCTCAGTGTGAGCAGCAATCTGCTGAGGCCGACTGGGGTTCAAGGAGACAGAAGTAGAGATACAGAAAGAAGTAGAGATACAAAAAGGCAAATTTAGTGATTTTCCCTAAATTGCATGTTAAACAATTTTAACTCCCCCCTCCTCCCCTTGGTTGCATATTTGTTTTGAATGTATATATGAAGAAAATCTCGTAATAAATGATTAGATGGATAAACAGATTGCATCTAACTGTTTTTAATTTATATTCATAAAGAAACTATCATAGAAGGCTCTCAAACTGGGCACTGGTTGTAGCAGTTACTAATTTATCAAGGTTGCCATTTCAGACTCCTTCCCACCTTGTCCCAGGGTTCAGACAAAGGTTCCAAGGTTACAAGTAGTGTTGCACAGATACCGATACCAGTATCAGATGGGGCCCCAATACTGCCCTAAAATGGTGGTGTCGGTATCGGCGAGTACCAACAAATAGGACACGGATACCATTTTGAGAGCCATAAGTTTATTCAACTATTGTCACCCACTCCTGGTAGGCAATAAAAAGTTCTACTGGATTCACTTTGTATTAGATTTTTTCCTGCTTCACAAAGGTAGGCAGCAGCTTGACAAAGCCATGATGGCAATAATTTTATATTATTATGGTATCGGTATCGGCCGATACTGCACAGCCAGGTATCGGGGCCAAAAAATGGCATCAGCACAACACTAGTTACAAGCAAGGCTCAGGTCTCTAATCAAGACTTATAAGTCTGAAAAAAAGAAAACATCCAATCCCTTAAATGTCAAGCTTATTCCTGAAACACTGTTAAATTATATGTTGACAATTGCAATTTTTAGTGTGGCACTTTTTTTAGATTTTCGATATATTTCACATTAGTACATGCAGAGGCGTAGCCAGAACATTTTTATGAGGATGGCCAGGCAATAACCAATGTACACTGAGGGGTGACCAAAGGCGGATAGGCACCAGAACCTCAGAGTCAATCTACACTGTTCCAACAGGAAAATTAATGAGCAAAACATCCATATTTTCTAAATAAAGACAAACTATACTTTTCCACAGCCTTTGCTAACAAATAGATGAATATATTCAAACATCCGTAATTTCTAGATAAAAGGTAAAGTGGATAAAACTTTCAGTTTTAAGTTCTGGGGCATGAATCTTTACCATTGTCATTACTTACCTACTTGTATAAATAAACATTCTTCATAAAATTGATATTTACAAACACTAATATCAACATAAAGTGATTATTTTAAAAAGTTTTTATTAATTATATAGGATTTCACTGAAGACTCCTGGATAGAAACACAGTTTTCTCTTTACCCCATATAACACAAAATCTAGTTCTAAAAATAGCATTAATTCTGTACTTATCATCTTGGATGTTAGTATATTTAATGTGTATAATTAACAATTTTTTTTTTTTTATGTTTTGAATAGTCCACTTGAGAGTATTACTGCTGCCACCATCTGTATTAGAGGGAAATAAATGGTAGGGGTGGCCACAGATTGGCTAAGGGTGGGCATGGCCACCCCTGGCCCCCCATCTAGCTCCGCCCATCTACCTCTGTCTTAGACATGCAAGTTATTCGACTCAACTCAAACATTAGGTCAAAATATATAGATTTTGCTTGAGTAAAATCCGAAATGTTTAAGTTTCACAAATAATAAATAAACTCATAATATGTACACCTTTTTCTTGCACACAGATTAAAGGAGACTGGAACTGACAGACAGAAAGATGACGCGTTCAAACACGCCTCGGAAGACTGAAACTAGGAGGCAGTAAGCAGCGGCGAAGATATCTAAAACCTCGAAGAAGAGAAGGCACCCGAGAGAAAAGGCCGGAAAATAATAATTATAATATTAAAAAAAGAGATTAGTTTGTAGTTCTTGTAAGCTGCCGGAGTAACGCTTCAGTTTGACTTTAACCATTTCTCCTGTCGCGGGTTTAATGCCATCCTCCAAAGCTGGCTCCCACAGCGCATTATGACTGAGGTAACGTCCACAGCGGAGAATTAGCTACACAGTTACATTCCACTAGCTTGGCCCACAGAGGCTGTTTGTGCTGTCGCTGCCTTCTATCACCAGCCAGCCGCAGTGAAAGCTGCAAAGCTGTTTGTGGAGTTATTCACATAGTCCAGGATGCAGCCCATCTAACAGGAACCGTTACAGAGTCCTGCAAATATAATTTTACGTGATTCAGAGTAGACATGTGCAGCTATCTGCTGTAGGTGAAGCTTCATCACTTTCATTTTCATTGCTAGATAGATGGTGCATGAAGACCAGGATGCCACTATAAAAATTGTTTTGGTAAAATGGTAATAGAAGCCAGGTTATAATTGATTTCATGTCATCTCTGTTTGTAAATATTCCCTATTTTGGTCCAAATATAGGACAGCCACAGGTTGAACTACAATAGTTTTAGTGTTCTTTGTCTTATTCACAAGAAACACAAGAAGAAACCAGTAATATGTAACAAAAAAAAAAAAGTGAAATATAACCAAAAGAAATGTTATAGCAAATTAAGATTCCTGGCTGCTCTGTTTGGAAAAATAATGATAAAACCATAACCATTAAATATTTTGGTCTATATTTAATCATTATAATATGTATTTTTTGTAATATTTGGAAACACACATTGATTGCAATTTTAAAACACTTTTTAGTTCAGTTCAGTAGCATTTATTTGTCCCAGTATGGGCAATTTTTGTGCAGTAGTAGTACACCTTTCACACACATATTCACACTCACATAAAAACACAAGAAACACATAAAATAAAAAAATAAAAAAGATAAGTTCTGTTAGTAAAACTACAATCCAGTCATATATTGATATCGGCCCTCCATTGACTTTAGGATCTTTTTAGGCTCTTTCAAAGTTTTATTACATTCTGCTAGTAGGATGGAAATTCACTAATTATGGTTTAGACCAAAGTTTAAAATTGCCAGCTGACTTACTGTCACACATTGACAGTTTAAAAGCTGTGCATTCATAAAATCCCAAACATTTACCCATCATTCACAATTTAGAAAACATTTTTAGGCTGATCTTTAATTTAGTGGTTACATCATACCTCTGGTTAAATTTTTAACAGCTATTTATTGGTTCATATAAAAAAAAGTATTATTTTAACATTAAACAATCAGGATAAAGCAAACATACTCTGTTCTACACGCTATAGATTGTATTTTGTGCTTTTCTTGGTAAATAAAGGGGCATATCTAAAAAGAGTGCAGTAAATATTTACCACTTATAACAAAATTATTATTTTTCATTTTATTAACTACATTTCTTAAAATCCCAATAAAGTCCCAAGAGTCCCTTAGTGGGAGTATTTCTCTTGGTCCCCTGATAGTTACATCCTTGTGGTTTAATCTTAGTTATATAGAGCAACAAAAATTAGTTGATTATTTTTTGGTACAGGTGCTGGTCATAAAATTAGAATATCATGAAAAAGTAGATTGATTTCAGTAATTCCATTTAAAAAGTGAAACTTGTATATTATATTCATACATTACATACAAACTCATATATTTCAGATGTTTATTTTGTTTAATTTTGATGATTACAAATGACAACAAATGAAAATCTCAAATTCATCATATCAGAAAATTAGAATATTGTGAAAAGGTTCAAAATTGATGGCCCCTGGTGCCACACTCTAATCAGCTAATTAACTCAAACCACCTGCAAAAGCCTTTAAATGGTCTTTCAGTCTAGTTCTATAGGCTACACAATCATGGGGAAGACTGCTGACTTGACAGTTGTCCAAAAGACGACCATCGACACCTTGCACAAGGAGGGCAAGACACAAAAGGTCATCGCTAAAGAGGCTGGCTGTTCACAGAGCTCAGTGTCCAAGCACATTAATAGAGAGGCGAAGGGAAGGAAAAGATGTGGTCGAAAAAAGTGTACAAGCAAGAGAGATAACCGCACCCTGGAGAGGATTGTGAAACAAAACCCATTCAAAAATGTGGGGGAGATTCACAAAGAGTGGACTGCAGCTGGAGTGAGTGCTTCAAGAACCACCACACACAGACGTATGAAAGACATGGGTTTCTGCTGTCGCATTCCTTGTGTCAAGCCACTCTTGAACCACAGACAGCGTCAGAAGCGTCTTGCCTGGGCTAAAGAGAAACAGGACTGGACTGCTGGTGAGTGGTCCAAAGTCATGTTCTCTGATGAAAGTAAATTTTGCATTTCCTTTGGAAATCAAGGTCCCAGAGTCTGGAGGAAAAGAAGAGAGGCACTTCATCCACGTTGCTTGAAGTCCAGTGTAAAGTTTCCACAGTCAGTGATGGTTTGGGGTGCCATGTCATCTGCTGGTGTTGGTCCATTGTGTTTTCTGAGGTCCAGGGTCAACGCAGCCACATACCAGGAAGTTTTAGAGCACTTCATGCTTCCTGCAGCTGACCAACTTTTTGGAGATGCAGATTTCATTTTCCAACAGGACTTGGCACCTGCACACAGTGCCAAAGCTACCAGTACCTGGTTGAAGGACCATGGTATCCCTGTTCTTAATTGGCCAGCAAACTCTCCTGACCTTAACCCCATAGAAAATCTATGGGGTATTGTGAAGAAGAAGATGCAATACACCAGACCCAACAATTCAGAAGAGCTAAAAGCCACTATTAGAGCAACCTGGGCTATCATAACACCTGAGCAGTGCCACAGACTGATCGACTCCATGCCACGCCGCATTGCTGCAGTAATACAGGCCAAAGGAGGCCCAACTAAATACTGAGTGCTGTACATGCTCATACTTTTCATGTTCATACTTTTCAGTTGGCCAACATTTCTATAAATCCTTTGTTTTTATTGGTCTTCAGTAATATTCTAATTTTCTGATATGATGAATTTGAGATTTTCATTTGTTGTCATTTGTAATCATCAAAATTAAACAAAATAAACATCTGAAATATATGAGTTTGTATGTAATGTATGAATATAATATACAAGTTTCACTTTTTAAATGGAATTACTGAAATCAATCTACTTTTTCATGATATTCTAATTTTATGACCAGCACCTGTATATGGCCAAACTGTTTCAGTAATATTTCTCTCTTTTTTTTTTTGTTGGTTTGCTAAAACAAAACCTAATTTCTGGCAGAGGCAGCTGAAAATTCCAACATTTTGAACAGTGGGTTTGATCTTTTTGAAAAGGAAAACTCTGCTGACCCCCAGTAGCACTTTTACTATCAATTAAATAAAGGAAATGTATGAGTGTGGAGAAGCTGTCTGTGAAATTTCAAGAATTAGTTTCAGGTGAATAAAATTTCATCCCTTACATGTTGACCACTCATCATGATGTGCAATGATAGTGATGGTGATCTGTTATCTATATAGGGGGGTGTAGGAAGAAGGTTAAGGATAGGTTGAGTTTTACTCTAAAGAACGGATGGATAGCATGTTTTTAAACAAGAGGGAGACCGTTTAGATAGAACTATATTAAAAATAGCAGTGTATAAGAGAGAAGAAAATATTTTCAGTAGGATAGAGTTTAAAGGAAGGTTATGGGAAGATTAAAGGAGATGGTTCACAATAAAATACAATTCTCTGAGAAACGTCTTTTTATTTCCAGTCACAGGTTTTAGAATTGAAGACTCATTTGAAGACAGTGAAAACCTACAAAGGAACATACCCTGGATATTTATAGGTGTCCTCAGCAACAGTGAAAAATTACTTAACAGAACCAAATTTGGTGTTATTTTAATTACTAGTGTGAATTCATCATTTTCTTTAATGGGAGGGTATGTAACCTAACTAAATCCTTTTTTTCCTTTAACTGCTACACAAAACTTTAGTTAGAAATTTGGGACGATTTTACTAAATCAAATTAAACAAAGAGAAGTGGACAACAACTGTTAAATGAAATAGTAATTGAAGACAGAGGCTCCATCTTACAGTTAGATCTTAAATACTATCTAAATTAGCCCTAAATAAATCTGAACAAAAAAAAAAAAAAAAAACATGATGCAGTAAACAATCCAAAAGTTCTATGATAACTATTACAAGGAAAGGTTGATTCTGGTATAATCATAAGCAGGGATGCGACTATTATTTTGCTAATCTATTAATCTATTGACTTTTTTTTATTAGTTGAGTGATGATACTTAAATAAAGAAGGTGTTTAATAGACTTTTTTTTTACAGAACTGGTTCCAAGTGTAGCTAAAACCGTCCCTTTAGGGGCTCTTAATAGAGCATATTTAAGGGTTTTTTATCTTAAATGCAAGATTCTTATCTTTTATGGTCGTTTTTGGGTTAGTAACTACTCTGATTGGGGTTTTCTATTAGAAAATTACATGTTTTATAAACTCTGTCCCTAAGTCAATCAACTCTTGTTAAATTGATTACTTAACAAGCTGTTAAATATTTTAGTAATCAATTTAATTCACTGTTTCAGCCTTGATCTTAAATGTAATTCACAGCCCAGAAAAAAAATGGTTTTGTATCAAAACAAAAAAAGATATTAATGCACATAAAATCTCTAAGTTTTCGAGTAACCCAACCCAAGAGGACGGCTGTCATTTAAATAAAGTAATTTAACAATATAGAAACATTTTGAATTAAAGATTCCTCTGTAAGGAATCTTTGACTACACAATTATTAATCGGTTAATAGGAAAAATAATCGACAGATGAATCAATATGGTAAATAATCGTTAGTTGCAGCCCTAATATATACATATGTATGTATATCTTTTAAAAATCAGTTTCATGATTTCCATTTTTTATCATTTTCATTTATTTTTACTTATGCATTTTATTTTACTGGCAGCTGATTTTTAATAGAAGGGCATGCAAACTTTTAAGCACAGCTGTATTTTGCAATTAAACCGTTACTTCTGTCAGTGACAAGAAAGTTAAAACATCTGTAACTTCTTCCAGTATTGCTGTCAAATTAATGAATAAAATTTGAAAAAATCTTCACTTTTTGATGTTAGGTGTGCTCTGCTCTTAGCATTCTTCTGGACGTACCCATCCACAGATGGCCTCTGCACTCCATCTAACTGTAAGACTTCAGACGGGGCAAAAGGATGATGAGCAAGAACCAGTGGAGGAAATTGGAGGTTTAATCAACTCGGATGGAGAGATGAAGGAATGGGATGGAAGTTAGTTACCTTACAGCTCTTTCTTGTTTCTGTCAGGTGTGAAATCTAATGTTTACTTACTGCCATTTCTAAAGAAGTTCTAACAACCATCAACACTTTCATACATAGAAAGTTCTCAGAGTGATCTCCTACATTACCTACATCATCAGCATATAAGCTGAGTCTCTTGCTCTTTATTTATCCTTCAAGAATAAAAATGCACAACAATGAAAAGCCAGAATCATGGATGGTCCCTCTTTATGTGGTCTTCTGGCTTCCATCAACAAGGTAGTATGTGGTCAGAGTTCAGCTCGGCAAACTTGCCTGACTGTTTAAGTACCCACAAAGCTCTAGAGGTTGTGTAATTTATTCCAACTGTAAAACCTCTGCTAAAGTAGAAATAAACTGCATCACAAATAGCATCACTTGAAAATTAGGATGGCCTAACATTAGCTTCAACTAGATATTTGGGGGAGAGGGTACATGGGGGGACTGGTGGCCGAGTGGTTAAGGCATAGAGATTAGAATCCTGAGGTTCTGAGTTCAAGCCCCACTGCCCCAGACTGCCACTCTGGCTCTCTGAGCAAAGGCCCATATCCCTCAATCGCTCCCCGGTTGGTTAAAGCGTACATTTCTTGTGAGACTGGGGAAATTATTATTGTTATCTTTGCACTACACCTCCACAAAGTGCAGATTAGAAGAATAAAATGTTTATTCTGAAGAACCCCACCCCCACCCCACACACACACAGTAAGGCTGAAAATGCTCATAGAGGGAAACCCCTTTTTTTGAGCACAGTAACAACATTATAGCCTTTAGACTGAATTAAGTTTTACTGAATTTGTTGCAATCTAGTCCTGGAGATCAAAGGGACTGTACAGGTCTCATTCAGGTTTACATGACACAATCTGTGAACTTCAAGGTTCCTTCTTTTATGAATGAATTATGCTGGGACTGAATATTTTACTTTAGCAAACACTTTAGCTTTCCTATCATTTGTTTGTATGTCTTTGTCCATCTTTACAGGAGCCATTTCTGACCAAGAGTCTGATTGTACTGAAGTCTCTCAATCTGAGAAGGTAATTTTTATGCTTTCTTTTAAGATGCAAAGAGAGTGGTCCATCTTTTAAAATATTTAAATGTGTTTAAGATGGTATTTCAATAGGGGGGCCCTGCTTGTAGCATTGATAGCATCAAGTGCTGTATATTGGCCTGAAGAATCATTTAAAATAACTCATATGCATCAACTCTTTAGGTCACAAAAGTCCGCGGGGTGCCTTTAACTCCACAGCCTTTAAAATAGGGAAAAAGCCTTCTGAACAAATAAGCGCTGCAAGAAAACCATGAATGGTTTTCAAAAAATTTGTTCAATCTAAGCAACAGCTTTCCCTCGTTTTCGATTGTGGTTTATTTCATATCTGTAGTTCATTCACAAGCATACTGGGAACAACAAACAAAAAGATTTGTCACACCTGCTTGTCTGGTTAGATTGAATTAAGTTATATGTTAAAGAGAAAGCGCAGATGTTCAAAAACCACAAAGAACGAAAACTATACAGGGATTTTTAAAGATTATTTTACCATCAGCGATAGCCATCCCTTGTCCTCGATTGTGGGTTATTTCATGCCTTTATGTCATTAAGAAAAATATTTAGGACGATGGAAAAATGGTTCGTCACACCTGCATTTGTGCTCATCATTCTTAGGGATCCATGTTAAGAGGTGGACAAAAATCCCCCCAAAAAATGACCGCCCTACGAAAGCTGCAGATTTAAAATAAAAAAAAATTGTATCATCCTGAACGACAGCCATCCCTCTTCTTCAATTGAATTTAATTTCATGTCTGTATTTCATTCAGAAAAATATTTATGATGATATAAAAACAGTTTCTCACAGCTGCTTTTCTGTTGTCTGCTTCTTCAATTACTATGTAAAATCCCCTCAAAGTTAGTCACTTTTTGGTCGGTCTGGAGGGGTTTTAAGGAAAACGACAACTCAAACAATAATTCCAGGACATTGTGTGAAAACAGAAGCTTCAGTCTACAAACTGACCAAAAATGATGGCTGTAGAGCAAAAGATGTGGGCTTGACAGCGAGGTAAAAATGTATGAGCCTCATCAGAAAACCATCCCTCTCCACGCTGCTGTGTTATGTCATCCACTATAAATCTGTTTTTCCCTCAAGCTTTGTTGTGCTCGGTGGATGATATTAGAAAAACCATAGCAGTTATAAATATAGTGTCTTCAGTTTTTGGAAGATGGAGGGTTTTATCTAAAAACAAAGCTTTAAAATGTGTTTGTTGGTAAATATATGGCCACACACGAAGCCTCAAAAATAGTGGATTTTTATGTGTTCTTTTTCCTTCAGGCAGGCACCAGTTAGCTGCAGTTTTGAGGTTTCTCACCAAGTATTGTTAGCACCAATTAACTGTTGCCTTCCAGCATTGAAATGAAAGCAACATAAAACCCTCTTTTCATTCTGGACCACATCCTTTACAGACACATATGGAGTGCATCTTTATGCTATTATAACGGATGTTTTTTTATTGGTTGTAAATACAGGAAGTCATTCTGGATGATTCTGAACTGAAAGACAAAAACCAGAGGGACAGCAGTAGTCCAGGACTTATCATGGAAGTTATAGAAGATGATGAGGAAGACAAGGAACGGAAATGGGAAGAAGGAGTAATAAAGACGACAAAGATCTCACCTTTACATCCTTGTAAGTGCTATATTAGAGAAAAATAAAATAAATATACAGACAGAAAACATGATTTTCTTTTGGAACCGTTTTCTTTTTCATTTCTAGCAAGAACACGACGGAGACGACTAAAAAAGGTTAGGCTGCAGTCTTTGGAAAACCCAAAAAAAGGAGAGCATGTCCCGTTTAGCACTGGTAGGTTATTAGAAGCATAAAAGATGTACAACTGAAAATGATCTTTAGATATATTTTTTTCTAGCTATAACTGGTGTAACAACACATTACTTGTGTGTGATCTTTTAGGAAGAAGACTCAGGAGACAGCCTTCCTGCTCTCCACTGCTGTGTGGGGAGGACTCTGAGACAAATGAAGGAGGTTAGTTTTTCTTATTCCTCAGTTCTTAAAAGTATATTTCTACTGCTTATGGACACAAATTATGACATATTTCTGGGCTTTCAATTATGGTTTTAAACTGCTCTGTATTTAAGTTGCTAATTAAAACACATATTTGGATAGACAATATAAGATTTATCAGGGAATTAAAATTCCAGCATGCTTCAAACTATAAACCAAGGCCTTATACATTCATTGCCTCAACCACAGGCTTTCTGTCGCCATCAACTTTCTGCCATAAATTTGTCTGCATATATTAAGTTAGCAGAACTGATAGAGCTCCTTTGATTAACAAGCTTTCCATTTACCCCCTCTATTTTTGTATCCGTTCTAAAGCTAGTTTTTCTGTGTGTTTTGGCTCCTTGAAACTGCTTAGTTTTTTTTATCTGGGGTGAAGTTAAACACATTTAGAGATATTCCTCCTCCTATTAGTATTTCAGTCTGTGTTATGTGTGACTTTGTGTTGGTGCATTACACCACTATCTCTAGCATTAAATCATCCCACAGTTTAATAGCACTAGCACCAGGCTTTATAGTTGGTTCTATCTTTACATTTTAAAACTGAAATTGACTTTGCCACAGAACAATCTTTGTTTTCATGTGGTTATAAAAGTGTTCTTTAGAAGACATTTATTTTGTTTTCATTTGGGTTGCTCTACCATGCCATCGTTCTAGAGGCTGTCAGTCTTACAGCTAGCTCTTCTTTCACTTGGCTACTTCCCAATTCATGGTTAAGCTGCGGCATTTGGGTTTAAACTGTGTTATGAGGAAATCTTTATCTTTAAAGCTTCCAATGAGAAACTACAAGCTATACCAGTTTGTATTACAAAGCAGAAGTTAATAGACAATAGCCAGTTAAAAAAACTTTGTAGAGCCTTTAGTTCAAGGAATAAAATAATGAGATGTATCCCCAATAAACCCACAATAGATTGTACCTTCTGAATAAAAAGTCTAGCTTTTGACTTCATTAAAGTTTGATAAACTATTTTGCACTTATTGAAAAAAAAGTTTAAAACAGCATTAAATAAATTCATTTGATTTGTAAGTGTACATGAATTTCTCCCTGAAACTCCATTAGCTGATCTAATGGCATTTATGCAGAGGATTTTATGTTTTTGCTCATGTTTGTTGACTTAAAGGAGAAGTTCACTTTTTAACACTTTAAGCCCATTTTCTGTAGTGTCCAGGATGAAATCGAATGATCGACACAAAAATTTTGACAATTGGTCCTGTCTCTGCTTTTTGGCTCATGCAGAATCACCCCCTGGCTGCTTTAGAATGGCTTCCATAGAGCATGTCCGATAATGTCCTTAAAACAACCTTAAACGTTCTTTTTTTAAAATATGCTACTCACCGGGTCGTCAGCGCTGTTCAATGACGTTCCAAAAAAAGTTTCGTAAAGAAAAAACGTTCCTGTAGTGTTTTATTTAGCATTTTGTAAATCCCATTGAGTTCTGTTGGAATAGTCAATATTCCCCTGCCACCGGAAACGGAAATGGGGCCTGTTTACACAGTTGTAGTCTTTTCGCTTCACTCTGTGTACTCCGACGTCGAGGTGCTAACGTCTCTGTTAAACACTTTAAAAAACTCTGAAAATGGAATACGAAAGGTGGATTCTTGATTCGGACGTGCACTATGGAAGCCGTTCTGAAGCAGCCAGGGGTGGATTCTAAATGAGCCAAAAAGCAGAGACAGGACCAATTGTCAAAATTTTGGTGTCGATCATTCGATTTCATCCTGGACACTACAGAAAATGGGCTTAAAGTGTTAAAAAGTGAACTTCTCCTTTAATTTGTTGGTTTGGTAACAGTGTTGTTTTTGACAGGAAGAAAACTATTATTAGTCTTAGTCGCATTCTAGTCATTACTATATGTGATAGTTTTAGTCGGTTTTAGTCGACTAAAAAGGTTTTAGTCAGTTTTATATTGCAAAAAAAAGTTAACCTTTGCAATTTCGAATAACAGCCAGATCCTTTACCAGACTGACAGCTCTTGCCTAGATACAACTGCCGGGTATAGAATGCTGCCGTGCCGTTCATCATTGCTGTTGGGCAGAAAACTTTGATTTATAGAATTCAAATAAACTTATTTTAATGAATGAATGTCCTACTTTATTAAAAAAACGTGTCTCACACAAGCTGTGAAAATAGCAGATCTTATTCTGTTAATATAGCAGAAAGACAAGCTAACAAAATGTAGAATAACGGAATGGTTTAGACATACAAGGTTTCCATTCCAAAGCAAAGACTTCCTGATCTACTATGAATTATGCATTACACACAGTTCAATAAAATCTTAATAGCTCCAAAAAAGCAAAGAACAAAAACATTTTTCTTTCTACTTTGCCAATTTTGGCTTTATTTCTGAGAATTGGTCTCTTGGTTACCGCTGCTCAGGGGTCAACGTAGATTTACAGGTGCTGGTCATAAAATTAGAATATCATGAAAAAGTAGATTGATTTCAGTAATTCCATTTAAAAAGTGAAACTTGTATATTATATTCATACATTACATACAAACTCATATATTTCAGATGTTTATTTTGTTTAATTTTGATGATTACAAATGACAACAAATGAAAATCTCAAATTCATCATATCAGAAAATTAGAATATTGTGAAAAGGTTCAAAATTGATGGCCCCTGGTGCCACACTCTAATCAGCTAATTAACTCAAACCACCTGCAAAAGCCTTTAAATGGTCTTTCAGTCTAGTTCTATAGGCTACACAATCATGGGGAAGACTGCTGACTTGACAGTTGTCCAAAAGACGACCATCGACACCTTGCACAAGGAGGGCAAGACACAAAAGGTCATCGCTAAAGAGGCTGGCTGTTCACAGAGCTCAGTGTCCAAGCACATTAATAGAGAGGCGAAGGGAAGGAAAAGATGTGGTCGAAAAAAGTGTACAAGCAAGAGAGATAACCGCACCCTGGAGAGGATTGTGAAACAAAACCCCTTCAAAAATGTGGGGGAGATTCACAAAGAGTGGACTGCAGCTGGAGTGAGTGCTTCAAGAACCACCACACACAGACGTATGAAAGACATGGGTTTCTGCTGTCGCATTCCTTGTGTCAAGCCACTCTTGAACCACAGACAGCGTCAGAAGCGTCTTGCCTGGGCTAAAGAGAAACAGGACTGGACTGCTGGTGAGTGGTCCAAAGTCATGTTCTCTGATGAAAGTAAATTTTGCATTTCCTTTGGAAATCAAGGTCCCAGAGTCTGGAGGAAAAGAAGAGAGGCACTTCATCCACGTTGCTTGAAGTCCAGTGTAAAGTTTCCACAGTCAGTGATGGTTTGGGGTGCCATGTCATCTGCTGGTGTTGGTCCATTGTGTTTTCTGAGGTCCAGGGTCAACGCAGCCACATACCAGGAAGTTTTAGAGCACTTCATGCTTCCTGCAGCTGACCAACTTTTTGGAGATGCAGATTTCATTTTCCAACAGGACTTGGCACCTGCACACAGTGCCAAAGCTACCAGTACCTGGTTGAAGGACCATGGTATCCCTGTTCTTAATTGGCCAGCAAACTCTCCTGACCTTAACCCCATAGAAAATCTATGGGGTATTGTGAAGAAGAAGATGCAATACACCAGACCCAACAATTCAGAAGAGCTAAAAGCCACTATTAGAGCAAACTGGGCTATCATAACACCTGAGCAGTGCCACAGACTGATCGACTCCATGCCACGCCGCATTGCTGCAGTAATACAGGCCAAAGGAGGCCCAACTAAATACTGAGTGCTGTACATGCTCATACTTTTCATGTTCATACTTTTCAGTTGGCCAACATTTCTATAAATCCTTTGTTTTTATTGGTCTTCAGTAATATTCTAATTTTCTGATATGATGAATTTGAGATTTTCATTTGTTGTCATTTGTAATCATCAAAATTAAACAAAATAAACATCTGAAATATATGAGTTTGTATGTAATGTATGAATATAATATACAAGTTTCACTTTTTAAATGGAGTTACTGAAATCAATCTACTTTTTCATGATATTCTAATTTTATGACCAGCACCTGTAAATTCACAGGGTTTTAATATAAAAAAAATACAGAGAGAACCTACATAATTGCCTTGTACAAAGTAATTTCCCTCTGGGATTATTAAAGTATTTCTGATTCTGATTTTAATGCCATGGCAATCCAGATCTAAATTGAATGAATATGCTAACTAAATTGTTGACATTAAAAGGAAAAATAGAAAATGTTTTATGACAATACAAGGAAACATTTGCATCATCTTTGAATAAATAGAAATGAGAACTATGAGAAAGAAATATTCAAACAGAATGAAATGAAATATTTTATTTGGATATAATTTAGGGATTAATTCTGGTAGAAATTAAAGAATATTTAGTATTACCTCTTGTGAACTGGAATAAATAAAATATTGATAGTATTGATAGACAAAGGGATTTTTAGACTTGGCAGAAGATGATAAGCCACATACTTTATTAAGTAGCGAGAACAGGAATTTACAGGAGTGAATCATCAGTGTGGAGTATAAAGTGTAGGCTCTGAGCTACGCATGTGCAAATACGCATATCTGCACAAGTACAGCTGGAAGAGCAGAATTTGTCAGAGTTGAGCGCGTAGTACCGGACGATTCCGGGTTATTTTCACCCCTGCTGCTGCTGCCATGATCCATATGTGGTCATGCAGAATGTGCACTGCTGATGCTGCTTAGCAGGTTACAGCACAATGATACAGTTTAAATGTCTGACCGACCAACCGCTAATTTTTATTTAGTCTTGTCTCATTGAGGAAAACTCTAGCCTATTACTAGTCATCAAAGCTCAACGTTTAGCTCATCAGGAGCGTCAACAAAATTATTTCGCCATCATTGACAAAAAGAACACTGTTTGGTAACAGATATATTTTAAAGATTTTAAACAGATATTGATCCTTTTTTTATTACCATAGGTGTGCCTCATACCAAGAAATGATTTGGTTAAATTTGGTAATGATCCAGCATATCTCTGAGATTAAGCTATAGGTGGAATCCACAATATGGAACAAAAGTTTCTGGTTTGAGGAGATCTCTGCTCTTAAAGAGCTTTTCTAGTTAAATATGACAAATAGCATGTTGCTTTTCTTTTAAAGATTCACTGTTTTTGTTTATTTTGAAGTATCAAGGAGAAGCAGAAGAAGAAGAAATATTTGCAACTATGCAGAACCAGAGAAAATAAATTCAGAAACAATCCCCTGTGTTACTGGTAAGTTTGTAAATAATGACACTTTGGATTATTTTATCTGACAAGGAATTTTAGAAAATTTTAGAAAGCTCTAGATGTGAATATATTTAGTCATATACGGTCTAGTTTGTTGGTAGTTCTGTTTAAGATTTTGCAGTGTGGGGTTTGAGAAGTACCATTAAAACTGTGTTAAGATGACCAAGTTCAGATACCTGAAGATAACAAAATCAGTTGGATCCCTTTATTTCATTTTTTTGTTTTTCTCTATAGATAAATCCCTCTCTATGGATAATAGTGTTTTTAAAACTGTTAACACAATCGTTGATTTAGTATTTTTTAGAACAGATACTTTTTTTCTGCACAGCAAAACGACCTTTACGGAAGAAAGGACCCAAACCGTCTGCTGAGGTAGAAAAGAAAAGTGTTTCAACAGGTAAGAGAAGCACCAGATGTTTTCTTGCAGGGGATTCTTTAAACATCCTGAGTTATGACTTTTTAACTGCAGATAAAAAAAAATTGTTCCTAGTGGATCAGGGTGAATTAGGACATTTGATCAGTTTCTATCTTTGTTGTAGCAATGATTTGATGAAAGATTATGTGATGAGAAAAGTGCAAATAATCATCAATCCCCTTTTAGATACAACAATGGCTCAAGTAGAGCTATTTTAATGGGTCATATGTAGTTAATCTCAGATGTCATGCCTGCTGTGAGCTGAACCCAACCAACCCCTATGAGAGGAAATGAACTGAAATAAAGGCTTGAAAACATCAGTCTAGGTGTAATTAACTTATTTAATGTATTTCATTTACACTGCAACAGTGAAGCATCTAATGATAAGCAAAAAAACCATTTAATCTGAGGTCAAAGGTTCTCAAAACAAGTGAGATTATCTGTCAATGTAGCAAGATAACTTCAAATGACAAGATTTATTCAATTAAAATTAAAGTTTGAGGCCTAAAATCAGAAATTAGCTCCTATAACAAGTTAATCCATCACTTCTATATTTAAGAACCAAATGATTTTTAGTGGTGGTACTGAAATAAACGTTATTGATTTTCTAACTTATTGAAAATGACTGTAACCATTTTTTATTGATTGGGGCAGAAGAGTGTCATGCTCACAGGAATAGATCTTACAATAATATGTGTCTGATTAGTTTATTGTAAAAGTTTCTTTAACTTTGTTGATTTGATGCTGTCAGTGGATTGTCGTCCTTTTAAATTTGAACTCTAGTCCTCTTAGGACTTTGTCAGCTAATGTTCCTGCTTTTTATTCTAAGCTCAGAACTCCTCTTAGTTCAAATTGAGGCCAGCATTAATGGAAGGACTGGTTCACACAAGCAATGATGTTTTCCTAAATGTTGATTCTATTTCTGTGTGTGTTTGAACCTTTTATGAATACAGACTTTTAAAGAAAGCCTTCAAATGTGAGATGTTTTTTCTAGATGATCTTGCAAGTGTGGTGGAGATATGGACTTGATATCCAGAGATTTTTTACTAATGCTGAAGGCAGGGCCTAATTTAACTGTTCAGTTCAAACATCTCTCAATAACCTGGTGTTTGGCTTTTCCTTACTTTTTTTGTGAAGGCAGAAGAAACAGCTATAAAACACCAAAAATGGTAAACACAGTTTGGAGCAGGTGTGGTAGTTTTAACTAATGTCATGTCTTTTTTTCTATTTTTATTGTTTTTCCTCTTTATAGGGAAGCGTGGTCCTCGGAGAAAGATTTTCAGTGGACCAATAGAAATCCCTCCTGAGCTCCTGAAACAACCCAAGGAGAAAATTGAGTACCGCTGTTCTGTTTGTGGCAAAGAATTTCCCCATGCGTACAAACTAGAGCGACACGAGCTTATCCACACGGGGGAAAAACCCTACTGCTGCTCCATTTGTGGTCGGGGCTTTAATCAGAAAGGGAATCTCAAAACGCACTTCAAAGTCCACCTTGGTGAGAGCCTTCAACAGTGCTTCGCAAACTGGAGATCATCAAAAAAGTTCTTTTATTTCTGTATAACTGTTCTAAAAGTGAACTTCTAAATAATACTGATCCATTACACGCAGCTATGTTTCTAATATTTATAGATGCTGTTTTAACCATTGGGGATCATTTTAATCCAAAAATTTCTATCTTGAAAAAGTCTATTACCCCTCCGTTCCACTAGGTGTGGGAGCAGCGTGTATGAGCAACTCTGCGTGGTTATGCTACCTTCACACCAGACGCTCTTTGACTAGCAAAAAAGCATCTGCTGCTTCATTTTTTTATGCTTGTACACATCAAGGTCAGACGTGCCTTAAGAGTGTCTTTGATGCGCCTAAGGTGCGTCCAGTAAAGTGTAAATAGCAGAGAGCGGCTTTGCTATACTAGCCGTGATCGGTGGGTAAAAAGTAGTTTTACTATATTTTTTTCTGAGAAAGTCCACCTCAAAACTTCGTCTGTGCAGTCAGTTCATCAAGATTGCGATCCTGCCTGAAAATATTATTTTGCTGTTGGAGGCACTAAGATCCCCTCAAATCGGTGATGCACTGTCACTGGGAATCCCCAGCAGCAGCTGCCTCAGACCGGGGCTCCTCTTGGGGTTTTTCCCCTACGGTTTGTGGTGAATCGAAGTAGATGTTAACGTTTTTCAGGTATGTGGTGCAAACTGCAGGCAACAGAATAATAAAAGCAAACATTTTTTGCTGGCAGGTTTTGTCATTTTAAGTTAATTCAGGCCTCAATAAACTGTTTCAATGGAGTGATCATAGCGTTCTGCATCAGCAGTGCTGTGTCTGTCTCCCTGCCAGCTTCCGGATCAGCTTTCTGATTGGCTGATGTGGCTCTTGGAGCAGCAACAGTTCAATTTTTCCAACTCCAGCAGCTGCTGCTTGTGAGGCATGTCATGCTCCTCAAATGCTCAGAAGGTCAAGAGCCACTGCTTCAGCTGCTTAGATGTGACATGATGCGCTGCTGCTGCTGCTGTTCGAAACACGCTACAAGACCTTTTAAAGCGCCTTGATGCACGTCAAACATAGATGCATGTAAAGCAGCTGCTTTGGCTGCCCAAAGCTCGTCCGGTGTGAAAGTCGCATTAGATTCAGATCACATCAGCATTCCATCATGGCGCTATAGTATTGCACTTGTAGCCTTTAAACAGAACAATAAACCAGTAAAGTTAGTTCAAATATATAGTTTTTTTTTATGATTCAATGCTCACCTGGATTCACTTTGCTTTTCATCAACTGAATGCCAAACGAACTACCTGACAGATATGATCTGCTCTTGATTGACGTCTAGTTGGAGCAGCAAGCATAACAGCTGCCTCACGCCCAGTGGAAACACTGTGAATGACTATAATTGCTGCCATCAGCTGAAGTGGAACGGCCCGTGGGGCGTAAACACTGCTTCCACATCTAGTAGAACCGAGGGGTTAGATTGCTGGACAATAAACCAGTGTTACCACATCCAGTAATGCAGGTATTGGTGCTTTTTACAGCCTTATGAGTAATAGAGAATAACATAAAAACTGTAAAAGCAGAATTCACAGCTTGTGGACTAAATAAAGATGGTATGGTTCCACAAATCATTACATAAGTGGAAACTTCACACAGGATCTCAACCATCCTGGAATCTGTGGCCCTCTATGTTTATCTCAACATGATTTTTTTTTTTTTTTTTTTTTTTTTGTGAAATGCAAAATGTAAATTTACTTGAAAACCCACTATAAACCTTACTTAACAACTGAACCCATCTTCTGGATCTCCTTAAGGCTATATGTTGTTGTTTTTTTTTAAACACTGGCTACAGTCCACAAACTGTGAATCTCCAAAAAAAAAATCCTTGAATGGGTTTATGTTCCCATCCCTGTTAAAGCTGCCAATACCCTTGTTGCATACATGCCTTTTTATACAAACTCCTTTCCTTCCACACAACTTTCCAATAAAAAGCTTGAATATAGACTTCAGTAAACAGCCAGCTTCCTTTGCATAACGGTGACCGTTTGCCAATCGAAATGATCTATATGACCTGTTGTTTACTCTAAAGCATGGATAATATCTCTGTTCTCTTTTATAGGTCAAAAAGATGCTGCAGACTTAGAAGACGAGGTGAATCCAACCCCATCTGATCTTTCTGAATATTTGAAGTCCCTGCCAGGGGAATCTAAAATCCGGTCGTCCCTGCACTGTCTAGAGTGTGGGAAAGACTGCGAAAGCCAGTCGGCTTTACAGGCCCATCACGTCACTTCACACCGCGAGGCAACAGCTGGATCGGAACCAGCCGAACACAGCGTGTCACAGTTTCTCTTCTGCCGCCGTTGCGGCATTCAGTTTGAAGACAAAGAGAAGATGGGAGAGCATATGAAAACACACATCAAGGAGAAGCGCTACTCATGCCCGGACTGCGGCAAGAGGTTCATCAATGAGAGCTACATACAAATTCACCAGCGCATCCATACGGGTGAGCAACCTTTCCTCTGCTCGCTCTGTGGCAGAGGTTTCCACACAGCTTCCTCCCTCAAACTTCACGAGATGCAGCACTCCGGGGAGAGGCCTTATGCCTGTTCCATCTGCGGAAAGACGTTTCAGATCAACTCCTACCTAAATGCACACTACCAGACCCACATTAAGGACAGGCCGTTCATCTGCAGCGTCTGTGGGAAAGGCTACTCCAGAGCCGAGGAACTGAAGGTCCACCACAGGCTCCACACTGGAGAGAGACCCTACAAGTGTGGGCAGTGTGAAAAGAGTTTCATCTACAGGCAGGGTCTGCGGCAACACCAGCGGACGCACGCTGGGCCCCGCATTGGGCCAACCAAGCAACTTGGCAGACCCAAACAACAGAACAAGATGGAAATCTAACACCTGTTATAGACTATTCAGCAGTGTTGCTGAAAATTACTCTTCCTCTTCTATCTTCCATTCCTACTGCCGAGGATAGAGTTTCTGTGTTTGGAAATGTGCTACGGATTCAGCATGGTTGCCAAAATATATTGGTGGCTAACCGTGTTGTCTTTGTTGTGTTTAAATTGTGTGCCTATGTTTTAATGGTTCCTCTTCACTGGTTGCCCTTTTGTTAAATTTTGTTTTCTTAAGATTTTAGGGCTTTTGTATTCGGCTTGTATTTGGGTAAAAAAAAATGTCAAACTTGACACAGATTTTAATTAAAATAGTCAAAAATAATTTTCACTTTGTGACATTTTTGTAAAGGTAAAGATTCCTTGCTGTTAAAGGCAAAAATATTAATAATTACAATATGATATAATTTATGGTAAAATCAACGATTAGACGACGATTCAAGTCTGGGTTAGAGAAATAGATAACTGAAGTGTAGATTCTCTGTTTGTAAAACAGACAAAACAATCATTGTCGGTCGGTATCAAGTACTGTATGTACTTGTGATACATTTGTGGAAATATTTTATTTTTTTATACTTGTTTATAATTATTATGCCATTGTGTGATACCATTTCCCCGTGTATTCGACACAGATACATCTTACTACTGAGGGACAAATAAATGATAATTCTTTTTTAAAATAAGTTATGTTTTAAAAGAGATATGGACATATTTTATAGTTTTCCTGTATTCAGTCCTATTCTGTCTTTCTTGTAAATTTTTTTTTTTTTTTTTTTTCCACTAGTGATCGACTGCAGCAGCTGCAGATTCTTTGACTTTTTTTTCTGGCTCCACAGACAAATTTTGAAGGTTTCACTAAAATTCAGAAAAAAAGCTACTGATCAGTGCTCTGGTCTAAATCCTGACCCAAAATGGGGTGATGTGTCTGGGTGAAATGGTTTTATACCTGAAAGTTGGGCCATGATGTAGACATCAACTAAGCATTACCATTTATAATTGGCAGGAGAATCAAACTGCGGTAGCCACCCTCAAACCCAAAGAGGTCCGGTACTTTTAGCTTGTTTTTTTGGGGGGGCTAAATAATGCAGAATTTAACAATGTTACTCACCAAATTTTGAACATTTGCACAGTAACATGACGATAAGCCTCCTTTAGGCTCAATTTATGCAGTTTATCTGCAAAAAAGTTTTATTTACAGTTTACCTATTTGTTAAAGTCCACTAGTCTCCAATGCTTTGTATAGCTACACCAGACCTAACCCAAAGAAAAAGATAACCTAGTGGCTCCTTGGAGCCCAATACCACTATAATCAACCTTATCAAGTATCCTATGAGCTTATTTAACTGAAGTCAGCATCCTGGTGACACTTTTCTCAGGACCTTGTTCAGTCTTGGGAGGGCTGAGCACACTGAGGAAATAATGGAGGATCAGGGTAAGTTTGTTTAGTTGCTTTACTATGTAGTAGCTGACTGAGCAGCTGATTAACATTTCCCTGGGTTAATTTACAAATCTAGAATGGATTATTGCATCATTAGAAAAGGAGTGTTGGATGGTGTAGAACAGCAGACCTGGGAGGCTCATCTTGATGAGAAAGCTCAGACTGACAAAGCACCATCATTCCTCTGTTAGTGCTGTGGAGATAACATTTCAAAAGCGTTAGGCAACAAAAGGTAATCTTAGCAGATACAGGAACCTTACTAAGTTTTTTTAAATTCCTGTCAAACATCAGTGCTGTAGCATTACTTGCAGATTGCATGTGGCATCGTTTAACACATCGTTTTTGCTGTCGTTATTCTGCATCTTTGTGTCTGACTTGTCAGCTACAGAGAGTCAAATATGATTTAACTGGTATGTACTCTTTTTGCTTTTTAAAGGTATTTGACATGTAGGCGACAGTTTGGTGCAACATAACCACGAACCAGCTGTATGTTCTCCCCATATTTGCAGAGTTCAAAGCTTTCCAGTGGTGGCTCAGATCCTCAATCCCAATAGTGTAAATTGTTGCTCTTAGCTCCTCTGCCTTCACCTTTCATGGGGACAACATTAAACTCAATATTGTGGGCAGGAAAGGAACTCTGAACTGCTGTACAGAATCCAGACAGTTTTTAGCCTTCTAGAGATTATTATGCAACCGAATCACACATGCAAATCAAAGAGAGGCAGCCTTCTGAAAAAGAACACAGAGTACATGGTAAAAATAATGTCTCTGTGTCAAGTTCCATGGGGTGGACTTTGACTAAATGTCCCGTCATGCAAAGGATTGTGGGAATAGATATAGTGCCAGATAGGAATCTCAGAAGGACTCTATGCTAAATGAGCTATGTATAGGAAGCATCCTTCCCTTTCCCTACTAGTTGGACAGAAATTGATGACCACTGGCTTAAGGGTCCTTGCTTATTTGCAGCTTTTGGATGGACTTGTTTTTTGGTCTGTTAAGCAGTTTCAGAGAGGGACGGGGGCTCAGACAAGGGCAACATTTTGGGCGAATGTAAATGGATTAAATAGTTACTGATGCAAATAAGTTTGATACAAATATATATTTTTTTAGTATTGATTATATTAAGATAACGGCTATTTTGACAACCCTAGTTTGTTTACTGCATGCCAAATAGTACCATACATGTTTTAAAGTTGCACTAAATCAATGTTATTTAAATGTTAAAATACAAACATTTTGTAGAAACATCTGATTTGTTTTTTTTTTTTTCTTGTTAATGCTAATACAGTATTTATGAAAGCTAAAGAGAATTATCAACCTTTTCAAATAATTTTTTTTAGCTATACTGATACAAACAGCTGATTTATTACATGGAAGGGTCCCTGTTTCATTTTAAAACCAAAGCTACTTGGCATCAGTTCTCTCAGTCGGCTTTAGTTGGTCTAACAAATCCTGAAGTCTGTGGTCCAGCAGGTGAAAGTCCAGTTAAGTTTGTGGTCTTTTGTCTTTTGGTTGCTATTTAACTAATTTCAGTTTTAAAGTGACCAAGAATAACTGGTTGCACTGGGTTTTTATAGAGATATCAGAATAATTGCAGGCCAAATGTGGTATTTTCTTGCCACTTAACCCTTATTTACTACTTTCTTCAGGTTTATCACAAATAAAACCCCAAATACACATGTGTTATTTGTCAAACTCTGAACACATTTGAAAGATAATCTTTTAAGTTCAAACAAGCATAGTTTGTTTTGCCTTGTTGCTCCTTTGATGCAGTGTAGAACATAGCTTACTTTTTAGAATTCAGTTCAAAAGTGGAAAACTGACAGTTTTAGGGAGGTAGAAGGGATACAGGAGGGAGGCAGCCAGCCATACAGCCTGCATCAATGGGCCCTCTGATCACCAACATAAGGCACGGCAGTGGAGGTGTCATGTAAAATGAAGGAGATGGACCGAACAGGTCTTACATCTTGAGTCACCATCTCTAAAAGATGGGCGTCCACATAAGGGTGGCAGTGATGTTTCTAACCAAAATAATGACCTTCTCTTAAATTTTATTTCAGATCGAGGTAATGGATGGAAGTATGTAAATGACTTCCTTTCATTCACTTCTGTGAAGTATGCAATTGAATCTATTTAAGTAATGTAACACGGGGGAATTACCCGGATTGTGACCGAGGACGTGGCCCTAAACCAACTAGTAGACCACTGAAAGTATTATCAAGTAGCCTAGGGTCTCCCAATTAAATGTACCTAGGTAAGTCTGGCTTAAAATGAGGAAACAGATTTAGTATACAAATTATATATTTTATTTATGGATTATTTTACAATTGGAAGACAACTTTATTATTCTATTTTAAAATCCAATAAGGCACAAGAACCCATGACAGAAGAAGCAATCTGAGACTCTAGAAAAACACTGCAAACCACGTTAGTAGCACACAAGATCAAACAAGATTATATTAATTTAGAAGAACACGAATCTCACGTTGCGTCCTATAGAGCTGCGCCCAATCAGCTTATTTATAAAAGAAATAAATGGTTGTTCTGGTTCTCTAGTGCCCGTGCTACAACTCTAACTCCAGAGAAAACCTTTCACCAAGAGCATAATAAAAAAAGGGTCTCAATGGTGAGAGCATAATAAGCAACAGCAGCAATCTGTAACAACCAAAAAAACAATAAAGTGTCTGCGGACCATTATACAGGAAATACAGAAATAAAAGAAAACAATGTACCTTCATCAGCCTCAGACAGGGATATATGCAGACGCTTCCATGAAAACTTTTCCAGCAGCGCGAATACCAAGATCCAAATTCTGTGTAGCAGCACGGCTCCCGACGCTCAAAAGAATCTACTGCACACCAAACTAAGCCGACTCTCATAGCTTGCTTGCACACCTGGTGCCTATACAGGTGCTGGTCATAAAATTAGAATATCATGAAAAAGTGGATTGATTTCAGTAATTCCATTTAAAAAGTGAAACTTGTATATTATATTCATACATTACATACAAACTCATATATTTCAGATGTTTATTTTGTTTAATTTTGATGATTACAAATGACAACAAATGAAAATCTCAAATTCATCATATCAGAAAATTAGAATATTGTGAAAAGGTTCAAAATTGATGGCCCCTGGTGCCACACTCTAATCAGCTAATTAACTCAAACCACCTGCAAAAGCCTTTAAATGGTCTTTCAGTCTAGTTCTATAGGCTACACAATCATGGGGAAGACTGCTGACTTGACAGTTGTCCAAAAGACGACCATCGACACCTTGCACAAGGAGGGCAAGACACAAAAGGTCATCGCTAAAGAGGCTGGCTGTTCACAGAGCTCAGTGTCCAAGCACATTAATAGAGAGGCGAAGGGAAGGAAAAGATGTGGTCGAAAAAAGTGTACAAGCAAGAGAGATAACCGCACCCTGGAGAGGATTGTGAAACAAAACCCATTCAAAAATGTGGGGGAGATTCACAAAGAGTGGACTGCAGCTGGAGTGAGTGCTTCAAGAACCACCACACACAGACGTATGAAAGACATGGGTTTCTGCTGTCGCATTCCT